TGAAGTTGTTAAGTTATAAAAAAACCTTTTACATGTTATAAATGTACTTTTAATGGAAATATAAGTTTCAAATAGCATAACACATGTGAATAAAATGGTCTTCAGCAATGTCAAGCTTAAAAAAACAGGTTGTCAATTTAGGTCGTTCCCCACATTTGCATATTAAAAAGCATATAAATGATATGGGAGATGAAGATATGCTTCTTTTTGCTCAAATCTTTGCTCAGATATGATAAAACATGGAGCCTGGATGTAACAAGACTGTCACTTTCAACTATATATGTAGACAGTATGATCATCTAATGCAAAGTTATTTACTTTACTTTTTAAAACCGGCATGAAATTTCAGCCTCAAAAGGCCAATATTTTAACCACTAGCTATCAAACAAAAGAAAATAAAGGTAGTCTGTGAAACAGACAAGGTCAAACAACCAGTAATACGTGCTTTTGATACAGTTTCAGTGAAATCTGCTAAAAGGAATTCAACTTGTATGTGCATAGAACCTCATTTTTCACTTGCTTCATACTGACCGTTAGACTAGGACCATTAAAGCAGCACATTTTGCACTCTTGTTCTGATTTTATCTACTTTTTTTGTATGTTTAGTGTTCAAAAATGAGTTAAACATCTACATTAGATACCACAAACACAAGTAGAAAATCAGAAAAACCTGTGAGAGGGAAAGTAAGCATGCTACTTTTGTAAAAATATTGAAACAACTGAAAAAGTTCAATTTTGGGCATGTAGGCTGAAATGTCACTTTTTTACAAAATTTCTATCAAATAAAAGTGGAAATCATTTATTCTCATGTAGTTTGACAAATTAATACCAATAGATCATTCAGGGAAGTTGTCAAAGTACAAATTTAATATTTCCTGAATTTCACCTCTTAGGCCACAGACCACAATTAAATTCTCTATTAGTTCTTTATAACGTTTTGTTTCATTAAAAAAAATGCTCCGGTTCTTTTTGTCAAATATTTTGTGTGTGTAAAGTACAGTACTAGTCCAAACATATATCAAACATTCAGAAATATCGCTCCCCAGCATCTTACAAATTTAGCCAATACACATCCATACCCCTATGGACAAGTCAAGAGATGTTCCGAAAACTGTAAATATCACCTTTTTGCACCTGGCCTAATTACTCTTTCCATATCAAAATCAGTTAAAATACAACATCCAAAAGTTTATTTCACCTCTCTTCTTTCATTTCCATCCAAAAAAATCTAAGAAATGAGTGAGGAAGGGAAAGAAAAAAAATTAAGAAAAAATACACTCTAATTAAAAGGAACTATATTCGTGGACAACGAAAAGCAGGATCATTAATTGTAGTCTTTGGCCTATTAGGGGTCTAAACCTTGACCAATTCTAATAAAACTTGGTATGATTTAAGCTTAGTGTATTATAAAACAGTTTACAAAGTTTCAAAGCCATATGATACCAATTATAAAAATTGTGGCATTTTTTATATCTGAACTTTGGGTGCTGAATTGTGGCGTTGAATTAGAATAATTTCAACTATCAAATTTGGGCTTCTAAAAACCAAAATATACCAAAACTTACACTTTTTAATGTTTCTATGTATAAGTTATCACCTATTAAAAGCAACAGATAGCATACTTCATGTTTCAGACTTATAAAAAATGGCCAGAAGTAAATTTCATATGGGCCTGTGCCAAAAAATAGAGGTTTTCAAATGAAGTGAGGCCTTATATGCAATGTAATATTTTTCACTTACCACAATTTTCTGAAGTTGTTAAGTTATAAAAAAACCTTTTACATGTTATAAATGTACTTTTAATGGAAATATAAGTTTCAAATAGCATAACACATGTGAATAAAATGGTCTTCAGCAATGTCAAGCTTAAAAAAACAGGTTGTCAATTTAGGTCGTTCCCCACATTTGCATATTAAAAAGCATATAAATGATATGGGAGATGAAGATATGCTTCTTTTTGCTCAAATCTTTGCTCAGATATGATAAAACATGGAGCCTGGATGTAACAAGACTGTCACTTTCAACTATATATGTAGACAGTATGATCATCTAATGCAAAGTTATTTACTTTACTTTTTAAAACCGGCATGAAATTTCAGCCTCAAAAGGCCAATATTTTAACCACTAGCTATCAAACAAAAGAAAATAAAGGTAGTCTGTGAAACAGACAAGGTCAAACAACCAGTAATACGTGCTTTTGATACAGTTTCAGTGAAATCTGCTAAAAGGAATTCAACTTGTATGTGCATAGAACCTCATTTTTCACTTGCTTCATACTGACCGTTAGACTAGGACCATTAAAGCAGCACATTTTGCACTCTTGTTCTGATTTTATCTACTTTTTTTGTATGTTTAGTGTTCAAAAATGAGTTAAACATCTACATTAGATACCACAAACACAAGTAGAAAATCAGAAAAACCTGTGAGAGGGAAAGTAAGCATGCTACTTTTGTAAAAATATTGAAACAACTGAAAAAGTTCAATTTTGGGCATGTAGGCTGAAATGTCACTTTTTTACAAAATTTCTATCAAATAAAAGTGGAAATCATTTATTCTCATGTAGTTTGACAAATTAATACCAATAGATCATTCAGGGAAGTTGTCAAAGTACAAATTTAATATTTCCTGAATTTCACCTCTTAGGCCACAGACCACAATTAAATTCTCTATTAGTTCTTTATAACGTTTTGTTTCATTAAAAAAAATGCTCCGGTTCTTTTTGTCAAATATTTTGTGTGTGTAAAGTACAGTACTAGTCCAAACATATATCAAACATTCAGAAATATCGCTCCCCAGCATCTTACAAATTTAGCCAATACACATCCATACCCCTATGGACAAGTCAAGAGATGTTCCGAAAACTGTAAATATCACCTTTTTGCACCTGGCCTAATTACTCTTTCCATATCAAAATCAGTTAAAATACAACATCCAAAAGTTTATTTCACCTCTCTTCTTTCATTTCCATCCAAAAAAATCTAAGAAATGAGTGAGGAAGGGAAAGAAAAAAAATTAAGAAAAAATACACTCTAATTAAAAGGAACTATATTCGTGGACAACGAAAAGCAGGATCATTAATTGTGGTCTTTGGCCTGGTACCTAACACTACAGGGAGATAACTCTGTAAAAATCAGCTAAACGTTTTAATCACGTTGTATTGTTAAGGAAATATTAAGCTTCTCAATGATCAAAATTAGTGTTTGTCAAACTGCAATATAACCAATGAAATTTTTCTGATAAAGTGGTTGGTTCAAATTTTTTGAAATTTTTATATTTTTGTCAAAGGGTCAAAGTAAACATTTTGTCAAAATTTTAAGAAAATTAAACGAGCCAAATTAATATTAGTCAAGTGTTGGGTACCACCTTAAATGGCTTGAACAAAATGTTTGCCTGTATGTCTGTTATACTTACCAATACGATCTTGTTTTAGAAAGCATTTATTAACTAAAATTCAATTTTAATATTGGTATATAGGAACTGGAAGTTGATTCCAAATTGTTTTCATCTATCAATCAATTAAGGAAGTAACAAGGGTACGCTGAAGTTGAGAATTACAAGCGACGAGACAAAATAGATAAGACCAAAATCACCTTTTTACATCTTCCTGTTTTAAATATAAACAATGGATTTTAAAGTTTAACCAAAATAGTAAGACGTAATGAGTGTATTTTCTGGTGACATATGACCAACATGTAGTATGTTACATAATAGACCTTTTCAATAACTCTCGACGACGACTTTTACCACCTACAGGTTACAGGTGAAATGAAGATGTCGTTTCAAAGATAAAAATCATTCAGAAATCATATTCGATTTGAGGGTATTAGACTATTTTGAAAGAATCAGCAATTTGCGGATGTTCCTGTTTTTTTTTGTCTATCCCTGAATTTGCGACATATCAAGGTAACCTTCAAGTAAAAATTGATTGCAATCAATCAACTTCCGAATCCGTTTTCATCTACACATACATGATTATACGAATAACTCGTTGATGGAATGCTTCTTTTTATTGAATACAGAAATAAAGTTAAAAATTGGTTGAAATGAAAAAGATAAAGGAATTAGTACATTATTGAGGGATCCGATGACAAAATTAATATACATTGTAAAGACATGTGCCGCTCTTGTTAATACACGTAAAACATTGTTTGATTAAACATTTTCTACTAAAATACTTTTTTTCATTTTCCCAATTTCTGTAATGAAACTATAAGCTCATTGTTTAAATAGATAAAATTAAATATTGAGCTCGAGGCTCTTCCTTAACTCAATACGCAATTCAAAGATAAAATTGAATTTCAATTAATAATTGGTTGACAATAAAAAAATATTTTACAAAGTATAAAAGACATACAGGCAAATATTTTTTTTCTTGCCAGACACTACTAGTTATATTCATATATACGATTATTGAAACAATCCCTACATTTTACGCTCTTTTACCTGTCGGTGTCGTTGTCAACTGTATGTGTAGACAGTTATTGAAAAGGTCTAATAGCACAACCTTGTACGTTTTGTTTTTATCCTTTCATATAACAAGCATAATGGCTGTTTCAGTAATGATTTCTGCACCATGGGATTGAAAGAAGTCAATTTTCACAGTTATTAGATAAAATAATATTATGATTTGTCTACTCATAACACATGTATCTGGAAGTTCCTTGATCAGGTACACAATTGATTAACAATATTGAAATCCAAAACATAAAACATAAATCCTTTTAGAGCAAAAAATAAAAAATAAAAAACAACCCACAGGGCCTAAATCAAACAGTTGAAACCGTAGAAGTACAAGTTTGCCTTAGGGAGTTGCAACTTTGGTTTATAGCACAGTTACATTAATCATGAACTCAAAGTATACGTCAACCAACATATATTAACAGAAGCATGCCAGTACGAAAACACTGACTAAAGGGGGTGGGGGGATTTGCGGGAATGATAGTCCACCAGCAGCGGGAACGGATAAAAAGGTAGAAAATACAAATATGAATTTATTTTAGGGAAATGTATAAGAACTACACCGATGTTTTAACGACCAATGTTCAAGAAGATGTTAAACATTATCATATCAAAGATGTCGATGGAATAGAAATGTATAAGCAAAGGTATAACATGAATTTTAGAACCTTTATTTCACAAATTATAAGAAATACTACATTTGATGCTGAAGAAAAAAAAAGTCTCTTCATTGAAAAATAAGCAAAAGATATCATGAGATAGATATAGGAAGATGTGGTATGAGTTCCAATGAGACAACTCTCCATCCAAGTTACAATTTATAAAAGTAAACCATTATAGGTCAAGGTACGGAGAGCATTCAAAATTCATAAGTGGAAGAAAAACCGACTGGACAATGGAAAAAACGAAAATACCACGAAAGACAAACAACAGTCTACAAAACACTAGATAGACGTTAAAAACCGAGCAACACGAACAACATGAGTTGAAATATTCAAAAAGTAATGAATATGAAATTTAAGTGAAGAACAAAATAAAAATAAAAACATTATTGAGAAGTATATAAATGGTTGTTTAGCATAATGAATTATATTTTTCATTTCTATCTCATTCGTGAAGTGTAATGTCTATGTATAACAAATTCCTAACACCAGAAGCACACAAGTATATCGTAGACACTTCCGGATTTGACACGTTAGGGTTTGATATAAGTGCATTGGTTGAAGTAGTTACCTCACCTCCGTCTAATGAAAAGGAAGAAGTTCTAACTGTGTCAAAAGGATTTCAATCAATACCAACTACTCTTCTTGACAGATTTTTACGTGAAAGTAAAAGGTAAGACATGTCATTTCAAGCAAAATAAATTTAAACTTTCTTGTTTAAGCCGTTTTTCCATATTGTGTATTAAAGACATTTAGGAAGATATATGAGGGGCCTGATGGGTTATTTTCGTTCTTCGTGATCGGCGCATTTTCGCTATCGTGATCCGTTTTTCTACAGATTTTTTTTTTTATATTTTCGTGATCCGTGATCATGGAAATTTATTTTCTGTGAATCGTGATTGACAAAAAAAATCAACTCGTGAATCGTGATGAGACCCCCCCCCCCCCCCCATCAGGCCCCTCATATATGACCTGTTTGCCTTTAGGGGTCAGAATTATACACATTTATCTGTTTCTAATATTTAAGTTTTAATATCGGCGTTTAGGATTTGCGAACTGGGCGGAAAAAGGAAGTTTTTTTCTAAATAGTATTTAATTCGCAATTATTTAACGCGAAAAAGGTCGTCATTATAAAATGTAACCTTTTTGTTAATATTTAGAAACCTTCAAATGTTTAGGACCATCCAAAAATGTATAAAAGTTGATGTGATTGTGAATTCAGTGGATGCAGAAACAAACATTACACATTTAAAAAATAGAAAACAACACGTTTAATAATTTCATGCGTCCGAAGCGCTTTTCTGGATTTACCTTCATCAGGAACGCTAAATGCCAAACATTTGCAATCCAAGGGATGTATAAGTAACGAAACAGTTGAAGAGCTATATGACAAAAATACCTAAAACAAATAGCCAAATTCATCTAAGGTCAACTTTGCCTGAGGGAGTTGAAACCTTAGTAAAATATCATTCTTTGTAATAACTGACATAACATATGTACTACCTAAGTTATGGCAAGTGCCGTTCAACAAGAAACCTCTCAATCTGCATCGTACGCCAGCCAATGAGGTACACACGATATAAACAACGCAAGACTTTATTATCGTGACAAAAATGAAGCATTTGGTTTACGAATAACACGAACAGTCCATGGATAGTACGAACGCTGTAAATAAGCTGCAGAACTAAAAATATAAAAACAAGATGAACCATTAAATAAAGATATTAAAATACTGTTTTCCAGCAATGAGGATAATATTTATTGATCGTTCAATAAAATTATAAAAGGAACCGTTGTGGATATGGTTATATCATATATATTATTTCACATGCATTCATGTTAATCCGTGTATTTCATTGTGGAAAGTGTAATTTTTAATGACATCTTCTTATTATCTTGTTTTCATACCAGGCATCATATAAAGCTAAATCACCATCTGAAAGCAATTCGGAAAGCAAAAAGTGGGATTTATAATTTGTATTTTGAACCAACGGTTACCAGAAATGGAAGGACACGCATTATTTCGGTAATTTTTTTTTAAAACAAATGAATAATACGCTGATATGTTTTAATAATCATAATGATGAAATAGAGATGATATAACCAATACGTTTATTAATAACAAATAAATTCTGAAAGATAATTGTGTTTTGTCATTTGATTTTGCCTTGTGATAAGGGACTTTCCGATTGAATTTTCCTCGGAGTTCAGTATTTTTGTGATTTTTCTTTTTGTTACAAAAAACTTCAAAATATGAAATTAACATGTTATAAATCTTTTTAAAATCAAGTGGATTTCAAGTGTATGTTTTTGTAGCCCATCTTACCCAGTAACATAACTCATGTAATTGCAATATATTTAAAATATCGCTCTTTTGAAATCTTTTCTGCATTATCCGTTTATTAGTTTTGAAAAAAAATGTATCAAGGTAAACTTTTAGCTAGCGATGAAAATATTAAAAAGGGAAAACCATCAGAATTGTAAATGTTACTGAAAACTTATCAATGCATCCCATATTCGAGAAAGACATGTGGAATGTACGCAAATTGGTCTAAAACTTTTCACTGAAGAGACATTTATTGTCAAAATACGCACAAAAGGTCGTATTTTTCTCCGACTGTTTATGACGCCTTTACACTAAATCAATTGGATGTGTACTGATTGATTTTTAATCTTAGACACATTATTTTTGTATTAGTTGCCAGTGGATTTGAACTAGCTTTCAGTAACTGCTAGTTCTCTCAGATCGTTTCTAAGTGTCTTCAGTGTTTTTATCAGTTGCTCTTGTGCTTTGGATCGATATGATGAATTAAGCACTTTTCAACTGAATTTTATAGTTTGTTCTTATGTTGTGCTTAACCACTAAAGTTCCATGTTAGGCAAAGGTTGGGCGCCCGCAAAAATGTTTAACCCCAAACTGCCAAGTGCCCGCAGTAGTTGAGTGGTTGTCGTTTGTTGCTGTTTATCATAGTTATGTATTTTTCGTTAATTGGTTGTACATAAATCAGTCCGTTAGTTTTCTCGTTTGAATTGTGTTCATTTTAAATGTTTTCATGGTCTTTCAGATATTGCTATGCGGTATGGTTTTTACACATTGTTGAATGGCGTACGGTTGCCTGTAGTAGCTTACTTTTTCCTTGTTATTTGGTCTCTGGTTGAAGGATGTCTCATTGGCAATCACACCACATCTTTTTATTATTATGTAAAGAGAATTACGGAAATTGGTCTCACACCTATCTTCAGTACCACCTTGTCTGTAAGGCTACTTGTTAGCTATCCCCGAAGTTGCAACCCGCTCAATAATCAGTGCTCCGCTAGTGGAATCATTCAAAACATACTTTTCGTCGGGGAATGTCTAGTTCATCATTTTTATAATTCAGCTAAAACTAAAGGTTGCATGTTCCTCATGAAAAATTGACCTAAAGCGGTTTTTGGTGTACTCGTTAAGCCTGAGTGTTTTTTCCTTACAAACCTTTTTTTCATTTAGTGTTTTACTGTTGGTCTCTGTCGTATTGAATAGTAGTCAATGAATATGTTAAATTCTAGATTGTCCAAAATCTACCAAATTGCATAAATGACAAATGGGTTCAATTAGCTTTTTAGATCTCAATTCCTCTTTTAAATCTTGATTAGTGGAATAAAAAAAGGTATGCAAAAGAATAAACAATAAAAAGTAAGATAACAAAAATACCGAACTCCGAGGAAAATTCAAAAATACAAAAAATAGACAAAGCACATTAGCCAAAACGAAAGACAAGAATACAAAAAATTACCATAGCACAATAACACAATGACGGGATGTATAAGTACCGAGCCACGTCAAATGGATATTACCAAAAAATAGACTAAACAGTAAAAGTAAAAAATTACAAAGACAAATAAAAGAATAATATAATAACACGTTATTTTAAAAGATGATTAACAACGTCAGTACCTTGAATCTATACTTCAAGAACATCGTGTATTATTTGTGAAGTTGATACGGAATATTTATCAACAAGGTATTGGTATCTTCCGATGAACTTTTTTAGAAAAAGGACGAGACGTTCTTTGACATACCCCTGGTTCATCAACTTTTTGCTCAGACACTGGTGACGTTTTACAAAGTCTGAGTAGCAGTAATTTTATTGTTTTATTTATTTTTGTACCTTTTATATGAATACCCACAATCACTAAAAGTAATCTCAAAGCATTAACATTAACTTTATGTTTATTTTTAGAATAGGCCTTACATAAGGAAGTGTGCTAAGAAGATAATTCTTGCAGTCAATAGATTATCGCTTGAAAGGCTTGAGTGGCAGGGTTTGTATCAACCACATATTAGAGAATATATGACCAAAGCAGTAAAAGACGTTAGTGCAGGGAAATATTATCTCTCATACAATTCACCATGGTGGAGAAGTTCCCCCTTTTACGCCGATTATGTAATATCAGATACTCCATTAAAACAAACATACGATTTCGGAACATCAAAAGCTAATCCATTAAAATCAGTTCTACAGCCAATGTACACAGATGCTAGAATACATATATCTTACTGGAAGGAATTAGTTGAAAGGGAAAATGGTGATATTACTGATGGAGATATCGCGTTCCCAATTGGAAAGGAAATGGTTAATATTACAAATAAATACCTTGGTCACATCTATAAACTTCCTCTAAACGCTATACCGCAGCCAATAAGTGGAGTTATAAGTCTGTGGCATAATTATCCGTACGGTGGAGCATGGCAAGTATGGATGCCAGGGTATATATGGACTGATGTGGAACAACAGATGACCAAACCGTCAAAAGATGATGACGTATTTGTCGTGACTAATGCTTTTAATTCTCGTTCTTTTTCATATTGGACAAATGGAGCGCTGCAATCAGTCGAACTCGCTATGCCATTCTTTGGTTTGCAGAGTAAAGTGTTAGACTAGTGTCTTCAATATAACTGTATCTTCATGTGATGCCATTTTATTAACCCTCAAAAATATAAACGAAAGTGTTTAAGTGTCTTACTAAGAAATAGGCTGAGACACTTTTTACTCTTAAAGCATACACTACTCTAATTAAAAATTAAAAAAAACAGAAAATATGCGCCAATCTGATTATAATACAGATTCTGTGACCATGCTTCGCTATAAGGATCTGACAACACTCAATTGCACTTTCTGTTCTGATAATTATCACATCAGCCAATGAAATTTCAGCCTTCAAAATTTTGAATGTGTGTATCATTACGATAAATCAAGACGACCCCGAAAGATCTTTGAAAAATAAAATAAAATGGAGTGTGTTCAGCTCGTTGTAGCGAAGCGTTGACACAAGATCTATATTTTAATCTACAAAAAACTCATCAGGATCAAAAAAGGTAAACACCCAAATAAGGTACGAAGTTGAAGAGCATTGAGGACAAAACGTCACCATTTTTTTCAAAGATAAGCAGACGTACTTTGGTCATTCAAATCATTCTGAGCAATTTCTGGGCAATTCTTTTTTAAATTATAGCTTATCCACATGCATCATAATAATTATTGTTATATATATTGTTGGTTTACATATTTAAGGAAATCTTACAAACAGAAATTAAAATCTATTCCTACCAGATGCCTTTGCGGACTCTTCTGTTCCGTGTTGTATTGTTGCATCTTCATGTCATAATCCCAAAAGCTATTCGAATAATGTGTTTCATTTTCTCAAATTATACGGATCAGTATCAATTTTGTAATAATTTTCGTATGATAATGTTATTCCATCTTGTATCTCTTGTTGTTTAGTACGAAAATCCAGACATAACTTTGATCTCGCTATAAAAGAGAGGCGGAAACTCCCAAAGGAATATTCATACTCAAACATCGACGACAAACTGACAAGGTCATAGTAAAACATTGCATAAAAAGAAAAATAGCCTACAAAACAAAACTAAAGACTTAACAAAACGAACATCAATAAAAAGACCTGGTGATCTAAGGTTCTCTGGAATCGTAAATTAGACTTCAAAGCTGTGAACCTACACCCCATTTTGGTTTCAGATGAAAAGATTAAAAAAAAAGTCATGAACAAACCGAGACATCAGAACGAACATTTATGAAATGAGTAAGAAATTGGGAACCTTTGATGAATTACTATACGAAGATAATTAAGGGGGTAAATAAAAGCTTTAGAACGTGTAAATTAACTCTTATAGGATTAGTAAGAAGGGAGTGAACTTGAGCTAAAAGAGAGGCAAAAGATACCGAAGAGAAATTCAAAAACAGAACACAAACAACATAGAAAACTAAAGACTGAGCAACACGCAACCTATTAAAAAACCAGGGGGTGATCGAAGATGCTCCGGAAATGTAAGCAAATCCTTTTCCACGTGTAGCACGAGTCGTGTTGCTCATATAAGTACAATAAACTCATCATGGATTTTTGTGTACCCCAGACGCGAATTTAGTCCACATACGACTTATTAATGACTCTCGAATCAAAAAAGTTAAAAAAAAAAGTCAAATAAAGTACGCAGTTGAGGAGCAACAGATATTCCATAACGGTCCATCAACTCGTGATGGCGTCCGTAATATTGACCCTCTTTCAGGCAAATCATGATAGGAAATGCATGCTCTGAAATATTGTATCAACTTGGAATATATACTCCATATGCAGGCGCTGCTGGAATGTTGCTACATATAAATCCAAAGTTTTCAATTGTGAAGCTGAAATTGCATCCTTCTTGTAGTAAAGTTTTGTTCTCAACTGATCGTCGTTTTCAATTTCTAGATATAAGGCAGACTTAATTGTATCTGTTGAATCCTTTATTTCAAATTAAGACGAGTAATAAGGGGATAACATAAGCTAAGGGACGTGTAATGAATTCCTATACGACGAGTAATATGGGGTACATATAGACTAAGGAAAGTGTTATATATAATAAGCTCATCATAAATATCAGGATTAAAATTTTTATACGCCAGACGCGCGTTTTGTCTACAAAAGACTCATCAGTGACGCTCGAATCGAAAACGTTAAAAGGCCAAATAGAGTTCGAAGTTGAAGAGCAGTAAAGACCCAAAAGGTTTCGTCAAATACAGCTAAGATTATCTATTCCTGGAGTAGAAAATCCTTAGTATTTCGAAAAAAAATCAGAGTTTTATAAACTGTTCATTTATAGTAAATGCATTATATATAGAGCAAAGAATGTGTGATTTTGTTGAATCAATTTAGTATTCAGAATTTTAATTGGTTTTACAAGAGTCGACAGTACAAATTTATAATTAGAACTTCGACGGATCTCATTGTAAAAATTACCAAAATATGCTTTACACGATTTGTCTGTTACAAGCTCCACAGACATAACAGAGTTTATGTTACTTTAACTTATATATGACTTTGAATGGTACTTCTATGTGTATATCTTTGAACTATGTTACAATTCACGATGGCGGAAGACACTCGATCTACCTTAAAAAGACAAAATTTCTTGTTTAACCTCGTCACTCTTGATCTGCCTGTCTCAAATAAGGGACCTATCAGCAGTAGCTTTTTGTCGAGATAGAATGTTGGTTCTCGTATATAGGATCTTGTATAACTTATTCGTGTGAATGAGAAACCAGGTAGTCACAGAATTCTGATGATAATTCAAGCATGTCCTAATTTGGTATTCTCCGAAACAATAGATCATCTTCGTGTAGCCTGTACATATAACTGTTTTGATTTATAAAACCTCACAAAAATAAGTATTCCTGAAATTCATGTGTATCTCTTATATTTGTTTTTAAATTCATTTAGTTTAGTGAAATATCTTCATAGCTTTAATATCATTCTGTTTACTGAACTAAAGGAAAATGATATATTATATATTGGATACTGAAAATCACGCAGGACCCTTCAGTTCTGCCGACAGGTTTTGATTTGTAACTTTTATATAGTAGTATATCGTAAGCATTCAACCAATTCTTCCTACCAAATTTAGTTACTTGAAGATGGGCTTTAACAAAAAAGCTTATCTACTTATCTGATTTGACAGACTTTGAATACTTATTTTTCTTTCGAGAGATATACATAACAAAGCAGCACATGTTGTTATGTTAGTGCCTTTTACAGCTGTATATATACGCTATGGGTTTTGCTCATTGTTGAAGGAAATACGGTGACCTATAATTGCTTAAATCCGTATCATTTGGACTCTGTTGGATAGTTGTCTCATTGGCAATCATACCACATCTTCTCATATTATATATGTGATATTGCAATGGATTGATAGTTGTTAACTTCGATCACGCACAGTGTCAAATATTTCATGATTTTTTAAATACAAGCACAATTGAATGTTTTGGCATGACACCATGACTAATGTGAACAAGTACAAGGCAGTACAGATTGAAGAACAACAAATCAGCTCATATATATACAAATTTGATTAATTGATGCTTGTTAAACGTCCAGTGGCAATTATTTCATGAATATGCAAGACGAAATATAATAACTAGTTTGAGTAATACCAATAAGCAATTGTGAAAGCGCAATTAAATGTTATTATAAAGATCATATAATCAAGCTCCTCGTTGCCGCTTTTTGAAAGAAAACCTTTTGTTTTACTTTTGATATTTGTGACTATTCTTTATTATATGTAAATCATGCTAGATATGGATTTAAAATATGTGCTTTTACCTAAACAAATGCATTTATATACATGTATCTTTGGCAGTAATTGACCCGGTGCTTTGCATCCCCTTTTTGATCCAATTATAATAAATTTGTAAACACGTATGGAATATTAAATCGAACGTTCGTGTTTTAAAGTAGATCCTTCTTAAGAATGTAGATCCATTTTCAAATATTTATTGAGAAGATGAAAGCTTTTACTCAAATGTTACAGTTGTTAAAAACTCACTTAAAGATAAAATAGTTAACTTTTATACCTATTTTTATCTAGTCGCGTGGTCAGAGAAATTTAAAAAAAAGTATGTAATTACTTACTTTAGTTTTGCATATTCGGTGCGGTACTTCAGTGTCAAAGAGTAGGATACGTTTATGTTGTAAGCAGGTTAGAAGCACATAATAACATTATTTTTGGAATAATCCATTACATTTTTTTTTCAAATAAAAATAAATTATATATTTTATTAAAACTTGACAATTCCTTACAAAACTCGCTTAGGGAAACTCTAGGCACCTGTTTGTGTAAAATTTACTGATTTTGTACAGAGATAACTCGGGTCTGAGGTGTAGTTTTTCCAGAGACATATATATATATATTCATATTCCCAGAGACATATAATACATTTTTTTATATCATGTCTCTCACAGGCGCTTGGGTATATGATACAGATATTTTTTTTGGATTTTTTTTGGTTGATTAAAATATTCAATTTTCTATATTTATTCTACATATCTATCACTACTGCGCATGTTTCACCTAGTTTCGAGTGATTTTACCAACTCTTGAGACAATTAACCCCCATTTTTTGTTTCTTAGTGTGGATAGTAAAAATGGGGGTTGTCTCAAGAGTTGGTAAAATCACTCGAAACTAGGTGAAACATGCGCAGTAGTGATAGATATGTAGTATGTAGTATAAATATAGAAAATTGAATATTTTAATCAACAACAACAAAAAAATCCCAAAAAAATATCTATATCATATACCCAAGCGCCTGTGATGTTTCCGATATTCCTCTACGTCTCTGGGCTTTCCAAAATCACAATGATCGTCCCTTTTTTAAAAATCTGGATAATTTTCTTCTTCTTCTTTAAGTTTCTAGCGATCCTTCAATTATTGAAGATTATTCGCCGGGCGTCGACTATAAAATTTTATAATTTACATTGTAGCAAGAAAAATAAAAAGAAACAAAATCAAAAAATCAAAATAATGTATGTACATTTGAAAAATTTCATTTAGATAAAACTATATACATTTGATAACAAAATAGTTAGGGATAAAAAATGGGGATGAGAGCAGATTCTGAGATCATACTCTTGAATCCCTGTACTGTACTGCATGATACTATTTGTTGTGGCAGATGATATCAATTTATAACTGTTCGTGGATAAAATGAGTATTTATAACTGTCTTCAGATGTTTGTATTGACCTAAATGAGTGTGGATTGCTATGTCTAGTTCCATTGTCTAGTGGGATCAAAAGGTTATATGTAGGGACTGCAACAACTTCGTGTATAATTTTGTAAAAGAAGACAGGTCTGTATCGTAAACGCCTAATTTCAAGTGGGTACCAATTTATGTCTGTCATCATTTCAGTAACTGAGCTGATGTTATGGAAGCGGTTGCATGAGAAGCGCGCTTCTCTTCTCTGAACTTTTTCAATTTGTGAAATTTGCTGTTTTTGATGTGGATCCCAAATGGTTGAGCAGTACTCTAGTTTTGGTCGGACAAGAGCTTTAAATGCATGAGCTTTCACTTTAGGTGAGGCTATTTTTAGGTTTCTACGAATAAATCCAAGAGACTGATTTGCTTTTGATGTCATGTTATCGATATGTTTGTCCCATTTTAAATTTGATTGAAGAGTTAGGCCTAAATATTTTGTAGAGTCAACTTTTTTCTAGAGAGTGATTGTGTAATTTATAAGTGAAGTCTAAAGGTTTGCGTTTTTGAGTTACACTGAGAATGTTGCACTTATCAGGGTGAAAATGCATGAGCCAGTCCTGCTCCCATCTGCCGGCCGCTTCCAAGTCAGACTGTAATTTATATGTGTCATCTGGTTTTTTAATTTCCCTATAAATAATACTGTCATCTGCGAACAATCTTAATGTACTATGTTCAATATATTCTGCCAAATCATTTATAAATACTAAGAATAAAATTGGACCAAGCACTGTGCCTTGAGGTACCCCAGATGTTACAGGAATTTTTTGATGTTTCAGCTTCAAGGACTACTGTTTGTGTTCTGTTTGTTAAAAAATCTTGAATCCAATGTAATGCATTGCAATTTATACCGTAGAAACTGATTTTATACATGAGATGGTGGTATGAAACTTTATCAAATGCTTTTGCAAAATCCATTATTATGATGTCTGTTTGAATGTTTTTATTATTTGAATTTGCAAGATCTTGAATAAATGATATTTAATTTAGCTGATTTTCACAGGAGCGAGATGATCGAAAACCATGTTGTAAGTCATATAGTATTTTATTTTTTTCCAGATGTTTCATTATATTACTAGCTACAACATGTTCTAATAGTTTGCAGCAGATGCAAGTCAATGATATGGGGCGATAGTTTATAGGATCGTGTTTGTCGCCTTTTTTGAATGCTGGACATGCACTTGCGTGACGCCAGTCATCTGGGATCTTTCCAGAGTTCAGTGATGTTTGGAATATGATTGACAAGATTGGAGTGATAGATGTCTTACACTCTTTTAAAATTTTTCCATGGATGAGATCAGGCCCAGCTGCTTTGTTGATATTGATGTTAGGATCATCTGTTACAGGTGTAAATGCTTTTTTAAACTGTTCTTTTAAAATATTAGCTTTTGCTTTTGAATCAGATTTAAGTGAGCCCTCTTTTCGAAGTGGTGGTATGTTAGAGCTTTCAGGGGGGGGGGCTAGGATGAAAAATTTTGTCCTGCATTTTTTTTTTAGTTGTAATTTCTGTCCTGCCTTTTTATTTTTCACTCTATTCGGTCCTGCCTTTTTTTTTAAGTTTATCCTGACTTTTTTTTACCTAAATTGTCATCCTGACTTTTTTTTTGCAAGTGTCTCATCCTGCCTTTTTTTTTACTCAAAACTCCTGTCCTGCCTATTTTTTTCAAATTTCATCCTAGCCCCCCATAAAAATCAAATGGTAGCTCCCTTATTTTTTTGCCAGTTTGCATTTTTATATTTATAGATTTTACGTGGCTTGGTTTCAGCAGGGCCGTAGCGTAATGGAGGCAACTGAGGCAAATGCCTCACTTTTGAAACGACGACCAAACTTTAGAAGTGTCATTTTTTTTCTTCAATTATGTATTTTACATTATCAATATGCGAGTTTCGAGTTTCAAATTATCTACCGGCACACTACATACAGTGTGTCCAATCTGCAGCAGCGATTGCAGCTTTTACCATAGCGGTGACGGTAAAAAAATAAGTGTTCCGAATACAAATCAAAATAAATAAATTGAAACAAATCTTAATGTCGTTACAAAACTGGTTGAAGACGGGTTCTTTAAAGAGAAAAGAAGATGAAACAGGTAACTCATGAGTATAAACACCCCCTATAAGTATGCTGGCTTATTACTTTCCTTGGTTTATGTTTGAATCGATAACGCTAAAATTACCAATGTTTACACTATCAACTCACTGAACAACAAATGCTAATCGATGGAGCCTCTGTCATGAGTGGACATGTATCAGGTGTACAACAGCGCATACGTGAACAATGTCCAGATGCACCTTTCGTTCACTGCAAGTCGCACAACCTTAACCTTGTGGTGACGCAAAGTTGCAAGGATGTGCGCCAGATACGGAATTTGATGTCATCAGTCGGCCAAATGACATGGTTCTTGTGTGCATCCCATAAGCGTAAAACCATTCTAAACTCATTTACAGGCAATACAAAATTAGAAGTTGATATGCTTGAAGGTTTACAAAATGAGGAAGAAGATGTCGACATAAAACTTTTGAAAAAGGGTGAAGCGTTTGTGCGAAACAAAGTGGACAGCAAGAGTAGACACGGTTTCGTCACTTCTTGCAAACTACAAATCTGTTCATGCTGCTCTGACTAAAATTGAAAATGTAAGCACAAGTGATGCTAGGACAAATGCAAGTGGTTATAGGCGCTACCTGGAAGACCCCGAATGCATTGTTGCCGTGTTAGTGGCCCAATTTGTCTTGAGCATTCTTAAGCCACTAACATTGTTCCTTCAAAAGACTGACTGCAACATGGTGGATGCTTTTGAGGAATCAAAAATTCTTCTGGAATTATTGCAGGAAAAGAGAACAGAGGAAAATTTTTCAGATTTTTTCAGGCGAGGTACTGTCATAGCAGATGCTATTGAAATAGCTTTAATGCCACGTAGGCGAGTTGGGCGTCAAGTTCATAGGGAGAACGCAGCAACTGCCTCTACTGCAGAGCAGCATTGGCGAATTAGTTTATTTTTCCCATTTTTGGATGACGTCATTAGTGAAATGCAACGCCGGTTTCCTGATGAGGTAAAAAATCAAATGTTAGGATATTACCTTATTACAAAAAATGTAGGCAAGTTAACACCTGAATTAATTGAACCCCTTTTCCAAGCATTTCCGGACGTAACTAACATGGAAGAGTTAACATGTGAACTTGAAAGGTGGGTAAGAAAGACAGTAGCAATGCTAGATGAAGGAAGCCTCCAGACAGCAATTAAGCTAGCCAACAAAGACTTATACCCAAATGTTTTCATAATATTACAAGTACTTTCAACTCTGCCTGTCACATCAGTCTGTTGTGAGAGATCGTTTTCAAGTTTAAGGCTTTTGAAAACCTGGGAACGGGCTACAATGGGTGGTGACAGGCTTTGTGGACTTGCCATGCTCCATGTGCATAGGAATGATACAGTTGACAAAGAACGTGTGTTGAAGCTTTTCGATAGTACAGGTCACAGGAGAATCGGAGAGTTTTGGTTGACCAACAGAGATTAACTTTAATATTGAAACTTGTTTTGTTACTTACAAGGCTAACTAATAAAAAAAAACCGCATTTCTGTTATATTTTTTTTGTTTTTTATTATAAATACATTGACCTCTCCCATAGTAATGCTGAAATAAGCTTCTCCCATTTCAGGCACCCGAACCCCCCTAAAAACATTTTTCGCCTCGCTCCGCTCGGCGATTTGCCTCAGTTGATTTAGACATGCGCTACGGCCTTGGTTTGGCATCATTTTAATGATAATAAACATTCTATATATACAACATCATGGTCTGCCTCTACCGAGTTGGTATGTTTACAACTTGTGCTAATGAATGGTCATTTATTATGTCTAAAAATTGCTGATGTTGTTTTTGATTTGTTTTTCCGGGGATGACACTTGTTGTTTCCCAATTGATGTTTCCTAAACTAAAGTCCCCACCAATAATTATGGCTGAACGGAATAACACAAAGTTATCCTTTATTGAAATAGGCCTTTCTTTGATATATTTTCAGTAAATTAAATTTTATCGCAAGATGTGATTTTCAAATTTCCCACCTTTATTTCTTCTCCAAGGTGAGATAACTCATTTAATTTTTATTGCGGAATTCTGACTTATCCTTGACCCCGAGAAACGACCAAAACAATCATGTCGGCCTTGAAAGTAGGGCTGTCTGTTCGGCGGTTATTGCCATTGAACTATGCAAATGCACAACAGCTTACAAAGAGAACATTTTATCTGTATTCTCCAGAGCCTTTTCATCCGATCCATGGGAGAGAACCTGTGTGGAAATCTGCTGAAGAAGCTGTCACCGTCGTTGAATCCAGTAGGTATCTGTTCGGAACTTGCCGGCAGCATAATTTGGCGATGAATGAAAGATACTAGTATTGTAAACAAGTATGCATGTATGCCACCCTCTAGAAATGAGAAATAATGTCATGACATGACACCAGAAGTGTTTAAAACGCGTGCAATGTTTGTTTGCTCTGAAAATCATAAAATTTCAGTATGTAGGGGGTGGGGGTAAGGCCCATAAGCACAGGCACTTGTTTCTTTTTAATTAGAGTTCAACCTTTCATCTCTCCAGGGTTTCTCCTGGGTCATATTTCTTTTTCGCAACCTCTTTTGCCCAAAATAATATTTTTTTTCACCATTTTAATTTTTTTTTGCCAACATACATTTAATTTTCCTACTTGCTAACAAAAAAAATCAGTTTGCAGCATTGTTGTCTAATCTATTATTATTCTACACACATTGTATCTATTTTTTAATCTTCAATGTACATTGTAATAGGTAAAGGTTATCTTACCAATGTTGTAATTAGATCTTTGAATATAGTTTACATTGGCACTAATATCGATTTTGTCATCAGCAAATTAAAACATAACTAAATTTGTATTTTTTTCAAGTGGGATGTATAAAGACACACCCACGTTCGTTTAGATCTATAAAGAGGTTAAACTCCTAACTATCCTACTGTCTGTCGATACATTTATTTTTGGCATTGCACTAGTCATGTCTTCTTTGACTGTCCATGACGTTAAAATACTAAATCCCTGGGATGTGTTTTAGTTGATTTTAGTCTCTGATGCATGATTTTTTATTATTAATTGTTTTGGCTTTTAACTAGCTGTCAGTTACTGCGAGTACTCTCAAATCGTACTTTCTTGTTTATTTGACCTGTTGATACTAATTGTATTGCTTTTTTGTTATTTAATGTTATTCAGGGTTATATCTGGTCTATATACCAGCTTTGATAAGTGTTTGGTATAACTATAAATTTTTACTTCGTACTATGAACATCAAAATTATTTATTTTGTAAAAGTATTTCCTTTCTCTATTGGTACTGTACACGTATACCTAACAACAAAATTATTTTCATTTACCTGTGTTTAAAGTTATTGCAAATGGATGGTATTTTTGTTCGAGCATATTGTTTTTCTTTTATTGTTTAACATTTCTTACCTACATGTATATAACATGTTACTTTTATTAATCTTCCCTTAGTTTATTTATTTTGTATTCTAAATTATTTATTTTGTTAAAATATTTCCTTTCTCTATTGGTACTTTACACGTATACCTAACAACAAAATTATTTTCATTTACCTGTGTTTAAAGTTATTGCAAATGGATGGTATTTTTGTTCGAGCATATTGTTTTTCTTTAATTGTTTAACATTTCTTACCGATATAATATGTTACTTTTATTATTCTTCCCTTAGTTTATTTATTTTGTATTTACATTGTGTCATAGGTCAAATTTATTTGTTCAGTGTATGTTCAATGGTGTTAATATGTCCTTTGATTGAGTTAAGCTATTTCAGTTGATATTTTATAGTGTGTCTTTCTATGTTGTGATGTTACACTATTGTTTCAGAAAAAGGGTGAAGGTTTGGTACCATTAAAACGTTTAAACCCGCTGCATTTGTTTGCACCTGTCCTAAGTCAGGAATCTGATGTTCAGTAGTTGTCGTTTGTTGATGTGGTTCATAAGTGTTTCTCGTTTCTCGTTTTTTATATAGATTAGACTGTTGGTTTTCCCGTTTGAATGGTTTTACACTAGTAATTTTTTGGGGCCCTTTATAGCTTACTGTTCGGTGTGAGCCAAGGCTCCGTGTTGAAGACTGTACTGTGACCTATAATGGTTTACTTTTATAAATTTTGACTTGGATGGAGAGTTGTCTCATTGGCACTCATACCACATCTTCCTATATCTAAACACTAATTATAAACAGTTACTTTTTTTTAAAAGATACTGTAAAATTGCAATATGAATCATGAAGTCATCATATTTGACTTTTGGGAACACTGGATTCATCTTCAATAAGATTATCAGATACTTCCTGTCTAGTTTAATGATAAAGGCTACAGTTGGATATTTTTCTTACTTTTGAACATTTTTCTTCATATAACAACATTTTTTTTTTCGTTAAAAAAAGTTTGAAACATAAAATTATGCTCCGAACACGTGCGTTGTTAAAACAATTATTTCTATCACATATATATGTAAAAAATCCTTTAGGTGACATGTGAAGCCATTTAACCACACAGTTTCATTAAACAATACAATCAACACCTTTATATATTATTCCATTGTAGCCTATATCTATTTTAAATCTAATCAGCTGATTATTGATTTTCTGTCAAAATCATAACCTTGAGGATGTTCATGGTGGAATCCCAGTATTGGCTGATCAGGGAAAAGTCTGAGAAACCGGAAAAAATATAAACAAGATGATATATTATTTCGCCAAAGTCTTTCACCAATAATAAATTTAATTGCACATTTTTTTTTGCAAAATGCAAAATTCAAAATGCCGACCACCAGCAGAAACCCTGCATCTCACTATTTCAACAAAGAAATCAAATGTGCAAAGATGTTTTTACTGCACAAGGCCTTTAAAATAGCCTCCTGGAGGCTTGTAAATGAGCAATATTTTGAAGATAACAGACAAATGAGATTTTCATTGTCCATGAAATTATACTTATATGATAAGAAAAGACATCTGCAAAGTACAAAAAAATAAACACTCTATTAGAGAAATTCAAGAAAAGAGGAAAATATGACTTTTTTACTTGTATATGTAAAAAATATCTGAATGTCTAAGGGATATAACTATACTATTAAAATAATTTACTGTACCAGTAAATAAAATACACTCATAAAAGTATTACCCCTGACCGAATTAAGGTAACTTTTACACAATCAGGTAACAATTTTACCAGAAACGCCGACAGGCATGAAATTTGGAAATTTTATTTTTTTAAAAGACAGAGGGGTGCATTCTTTTGCTTTGGAGGACAGAAAGGCGGTGGTAAGGGCACCAAGGGCGGGGCGCCCTTCTATTTAGGGCAGGCGGGAACACTGTAGGGGAAACTTAATTTTTCCTTCTAGAGGAACAATAGAAGTGGTTCAAATTCAATGAGAGTATTGCTTTTCATAAACTCTTCTGAAATATCAAATAAAGTAGGGGATCACCATGATCACAGTCCTTATTTTTTTGAAAAATCCCCAAAACATAAAGTGTCATCAAATTCAATATAATTATCTGCCCTTGATTTTAAAAGGATTTCTATGTAAATTTCAAATGCATATTAATTGCACTTAATTTTGTGGTAGTTTAATCATTATATTTCAAGTTTTAGATGTGTCTGTTGTATATTCAATGAATGATAAGGCCAAGAAAAAATATATGTCTGTTTAAGGTTACATCACAAAAAAATATAGGGTAGGTAGGTTGGTATTTCAATTTTTTTTTTCAATCAATAATGATTGGATTATTTCTCTTGGTTATTGGTTGGAAAAAAATGGTGGCAAAGTGTTTATTTCATCACACGAGCCGTGAGTTTCCTTAAAACAGCTGTCATATTCACGATTGTGAACCTTGAGATGTATCAGGCAATTGATTAAATTTTATGGCAATGCTTTTGACACGAAATCAGGTAATTTTTTTTTATAACAGAAATAAAATGACTTAGGGTCGGCACTCATATTAGGGTTGGTCGGTTAACAGTAAACAGACATATATATTTTTTTGGTCTAATTGGTAAAATATTTTTAAACCAAAAAAGTGATTTTGCAACATGCCCAGAAGGGATGCTCAGAAAAAGACACCTGATCTACATGTACCTTAATGTAAATATATGAGTGGTGCACAATGCATTATTCAGCTCCCCATCATTTTCTAATATTCACATCACAATCAACTCCATTTCCAAAATGTTTTGATAGATACAAAAGGAACTGCTTTCTATTTGCACAGGGTTCTTTAAATAAAGCTTACCTGCTACATGTCCTGGAAACAACCTCTTCCAAACACTGGCCATTTTCTACTGAGAACAGACATTCTCGATGGGAGAACCAAGTGTTATACAGGTCTAGCACTACAAATAACATATACACTTTGTTTCAAATTTAGCCCAACAATTATATAATTATAAATTTGCAGTGCAATAGTTTGTTGTTTTTCCCTCAGCAACATTTCAACCAAGGGTCCAGATACGGCCATATTTGTTGGACATGTCCTAAACTGAAACCTGTTTGACTGTAATGGCAGATAGAGATTTAGGTCACCAATTTTTTTTTTACAGAAATAATTTGGGTTATTTCATTGAGATCAGAGTTTTTTAATCGCCATTTTTCACTAAATTTTGTTTTAGGCCACACCCATTTAATTTCTGGTTTGACGGACCCGCCCACACATATTTTTTCTAAAAAAAAAAAATTAAATATTCTCGCTTCCCACATCCATGACATCCGAAAAAGTAATTGTGTCTATTTCCTGCGCCCGTTTTTTTGTAATCATTAAAAAAATAAAAAGCAATCGTCAGATTGTTTAATCAACGTCAAATCGCGACCCTTCAAACTATTTCGAGCATTAACACAGATTTCTTATCAAAGTCAAGGACAATTCTTCACAAAATCATGCCAATTTTCGTTGTTAGAATAAAGGTGTATGTGCTAATACAGACACCTTTAAGCAAAACTATTCATACCTGCTGCATTTTTATGCACCTGTCCTAAGTCAGGAGCCTGTTGTTCAGTGGTTGTCGTTTGTTGCTGTGGTTCATAGGTGTTTCTCATTTTGTGTATAGATTAGACCTTTGGTTTTCCTGTTTGAATTGTTTTACACTAGTAAATTGGGGCACTTTATAGTTTGCTGTTCGGTGTGAGCCAAGGCTCCGTGTTGAAGGCCATACTTTAACCTATAATTGTTAACTTTAAATACATTGTGACTTGGATGGAGAGTTGTTTCATTGGCACTTATACCACATCTTATTTATATACAAAGTGCCAAAAAGACAGAACAAAAATGAGAACACCAAAATGACGGAGACATAGACAACCAACATATAACACAAAAAACTAAAAAGTACACACATCAACGAACAGCACAAACCCCTAAAAACTGGGGGCGAACTCAGGTGTTCCGGAAGGATGAGCAGGTCGTGCTTCTTGCAAGACACCCGCCGTGTTACAAAAAAATGTATAAGTAGTTATAAGTCATGTCCGGTGAAGGAGGAAAGACATCTATGACAATTCAATGGAGATCATTTAAGGCAGTTGAAATAATTACTGATTGTTCAGTTCAAGATCTGATGTCCTCAGAAAGTAACAGTAATACAAGAAGTCATAAATATGCTGCAGTTAAAAGTGGGCATTTCATGTCTAGGTGAACAGGAAAAAAAAACACTTCAGCAGTTGATAAATTAAAGAAATGTCAAAGTACAAGTGGTAAATCAAGAATCATACTATCTTGTTTTGATCAATATTGTCAGAACCTATGATTTTATGTTAACAAAAAAAAAAATATATCGGTCGCCTTTACTTTTTAAGCTTTGCCTCAAAAATTTGCAAATTAAATTTTGTTCATTAAAATTTTCAAATCGCTCGCTCGCCACAATTTCTGGAGTGGAAAAATCTGTAGAACAAGAAATTAAATTGGTGTAGCGTTATTATTCTTTTCCATTAATAAAACTGCCATGCAGGTATAATATAATAATCCAGAGGCCCTCTCAGAAATTACCCTATTAATGCCTCCATTAGATATTTGCTAATGGTAGCTTATCAATTTTTATCTGTTCAAAATTGCTATGTTCTCATATATTACCAGACAGCAGTGATCAAGCTCAGAACTAATATTATAAAGAAATTCTGTTTCATGACAAGTTACTTCACTATCAAATAACTTTTCAGAAAAGACAATCACCAATTCTGATGTTAAAAATTACAACATTTGTGAAATCACTTAAAAAACATATTTTTCATGAGTCAATGATGTGCTTTATTTATTATATAATACGCATGCATGCTTAAATAGTATCTTAACCAGATTCGACACTTCAGCGTCAGGTGCAAAATGATTTCATGCCAAATTAAACAAGTGAAGCTGTTATCAGATATATTCAAACACTTTTACATGTAATAAATAAAAAAAATATGATGATTTTTTGTTTGATAAACAGACCAAACTGCAGAGGAATCACTTGTAATTTATGCATTTGTTATGATCGATGATTTACCTGAAACCTCTGGTTTTTATTTCGTTTCTCAAAATCGAGAGAAGTGTGGTTGATTCCTGAGACATTTACAGTTTTAAGTCATTAAATCATTTCAATTTTAAACCAATGCATTCCATAAATCATTCTTGAAAATTAAGAAAAAGAATGGTAAGAAATTTCATAAAGTAAAAGCTATGAAACCTTTAATATAACTTTATTGATGCCATGTATCTAGTATAAATTGACAGTTTGTTAAAAAGGACCGTAACTTTCAAATCATCACAAAATGACAGAAATTGTGTTAAAAATTGATTTCAACCCATGCTTCTGTGACTTATGAGCAATCAAGTATGTACTGTGTCCAACCACCTAGACCACTGTTTAAAATATTACCAAGTGCTTATTTCCACATAATTCAAAATAGCTGATGCATTTGATAGTTTTTTGATCTCTTTAAATTCAGATATCTAGACTGAAGAGTTGTCTCTATCAACAGAATTCAGTACACATACTGTAGATTCATTAATATTTGTTAGATACCAATTTTCGTGGATTTCTTTGATACAGGAGAACCACAAATTTAAATGTTCAACGAATTACAATTTTTCTAAAGTTATGTATACAGACTGTGCCAAAATCACAAAATTAAATATCCACGAAAATGCAAATTTTCCTCAAGCCAAGAAAATTGGTATCCACGAAAATAAATGTATCCACAGTAGTAGAATTGATTATATTTTAAAAGCATCTTTGTACTTATAAGAAAAATAAGCAAAATTTGTTACTGTCAATTTAGAAATTCATGTGAGCGTATATTATTGGGAATCTTGACCATGGCAAAAATGTGAAATCTACTTAATGTAGTTCGCAAAAATTTTATGAAGGTAAATCACTACCATGACTACTGAAGTTATGAATGCAAATTATTATTGCAAATCTGATACTGTCACATTTTTCGCATTAAAAAAAAAATTGTAATAATTTCTTATATTGATTAACAATATTTTGATTTTTTTTTTTTTAGAACAGAGAGTTTATGTACAAGGAGGTGCTGCTTCACCATTGAAACTGATACAAAGTTTAGCAGATTTTGGAATGAAAGACAGACTTCGAGATATAGAGGTGATACATGCACCAACACAGTTAGATTGTGTATTCAGTGACAAAAAATATGAAGGTAATAAGCTGGGTACTTTGTTTTTGTGTTTGAAATTAAAATAAGTAGATGGTATGATTGACAATGAGGCAACTATAATCTACCAAAGTTCAAATGAAGTGGATGTAAGCAATTATAGGCAAACGTACAGCCTTCAACAATGAGAAAAACCCATACCATATAGTCAGATATAAAAGGCCCTGACATGAAAAATGTGAAACAATTCATTTTAGAAAACTAATAATCTAATTTATAACAAAACAATTTATGAAAAACAAATATGACAGACATGAACCAACGACAACCAATGAACTACAGGTGTATGACTTGGGACAAACGCGTAAAGAATGTCAACTTGTTAGAAGTGGCTTTTGAGGCTATAAATGTAATTTTATAATAATCTTTTAAAGAAAAGATTTCAATTTTGAAATGTCTATTCCATAGATATTTTGCAAAAACAAAAAACGATGTATTTGATCATACTGATTTTTCAGGTGTTCTTGAACATGTTGAAGCAGGACTCTATGTTTTTTCTTTGTTTTTATTAGCTCCTTTGCTTCTGTTTTTTGTTTCGCCTTGACGGAGTCAAACAACGAGACATAGGTATGCTGTTTCCGTAGTAAAATGGTGTCCGCGGGGTCAATGTTTTAGTTTTTGATTAGGTCTAGTTTATGGTGAACCACTTGTGATAGGTCAATGGTATTTGGTATGCAATTGTATTAACATTGGCACATCTCATCACCATGGAGATTATTTGGCCCGGCCCCCTCAGTCATGGTCTATTGACTTTGAAACTTTGCTTAATTTACATGTATTAGTTTTTGATAAGGTCAGTTTATGGGGGAACCACTAGTGGTAGGTCAATGGTATTTGGTATGCAGTTGTATAAGTTTTGGCATATCTCATTTCCATGGAGATTATTTGGCCCTGCCCCCTCAGTCAGGGTCTATTGAATTTGAAACTTTTGCTTAGTGTTCATGTATTTGTTTGTGATTAGGTCAGTTTAAGGGGAACCACTAGTGGTAGGTCAATGATAATTGGTATGCAGTTGGATAAGCATTAGCAGATCTCCTTTCCATGGAGAATAAATGGTCCTTACCACTCAGTCACAGTTTATTGACTGAAACTTTTGCTTAGTTTACATGTATTAGTTTGTGATTAGGTCACTTTAAGATGAACCACTAATGTTAAGTCAATGATATTTGGTATGCAAAGTTTCATTTCCATGGAGATTATATAACACCACTTCCTCATTATGGTTCATTGACTTTGAAACTTTTACAAAGTTTACAAGTTAATGTTTGTGTTGAGGTTTGTTTAAAGGGAATGACTTACGAAAAGACAATGGTATTTGGTATGCAGTTGTATAAGCATTGGCACATCTCATTTCCATGGAGATTGTTTAGTCCTGTACCTTCAGTCATGGTTCATTGACTTTGAATATTTGCATAACTTACATGTTAGAGTATTGCTATGTTAATTTCAACATTTGCATTATCATAATAACAAATAGGTCAGACATGTCTCTATGTTAACAGTTTATTTAAATTCATAAAAATGTTGTCCATACTCTTAAAAATTCTAGGTTTTACATTTGATATGGTTAATTTTATAGGATTATTTCTATTTTAAAGTAGTTCACTGTCATAAAATTTTGTGGCAATGTTGGTTTAACTAAAAATCGTGTTGGTTCTGCAGTTCTTTATTTATTAGTCCCATACTGACTAAGTCCAAGGGGACTTTAGGTTTACACTCCTTCTGTCTGTCTGTCTGTCTGTCTGTCTGTCTGTCTGTCTGTCTGTCTGTCTGTCTGTCTGTCTGTCAGTCAGTCAGTCAGTCCGTCAAATCAGTTTTCCACACTTTTTTTCGTCATGCTTGAAAATATTGATTTGATATTTGGTGTATTGTTTTTTCATGACAAGTTACAGATCAAGTTTGAATTTTGTTCGGGTCTGACGATTTTGTGCAGAGTTCTGGTCCTTGAACTTAGAAAATTCACTCAAATAATCATTTTTCTGCACTTTTTTTTGTCATGCTTGAAGATATTGATTTGATGATTGGTATATAGTTTTATCATGACAAGTTACAGATTAAGTTTGAATTTTGTTTGGGTCTAATGATTTTGTGCAGAGTTATGGTCCTTGGACTTAGAAAATTCACTCAAATAATCAGTTTTCCTCAATTTTTTTTTGTCATGCTTGAAGATATTGAAATGATAATTAGTATATAGTTTTATCATGACAAGTTACAGATCAAGTTCGAATTTTTTCCAGACTGATGATTTTGTGCAGAGTTATGTTCCTTGGACTTAGAAAATTCACTCAAATAATCAATTTTCCACATTTTTTTTCGTCATGCATGAAGATATTGACTTTTTTTTATATTCTGAACCCCTGCATCCCCAGATCCACCGATACCCTATAGCACCGACCCCATGGCCAATTCTACACCGAGCAAGAATGAAGAATAACATGAAGCCAACAATCAACTGCTACCATCAATTACTGCCTTAAAACTATCAAATCAAAATGTATGAAAAACAAACAGAGGATAGCATACCTACAATCATGACAATAGGACCGCCAATAAATCAAGATTTATATGCACTGACATTATAATATACTTACATTCATATTACATATTGATTTATTTTACAACACATTTTATTTATACATTTACCATAAGAATAGTTTACAAAATTTTTTTTCAAGATAAAGAATGTTATAACAATAATTATAGATTAACTCGGAATTTTAATAATTTTATTTTCATTGTATTATATTTCATTCATTTTCTGTTCAACATTACATAATGACATATAGTATCCTATAGTAATGTCAACAACAGACAATACATGATTATGACGTCATATACCTGATACCATTTTTCTGTACTTCAGGGATTCTAATTTTGTATACTTTGTCCTGAAGACACTGATCTAATCTGCGAAACATGTCGACCAATAAAAGTTGCAGTTTAATCAAGTGTTGCTGTCAATTTAGCGGTATTTAATTTTTTTTACGTGGCAACCCTGCATACCATCTGGTATCCAATTAAGTGAACTCTACCAGCACAAAATTAAGGAGGTGTTGGTTCTGCAGTTCTTTATTTACTTTTAATGTTAGTAAATTAGAATATTCAATGAATTAAATCTTTTTCTATGCATCCATTCTTTGTTTTAATGCATCATGATTGTTAAGGTCTGATGCATTTGGTTGAACCTATCCTAAGTCAGGAACCTGTTTCAGTGGTTGTCATTTGTTGATGTGGTTCTTAAGTGTTTCTCGCTTCTCGTTTTTTTACATAGATTAGACCGTTGTTTTTCCTGTTTGAATTGTTTTACACCAGTCATTTTGGAGCCCTTTATAGCTTGCTGTTCTGTGTGAGCCAAGGTTTGGTGTTGAAGGCCCTACTTTGACCTATAATTGTTTACTTTTAACACATTGTGACTTGGATGGAGAGTTGTCTCATTGGCAATCATACCACATCTTCTCATTTCTATTGACACCTAATGTTGTATGAAGTCAGAGAAGTGAAATAACAGCATATTTGTCACATGTGAAATGATCGGTTTTATGTGACTGGAGAATCCCGGTGTTTCATTGTAATCAGTGTACTCATTAAAAATATTGTCCTTTTCAGGAATATTCAGGACCAATTCATTTTACATTTCCGATCCAAAAGTTCGACAAGCAGTACATGAAGGAAGAGGGGATTTTGTTCCGATATTTTTGAGCGAGATTCCATTGTTATTCCGTCGAGGGCTATTTAATCTTGATGTTGCCTTAATTTCCCTTAGCCCACCTGATAAACATGGTTTCTGTTCCCTAGGAACAAATGTTGACTGCACCAGATCTGCTGTTCAGAATGCTAAATACATTATAGGTAAGTGAACATTGTTGAAAAGTTCTGATCTCATTGAACAATAAGGCCTAAAATAAAATATTGTTTGTTTCCCCAATCCTGACCGACCCTGCAAAAATGGTGCTACTTGTAAAATTTTATTGTCAAAACTAAGTCAAATATTATTTTAATCATTTGGATTTTCAGGCTTGCCAGATCGTCCGATAATGTTCAAGCTTTTTGGAAAAATAATATTATTTCCCTACCTACCTACCCACACCTGGCTTGGCAGGGTCGGGATTGGGGAAACAAACAATATATTAATTTAGGCCTAACAGGGTTTTCAAACAGATTTGTATTCATGTAGTACAAATGTCAAATTGCACACCACATTTGAAAACACAAGTGAATTTTTTTTATGTGCAAACAGATCTTAAAAATTATGTCGACCCCAAAATGCAGCATTAGAACTTTGTATTGACCCTTGAAACCAAAAAAAAAGATATGATCATACTGGATAATATTTTAGTGGTATATTTTGAATACAATATTAATGCAATGGTCTGATTTTGTAATGTTAAAGGAAGATTTCAATATTGAACATAACCCAGGACACAAATGTAGGATCCAAGTCTATTCTCTGCTTCACATCATCTGGGCCATTCTCATAACCAGTTTTCTGCACTAATCAGGATTGAATAACTGCACATGTGAATACAGTAAACAATAAATACATTGATAGTGTTGTTAATTAAAAGTTGATGAGCTAAGTTTATAAGATTAGATGAAATAATCTTTACTTCAGATAATGTTTGCCTATAATATCTAGAATTTTAACTTGGTAAATTTTAGTAATTTTTAAAGTCATTTTCAAGAAATTATGGCAGGATAAATATTTCCTGTAACATTTTTGTAGCTTTTAAGTCATTTTCAACAAATTATGTCTGCATAAATATTCCTGTAAGGCCAGGTTTTTTTTTAATTTGTTTACCCTATTTTTCCAATTTTCAGAAAAAAAATTAAATTGATAGTTCATGCTTTTTTATTCCCGTCGACCCTTACAAATACATTATCCCTGAAATATAATTAAAAATATTTGCTAAGCAGCATTTTCATAAAACTAAATGCATTATTTTAGCATGTTAAACATTGACAGAAATGGTTACACATTGTGTTCTAAAAAAATTACAATCTAAAAATAATCCGTAGTTTCTGTTTCTAAAAATAGACAGTCATAAATGACCTAGAAAAGATGTTTGCGCAAATAATTTTGCAGAACAAAACCTATGTTAAAATCCCGTTACAATGAGTTTGGTTTTTGCAATTGCAGAAGATTTTTCATCTCATGGATGAAATGGACTCTTCCAAAAGTGAAAGATGTCAAGTTAAAAATGAAAGATATCCACAAACAACTTGGAATTTTCTTTTTTCATAGATTGAAATAAATGTTTGTCCATTTGGATATCAAAACTGGATTGCCTGACCATGGACGAAACCGATATCATTGTCTTTCTGGTGGACGAGTCTACTTCATTTTTGACATGGATGGGAAAGTGTTATTTTCGTGCGACATGTTTGCAATTTTTGTTTCATGTATTTTCGTGCTTGAAGCTCATTATTCACAATGTTTCCTGAAAGTTATTAAAATGCAATTGTAGCTTTTTTTTCTCGTTAGGGAAATGACCATTTATTTTCCTGTTTGTCCATGGACATAACTTAACCCCCTTTTTACAAAATTGAATGAGGATGCATGCATTGTATGTTTAAAACAGCTGAGCAATAATATTTGGAACTAAAATCTAAGAACTTATTACAAAAAAGCATACCAAAAATATTGCTAGTAAGCTTTGATATATTTATTTTATACATGTTATGTCTTGTATTAAAGATATTTTTTTTCTTTTTTTTTCCCAACTGACCGACTACACTTTTTCATATAAAAAATCCCTAAACCAGCAAATTATAAAACCCTGGCCAAACATCATACCAATAACTGATGCTATTTGACAATTTGTGTCATTCTTACGTCTGTTTCATAACAGGATTGGTAAATGAGAATATGCCAAGAACATTTGGTGATGGTATAATCCACAGCTCACATGTTGATGTTATGGTAAAAAATGATGAACTTTTACCAGAGTTTACAGGGATGAAACTTACACCAGAAATTCATGAAATAGCCAGATTAATTGCTGATGATCTAGTTCAAGATGGTGCAACTATCCAGACAGGTATTTTTACATGGTTAATGCCATTATTAAGTTAGCTGCTTTAGGGTGATGAATTATAACAGTAACAGTTATAATCATCCATCTTGTATTACAAATATGAATCAGTATAGATTTTTGCTGAAATTCGAAATTTTGATATAGAAATGTCATTTTTTAACCAAGAGCTGATCTTAGGTGAAGACATTTAAATATTACTTCTCTTATTTTTGCCATAAATATGGAAAAACTATTTATTTTTTACCAGGGGAGATAACTCAAATAATTTGAAAAAAAATTGTCAACTTTGTTTAGTACAAGAAAACAACTGTGTTGACCCCACGTTTTCTTTTCATTTCCTGAAGGTATGTAATAAAGCTTATCAACTCATTCGCCAATTAAAAGAATTTTATACCATCTGTCTGTCTCCTGCTTCCTTCACAAGATTGCTTTCATTTCTTATAAATAAAAAAAAAAAAAACAAAAAAACATTCAATTCTTTAGATATACTAGTAGATAAGGTTCAATTAGTGATTTCAACTCTAGGCCATTTTTCCAATGCTGAATGGATGTCCTGAAAAAGTAGACAAATGCTTTTTGTATCATTGGTTTAGACAATATTTCACACTATTCATTGAACACTCCAGACTGAGTAAACAAATCAAAGTAAAATTTAAGGACTTCATTAAACAATGAATAAAAGATGTTGTGGGCTAAAAATTAAATTTAGGCAGCAACCTAAAAAATGAAACATAATTCAAAAAGACCTGATAGTTAAGTGTTTATAAATGTGTTTTTTTATTTCAGGTATTGGATCCCTACCAAATGCTGTATTTGATAAATTAAGTCATCACAAAAATTTAGGTATACATACGGAAATGTTTAGTGATGGCGTAATTGATCTGGTGGAGAAAGGTGCAATAACCAACGCTCAGAAAACTATACAAACAGGAAAAATTGTCAGTGCTTTTGCACTAGGAACAAAAAGATTATATGATTTCCTAGATGATAATTCTTTTGTAGGTAAGTTTTTCTGTGGTAAAACTAATGATATAAAGTTTCAGAAACTGGACTTTTTTGCAAAATTGTGATTGGGTTGTTTGAATATGCATACATTTATGATGTATACTTGTATAACAGATGTGATATTTGGAAGAGATTATAAACTATTGCGAACCAAATGAAAGTTTTCCACAGAGTCGTCTGCTCTTGACCTTTTGTCTATTCTCTTGTCCTATTGAATAAATACAATAGCTATTGTTCTCGGTGTAGTTTTTTCACTGGGACCTTTAAATTTCTTCTAGGAGAAATCTATCACTCATTGATTAATTTACCTGACCAAAAAATTATCTTCTTTTTGGGGGGAAATAGTTGTATAAACTCGCATAAACTGCATGCAATATTGTATTTAATCAATATCAATAATATATTTTCAATCTGTTCAATATAAACACTGATTTAATTATAAAAAGTTTATTTCTGACAAATTTTTAGTATTGTTCCAATGAATTTGCATGTTTTTGTTGTTGTTCAGTTATAGAAAACATTGATCAAGACCTTAATTTAAACACAATAATTTTCAAGTTTTTATTTGTCAAACACACAAAAAAAAGCAAATTTTAATAGGGAAAATATAAAAAATTTGTTCAGAAATCAACCTTTAATTTTTGAATCAATTGTTTATATTGAAACTATTAAAAAAGAATTATTGATATTGAATAAATACAACACCACATGCAGTTTTTTGAGTCCTTATTTAGTATTTGTACATGTATTTTCATTATTGACAGTTCAATTTTTTGTTCAGGTAAATTAATCAGTGAGTGATAGATTTCTCTTGGAAGAAATTTAAAGGTCCCATCAAATAAACTACACAGAGAGCAATAGCTATTGTATTTATTAGATGGGACAAAAGAACTTACAAAAGTTTAAATCGACAGGTAACTTGCAGGTGAATCTGTGGAAATGTATCATTGGGTTGGCAATAATATGAATTCTATATAAAGTAGAGGTGTACAATTAATAGAAATATTTTTAGAAGGTATTGCAATATTCCAAGAAAGATTTTATACATAGATTACACCACGATATAATGCTAAGAAATATTTTCTCATTGTCTGCCATTTTTATGTTTACAGTATTTTCAAAAGGGTCCCTGGTTCTTTGAAAAAGAAACTAGAAAAACTGATGTGATTTTTTAAAACTCATTTGCATGGTTTTTTTTATGAAAAAAATGAAAAAAATCATTAACAATTATTGCAATGAATGTAGAGGAAAACAATTTTTATTTGTACTGCAAGCTGTCTTTTTGTACTGTAAATCATACCATGATGAAAGTTAATCCTGCCTCTCTGAAATATACCCATGAGCAAAAGAGAAGAAAAGAATACAGATTTTCAAAGAAAATAGATATGTATGATGGGAATATATAAAAAAATGATGCAAATTTCCAGAGATCTTCAAACTAAATAAATTTGGATAATTAGTTCTGATAAATTTTTTTTCTGTTCCAGCTCTGTGTGATTGTAGTTTTACAAACAATATATCACTAATCTGTCAGAATCCCAGAGTTACAGCCATCAATACATGTCTGGAAATAGACCTTACTGGTCAAGTGTGTGCAGATTCCATTGGTTCTATGATATATACAGGTAAATTTTCTAATATGAGTCAGGTGATACTTGTGAAATAGGACAGACTTTTGCATGGAAATCAGTTCTGCATCATTTTATGAACTTTATGGTAATGAGACATAATGATTTGCAGGAATTCATTTGCTGTACAACTTAACAGTCTCCCTCTACAGGGTAATGCTCAAGTGGGAATGTTGTAAATAAAAGTTAACGATATTGGATTCACTAGTATATTTATTGACTTTTATAAAAGTGTATTCTTTTAATTTTTATTGATTTTCTCACTGTTACTGTATTGAGGACTTGGTTCTCTTATTAAGAATACTTAGCAAACAAAATATGGGGAACTTAATCAAAAGGTATCAATTAAGAAAGAGCATAGAACAGTTGATATAAAAACCTATATAAGTGGCAAAAACAATTGACAGTATAAAACCGACCGTGCAAGGGCTGTATAGCCAGTCAAGGTCGTTAAAAACTTCCATCATCACAGTATAAAATGAATATGAACTGTCCAGAAGTTCTTTTGACTTGCTCAGTGTTTGCTGAGTATACCATGTTACAGGTAAGGGTGTCTAGAAATATGTCTGACTGGCTCATATGCTCATTTTGTATTGACTGCATTGGTAAAGTGTTTAGAAATAGTTTGACTTGCTCATTTGCTCATTTTGTATTGAGGGAGTAGGTAAGGTGTTTAGAAATTGGTCTGACAGGTTATAATCGCAATAATTTAAACTTGCATTTTGAAATTTTTTATATGAATTAAACAGGATTTTTCTCAATATCGCAAAAAATAAAACCGCATTTTAGTCCAAAATGACAAAATCGCAATAATAAATGCACGCAATAATTTCTGAATTTACAGTAAGCAAAATCAATAATGCATATGGCAGAAAACTACCAGACAGTTGTTGAATCACTGGCTCCTGGCATTGGACTACTAAACCAAGAATATGGTGAGGTTGAACATGTTTTGGAGCTGGGCTCAACCCTTTCCCATTCTTGGATAATAGTGTAACAATGTGGCATTAGAAAAGTAAAATATAAAATCTGTTGGAAAGAGCTTTTGAAATTGCCTGATAGTTTAACTGTGTGTATGCATATTCTTTGACTCTGTTATTTAGAGATAAATTATCTAGAATATTTTGAAAAATGAACTACTGGTCAAGTGTAAACACTACATATTGCATAATCACTACTTCTTCTTTGGTACAGATATTGACTTTTTTTCGGTATAAAGGCGCAAAAGTCTGTTGAAATTGTGTATTGAGTCATGTCACAAATCTTTTTGTGGACTATATTTTATAGAAATTTAATACTTTTGATAGACTTTGTTTGAGGTACTAACATGGTTTTTGATTATTTTGTAACCTACAGGATTTGGCGGTCAAGTAGACTTTATTAGAGGAGCTGCCTTGAGTTTGGATGGGGAAGGTGTACCTGTTGTAGCATGTCCTTCTACAGCTGTCACAGGAGATAATATTACTTCAAGAATTGTTCCATCACTTAAACCTGGTAAGGACTAAAAAATAATATGATATTAACTGATTCAGTGTGTGTAAGGAGTTTAGAGAAGGTAGTTTGCTTACAGACAGTCAGAAGTAATACTTAAAGAAGTATTTTTTATAAACTTGAAGATGTTATATTTTCTGTATAAGTAAATTTGTCATATTAAAATTTCCTCTTGAAGGTTTTGATATAATCTTCCCTTATACTTCTCTAAAACTACTTACAAAGTACAAGTAAATTTTTCCTACCCTGTTATTGGAAGTCAAAACCATGATTGTAATGGTCTTGAGTTAACACTTGATTCATTTATTACATTTAAACATCATATTCCTTTCCAACTGGCTGATGTTTATTTTTGTGAACTTTCTCTCGTCTGCCATTTAAGATTGAAACGAACCACGCATTGGAGGCGAACCTACTATGACTGAAACCTATGTTCTTACAAGAAAAGTTAGACAAATGCATGGCTGCAGAATAATGAGCCCAAAAATGAAAAATATGCATTTATACAGTGAAAATTAATAGACATTTGGTTTGATCCCCTTAGTTACAAGAATAGATTTTAATGCAATTGTATTGTTTCAATTTATTGCTTTAAGTTGCTTAAATTTGTTAAATTTATAAATTTTGTAAAAAAAAAAAATTATAAACAAAATAGTTTATTTAACTTTAATTGGTTAATGATTATTTGTTTTCCTATTAAATTTTGTTACTTTAGATATGCAGTGCTAGATATTTAGTTGGTAGTTCCTGTCAACTGGTAAAATATATTTGTGGAACTATAAATGATGACTTATGACATAAACTGAGATAAATTGTAATTTCATTCGTTTAAACGGGCAGTGCATTAGAATGAAATTAATTTCTCCTGGGTGTTTTCATCATATGTAGCATAGAGGGCGTTATGTTTTCCCGCTTCAAAATTATTTTCGCGGTATTTTATTGCCTATGTAATCATTCAGCACGACACCGTCAATCTGAACAGTCGAATTTTCTTGGTTAATTTTACTTCTGGTTAAAGTTTATTCAGCTTTATATTTGAAGAGTTTTTTGTTTGATACTGATGTTTGAATTATATGTGTAGATATATATATGTATGAATAATGTTTATTTCATATTAAATATAGAGCATCGACGTTGTCGTGCGACTATCCACTTTACAAAGTCTTTGGTATTTATTATAGCCTTTTATGGCGTGTATATTCAGAGTGTTTATATATACTTGGATATTTGGTACAAGTTTTGATTTTATGTCTACATTGATGGGTGGTTTATACCAGGAGAATGTACAATGGTATTCTCAGACATGGAATAAAATTTGAACTATACAAAAAGTGAATTTAAACAATACAAACAAGAATTAAATAAATAGGATACAAATTGAAACATAAAATATTATAGTGCTACAAGCGAACAAGTACTTCTGTTTTATGTATCACCACTTCTCCATATCAGGTTCAAAAAGAGAAGTCACTTCTCTCTATGATTCTGAAGAACGGTAAAGTAAATTGTCAATAATCTTTTCTGAATTTCATTAATATAGTCTCCTGTCTGGTGTAATACTTTTACATAAGGATGAAAACAAGTAGTTACAGAGACATTGACTTGGTGGCAATTAACTTTGCCGCGCTCTTGTGCTTTGATTTATGAGACCATATCAGTTGTTGATGTTATGAGACCTCAGGCTTCATTTTAAGCTGAAGCAGTAAAGTTTATTTTTTCAGCATCAGGAACTAAATGTACACATGAAATTAATCAACATTTTGATGTCAATTTGTTTTTTAAAGGGATTTGTTTTCATCTGATGTATGGCATATCTAGTTTTCATATTTCAGCAATAAGTTTGAGTTTTTATACCCCCACTTTAAAAAAGGGGTGTTATACTGTTTTACCTCTGTCTGTCAGTCCGTCAGTCCATCAATCCATCCGTCCGTCCCATGAATATTTTCGTCGCATTTTTCTCAGGAACTACTTGACAAGGATTTCTGAAATTTGGTTTCAGGGTTTATATAAGTAAGTTACATGCGTTATCAGATTCATCACTCAACAACTTCCTGTTTACCAAACACTTGTATTATTTTACACATGATAGCCAAGTTGAAAAGTTTTCGTCATATTTTTCTCAGGAACTACATGACAAGGATTTCTGAAATTTGGTATCAGGGTTTATTTAAGTCAGCTGTACCGTATGATGCGTTTTCAGATTCATCACTCAACAACTTCCTGTTTATCGAAATATTTCGGTGGAGGTATCATCAGTGAGCAGTAGCTCAGAGTTTTACTTGTTGTTTTTGTGGTGAAGATTGATTGCATTGATGCAATCAATCCCCTAATGAGGCTGATAGTTATCAATTTTCATGACTTTTGAGATAAAAAAAAATATAGTGCATTAAGCACAACATTCTATACATCCTATCCATCAACATGTCGAGAAATTTATCACTGAAATATATACTAAGATATTCAAGTTACCAAATGGTGCATATGTGTATAACCATACTTTGTCAAGAAGATGACTGTAGATTCATTTCTTTTCGTGGGTACCAATTTTCGTGGATTGAGGAAAACTTGCACGTTCGTGGATATATGATTTCGTGGTTTTCTAAAAGTCTGCATATATTCATAAAGCAAATTTGCAATTCGCTGACTATTTCAATTCATGGTTTCCACTAAAATTGGTATTCAACAAATAATAATGAATCAACAGTACTTTAACTTAATTTTACATACTGCTTGAATCAAGAATTTGTTCTAAATATATCAATAAAGTCATTTGTTCAGTTGTTAAAGTAATATTTAAAATAATCGTATCTTCCTTTGTCCATAATTGTAGTTGAACTAATTGTATTGCTTTTTATTTACCCTTTAATTTGAGAATTTGCAGTTATTTTTTTTTGTTATTCACAGGGGCTGGTGTGGTGACCACTAGAGCACATGTTCATTACATCGTGACAGAATACGGAATATGCAACCTGTTCGGTAAAAATTTACGACAAAGAGCTTATGAACTGATCAAACTAGCACATCCAAACTACAGAGAACAGTTAGAAAAGGCAGCGTTTGAGAGGTTGAAATGCATGCCATCTCCATAAATTAAGTTTTCCTAAGATTGTATCATAATGTCATGTCGAGGAAGATGTGAAAGGATGAATTAGTTGTTGATAAGGTCAAAGAATATATATTTCTGCTTCCTGTCTCCCTACTTACTCCAAATTTTCATGGCTACCCTAACACATTTGATGAACATTTATGGTTAAGCAAAGTTTAAATTCAGACAATTTTTGTTGAGCACTGTTTAACAAAAGAGTATTTCCCTAAATTTTCTTTTAAAAATATTTAAAAAAAAAGGATAAAACTAATTTACCTACCTACCCAAATTTTCCTTAAGCATGATGAGGCAGGATTCACATATATACTTGTTTGGCTTGAGTGAATAAACTCACAGTATGTTATGTCTATAAACGGGACAAAAAATATGTTTATTGTTAGATATATGTTTACTTAGTATACTTGTCCTCAGTTTGAATTTTACCAGGTATTGTTTTCTATATTTTCAGTCACTTAACCCCATACTGTACAACAGATTAGTTTCATTTGAATAAACATCTTGCTGCCACAGTCAAAGTTGAAGATCATAGAAAAGAAAAAATTCCCCAGATTTGGGCAAAATCTGGCTAACAGATATTTGTCTACATAAAACTCATCAGCGTTGCTCGAATCAAAACTGTTGGAAAATAATCAAATCAATTACAAAGTGGAGCACTGGAAACCAATTATTTAGCCATGAGTCTTAACTACTGTAATGATAAAATAAGTAGGCAACATTTAAGTGCGAAGTTAAGGGTGTTAATAACATTAATGGTACCAATTTTACTGCATCAGATATGCATTTAGACAATAAATGTTTCTTCAGAAGTTCAGTGATGTATGAGGCCAATATATTTGAAAAACCAAAACTTATACAAACGTTGGAGCTGATCAAGCCAAAATTAATTATTGCAACTTCAGAAAATGTTGCTGAAATTATGCTTTTAAAATTTAAGTGCTATGTACCCTTTTGTTATTTCAATGCTAAGCATATTGAAATTTTATAGAACATCCACAGTATTTCTACCTATACTCTTATATTTGACAGTTTGGTGCTTAATAGATAGAGGATTATTGCATGCAGTGCTAATAATGATTTCCCTAAAATAAATTTTATAAATAAAGATATTGGTTAAAACAAGTAAAAATACAGACCTATTGAAGTACACCTTCTAGGGTGCTCTCCACTTTAGTGGCTCAGCATAAGGTTTTTTTATTAAAAAGGTTGTTTATCACTTTTTGTAAACAATAAATGCTAGCACATCATGATAAAACAAGTGAGTATTCTATGTTTAAAATTTTGTTTTGAAAATCTCTAATAAAGTCTGTGGATTTTCTGCAAAGATCTTGGCTTTATTTTCCACAAAATCTCCATTTACATTTAAATGTAATGAAACAGTAAATAATGTTTCTTTGAAAGACTTTTCCCATTGGTATATGTACAAAATGGCAGGTCATTTTTATTTTGTATTTTAGCACTTTAAAAGTGTTGTAATTCACAGGACTACAGAAGGGGTCACAAATCTTAAATTGCAAATTTTTATTTTGATTCCTTTGCAATAATAAAAACATGACAAAAGTTTCTGATTTTACAGCAATATCCTGGTTTGGGAGATATATTTTCTACCTCCTTGATTGGTTATTTTGTCATTGATGGGAAGGTTATATGCTAATCAGATCTGTGGAATATTTTAATTTAGTATATTGCAAATAGAAGAACCCATTATTATCATATTATTTTGGGTTCATATTGTTATGTATAATTTTGATTGATTTTAATCATTTTTTTTCAGTAGTTTGCATCATTGCCATTGGTCCTTGTTATTGGATTCTTTCTCAATTGATTATTTCCCCGGGTACCAGTTTTCATTGTCAGATTGAGAAACAGTTGTATGTATTAGGATACTTGTTTATGTGCTTTTGACAAAACTTACATACAAGCCTGTGTGATATTTGTACTTCTTTGAAATTAGTTGATAACAAAGTCCATGAAGTCCATGGAAAAGAGTAGTCCATGAGTATATAATAGTGAATGCACAGTAATATATGACAATAGGAATGGGTTTTTTTTTCAAGAGAAAAATGTCCCATTTACTACTGTTAGAATCAAATGAGTCTAAAAGATTTATCTTTATTCTTCAATTTTATGACAATGATGGATAATGAATATTTGAAAATCTTTGAAATTTGTTCAGCAATATTTGCTAACAATGTTTCTATTAGCATGCAAGCTATATTGTTTTTATTTATTTTCCTGTTGTTAATGTAATTTAATTTCACCTGATTCTATTTTACTTGTTTGATAATATAAAATATTGAAGAATATTTTTAAAATATAAAATAAAGTAAGCATAACAGTTGTGTCCAACTTATATGTATAGTATCTCTAATATTATATTGGGCTTTAGAAGCAGAGGGGTCTAAGTAGTTCAACTACTGTATCACTAGCCTGTCAACAGTGAGGTTGTGAGTTAGAACCCAGCAAGTGGCAGGTGTGTTAGACTCCAATCTTATTGACTAGGATTGGCAGTTTTCCTACTGAAGGTTTTATCCAGGCACTCTAGCTTTCTCCACCAATAAGGGCTATTCCATTAAAATGTATGTGGGAGGGTAGGAAGGGACTTTCAAAATATCCCTACAACCAAGAACCATTTTTTAGATAATTTTGCATAATGGTAATAGATGCATACTGAAAAAAGACCCATGACCCACATTCAATAATTAAACTTCCCTTCCTACCCTCCCACATACATTTTAATGGAATAGCCCTAAAACTGACTGGGATAATATAGCCAATAGGACTGGAAGTGGCTTTTAACACCAACAATCAATCTAATATTATACTGCTTATAAAGTCTTATGTAATGTATCATACAAATTTGATAAATATAATTAGTAAAAACTGTGCTATATAAGTGTAGAATATAATATCATGTATATAAAACCACAAAAGTTTACTATAATGTTTTGAACATTGAAATAAAAATGATAAATAAGGACAATTTAAATGATTGTTTTGAGTTGTTTGAAGAAATGTTGACTTATTCTATATCTTTGACCTAACAAAAATATAAAATTGTACATTTTCTTCTAGGATTTTTTTTCTTTTCGTTTTTTTCAAGTGGCAAACAAATAAAGTATAAACATCGAAACAGGTTGTAAATAGATAAGATGTTAGAAAGAATGAAGAAATATTTTTATTATGGTTTGGAGTATTAGATTTTAACATAAGTATTAGGTAACCGAAATTTAAACTGCTGATTAAAGTTATGTATAGCATTTTTAGAATTTTACACATGTTTTGATGTGCCAATAACATTTGCCTGATGAATAACATCGAAATGCAGTTGAAAAATAAGGAAAAAAAAGATATTAATTTTTTTAACTTGTTATTATAATTGGTTTGCTTCAACAAATGAAACGGTTTTGCTTTGATATTTGTAATGTAACAATATTTTTATTGTTAAAAACCACTGATTTTTTGTCAATACTTGATTATTTCAATTAAGTGTAGTCATATATATGTAACTGACATTAATGTAACTTGTTTATCCTTGCCCTGTCTTTATGGAAATCAAAATATTTTATTTCAGCATTGTGCTTTGTATTGTATTTCTTATGCCAGGAGCTGAATGTTATTATTTTTGCACTGAACTGCATTACAATATTATTTTAACATTAAAATTTCTTAATAAATTTTACTTTTGTTTCGTTGTTTAATAGAGGTTACACTACTTTTTCTGCAATTGAACCATTACTTGGGTACTAGCATGACATTTAAACCAGTTGCATATTTTACCAACTAATATCTTTTCAGTTATGCTCCAAGCCAAAATATTTAAAAAATGCAAAATATAAATCAAATGTTGAATATATATAGCGTATAAAAAAACAAAAAGGACCAATATATTTTGCTAAACCTAGGGCTATGATTGAGGGAGATACATTATTTAAATTTTTAATTGCAAATTTCAATTTAACAAGATTTAGAATGTTTAAACTAAACCTCTACTCTAAAATTAAAAAACCTGCACTTAATATAGTAGGCTGAATAGTAGATGTTGATCATCTAATTCAATCACCAAGCCATTTATCATTGGCCCTTTTTCAAAATAAATACATGTATGTGGTTTTATTAATCATTATTGCTTAATATAAAATAGGAATGAGGATGAGAAATAATTTGGGTGTATTTCAACATTGTAAATGATACAGTATGATTCCTGTTGGTAAAGTTAGTGTTTAATAGCTAGCAAAAGACCATGTTACCTTTAGACTTTTTCAAGTAAGACTTAAGATAGCACAATACAAAGGCAACTAAATTTTATCAAAATTTCATTTTCAGCTGTGTTTGTTACTTATTAATATTCCAAAACCACAGAAGAAAAATATGTTTCCATATCTTGCACTGTTAATGAGTTTTGATGATAATTAGTTTTATAAACAAATGCATGTGTCTGACTGATACAAGATAAGAAAATGGGGGCAGTAATTTGTGGTTAATCAATAGAATCATTTGATAGCTTTATGACCACTGACCAGCTATGAAAATAACAGTTATGAAAAAGAGGTACTGGATTAGGGATTTATAGAAAAAGAAGATAATGAATTCCAAATAAAAATACTTTTCTATATTTGAGCTACCAGGAGAAAAAAAACCAAAAAAAAACCAACTAGTTGGAGCAATAGAGGGAATCAAAATATAAATGTATGGATATTAAACACATATAATTGTACAACAATTAATGTTGATGATGTTAATGCTGGTGGTTATATCAGATTTTCTTGAGGAGTATGTTTAAATATGAAATCTTTTTAAAAGAAAACACAAATTAAATATTTTATTTTCAAACTACATAGAGAAGAAAATTCTAATTTGTGTAAAACACCATATTGTCATTGTATACAATTATAATTCTAGAAATCCCCCATAAGAATCCTAGATTTACCAACTGATAATTTTATGTACACATGCAGAACTAACTTTTTGTGAAAATGTTAAAAACAAAAAATATTGTTTTATGTACTAAATGAATAAAACCAAATTAAAAAAAAGCAAATGCAATGTTTAATTAAACTTCTGAGATCATTCATAGTTGATGTGTATCCAGGTGGGCGGAGTTTTGACCATATCAGTAGCAACTGACTTGCAGCAAGGTCAATAATGATATAAATTCTCCCGCCAGATCTGATTTTTGTTGCATAGGGTGTGCATTTTCTTTATATATATTTAGAATTGCTGAAATGGAATGCTTTCTTACTGGTCAAAACCTAATTGATAAATTATTAAAGGCCAATCCTGAAGTATCCCCATGGTACATGTGTGAATTATATTGAAATTAATGAGGTTCCAATAGGAAAATCCTTATTTATTCAATTGTGACACATACATTTTTGTCAAGAACATGTAGTTTTAAATGAAATTAGCTCCTACATGGGTGCCCCTATATGCCCGATTTTAGCACATGTTGTTCCTTTGTATTGTGCTACCTAAAATGAGTGTGACATGTTTTTTTTATATATTTTTCTATGGTTATTTGGTGCATATGTTGTTTGACAAGAATTGTCACATGTTTATATTAAATAAATATATCTTTATATATCTTAGAATGGTTTACCTTTCTCTAATGCACAGTTAAGTTCAGTTATTAGAAAATGTAGAATTTGCTTGTTTACCCCCCCCCCCCCCCCCCCCCCCCATAAAAAAAAAAAACAAGTTGAAAAACGAGCCTTAGGCAAAGTATGTTTATTGCTAAATGTTAAAATCAACTTCTTGAAAACAACTTATTTTTAATAATGACAAGATCCTATTTGGCATTTGAGTGTATTTAACATCATAAAATAAAAATCTATGACAATAGCATTGAAAATAGTATACATGTAATAAAATGAGTCTTTTCAGAATGTGCATGTTTTAATAAATGATATCTCCTATATCTTTTTAATTGTATTATTCATTTGTTCTTTGGTAGCACTAACACTAAAGGTGACTGAGGTATAGTAATATGGTCACTTTATCTTCTTCCGATTAGCAGTAAAACCCATGCCAAAGTGGGACGTCCGTTTGGCTGCGTAGGATGTAAAAAAAAATGCCGCCACGGCAGGTCGCCAGATAGACGTTTAATCCGAGGTCATACATACCGAATGTGTCAAGTACTCTGCACGTTAAAGAACATATGGAACAATTCTCCCAAGGTTCAGTAGGTCTCCTGTTTGCAACATACCTTCATTTTTCTTTGGCAGTCCAATTTTTCGCCTTTTATCCCAGTCGATCCTTATTTTGTAGGACCTACCTATTGTATTAATTGTTAATTTGTTCCTGTTCGAACATAACTGAAATATTTACCACTGGACGTTAAGCAAGCAACAATCAATTATACGGACTACTGAAATTCAGAAATTTCTGCCTGCATTTATTATTGCGGTTGTTGAACAAGGATAAACATGAAAGAATAATTATTATGAATTCAGGAAATGCTGCATGCACATAATACTGTTCAAATTTTAAATGGAAGTATTTATTTTTACAAAAACTATCTGGGACCAATTTTTCCAATAATATTACATCTAGAAGATTTTTGATTTAACAGGATTGAATTTTGTTTTGTGTGGTTTATTGAACTGTTTAAATTAATGAAGTTCATATGCTTTAAAAAAAAATATGAATCGAATAAAAGGTTTGTTTGGGGTTACCACTTTTTCAAATTATCGTTTTAAGCAACTGTATTTCTACTGTTTATACATGTTATATGAGTGTTATTGCCTTTATTGAACCAATCATTAATAAGGATATAACGTTTTCCAGCTATTCCTTTTCTTGATAAAGGTATCCATATATTAAACATAGTTGCTTTAAGTAAATTTTAAGTTATCAGATGTAATCAGATTTGTTATCGCCATAGTCTGCAATCTCTCTTTTTTACTGTGCGTGCTCATCACATTTTAAGAGTAGGTTTTATGAAATGAGAAGTAAACATTAAAATTAAGTAATATTTCCTTCTTGTTAATATTTTAATTGTCATGGAAATGTTTAAGGATGAATGTGTATGCCATTCATCATTTACCAAATTGTCTTTCAGATATTTGATCAAATAAAAAATATAACAATAAATAGCTGTAAAACTAAAACTAACACAGGTTGAACTTAGCTTAAAGGGACACAAAACACCTAAGAGAGTTAACTTTTAAAAATCAGCTGAACGGTTCAATCACATACTATTAGTAAAGAGAAATCAAGCTTCTCAATGATCAAAATCAGTGTTTGTCAAACTGCTATATATCCAATGAAATGATTCATGTAAATAGTGTGATACAAATTTCTTGAAATTTATATATTTTGTTTCAACAAGTCGAAGTAAACATTTTGACAAAAAGTTTTTGAAATATAAACGAGCTAAATCTAATTTATTCAACGTTTTGGGTACTCCCTTTATCAAGGTTTTTCGCTTAAACCCATGGACTTCAACTAAGATTATTAAAGAGCTTTACATCAATTTTCATAAAGTTATCCATTTGCCAGATAGTTGACAACAATTATTAAGAAAAAAACACAATGTATAAGTTTTCTTCTATGAATAAAACATATTTTATGAACTTGAAGATTACAGAACATTGTCTCATTTTTAGGGATGTTTACAATAAATACTCATTCTTAACATCAAACAGATCTATACAAGTATAAGTTAATGTCATTACTTTCGATGTAGACTTTGGATCTGTTTATCAAACTTGATTGTGATAAAGTAACCAATATTATGGTCCAAATATCCTTAACGTAAACCATTCATATGTCTTGTAGCATTACAAAACCTCTATGCCAAATATAGCTAAGGTCGTCTATGCCTGGGAGTAGAAAGGATCTTAGTGTTTCGAATAGTTTAAAATGTATCAGTAAATTTACAGAAAATTACTATCAACGCAAATTCATGTAAACACCCTAAATGTAGTACTGACTAATTGGCTGGTGAAAACCTCTCAGGCGAAACGTCTATCAACAGTGGCATCAACCAAGTGGTTGTAAAAATTCATAACAGAAAACTGATCATAGCATTCTTGTAGTAGTGTGCTGACATGATATCATGGATTGATTCTCCTGTAAGGCCAAACCAAAGGCTATAAACAATACTGTATGCTCAAACACCGACTGGCTCTACTTTGGAATTATAATAATGAGTTTTGTGGACTGTTACCATATAATTAATGCTTTAAGAATCTGACAGTTATGACTGTTGAGTGCAAAGAGTTAACTTTAATTAACTATCATCCTTAAAAAAAGCCCCATAAATAACAGGCTTAAATTTTTTTAGGCTATACGCGCTTTTCGTCTAAAAAAGACTCATCAGTGACGCTCGAAAAAAATAAGTTGAAAAGGCAAAAAATTACGAATTTGAAGAGCATTGAGGATCCCAAAGTCTGAACGTGTTTGCCAAATACGGATATAATAATCTATTCCTGGAGTAGAAAATCCTAAAAATTATGAATTTTTTAAACAGTTCAAGATTTATAATTATAATCATCTCAATGAAAATTCATTTTAACACAGATATGCTTAATGCGCTTGTTGTATTACACGAGAATTGTAAAACAACCATCATTCAATAAATCTTTTAAAGTTATATTTTTTAGAATCCCTTTGTGTAGAATTGAATATATTATGTTATTTACGTCTTTACAGGTACAAATGTTTGTCTTGTGACTATCTTTAATACTTAATGTCTATAAGAAAAAACATTCATTAAAGCTGTAATATTTGGGACAGGGCGAATGGACCGACAATTATTAACAAACTAAAGAGTGAATTTGAGTATTTTCTTCCGATGTCCAACTTTTATTCGAACAACACGAAAATTATTGTGAGATTAAGAGATTAGCACTCTTACAAAATAGTTATAATTGTATTGGAGGAGACAGATGTAGGCTTACATTATCAACTGCCGAGTAGGAAACCATTTTATGATAATCCCTTATGGAATAAAAAAGGATATTTCTAAAAACATCAGCAAGACTCACCAAAGCAACCATAAGAAAAAGTCTTCTAGTGGTAAATTTATGGTCAAATGGGTTGGTAGCCAAATCATTAGTAACTGGCGCTGTATTGTCAAGGGTCTAGAGACAAGTCTTCATATATCCAATTATTTGTAAAATGTCTTACACGTAAAGATTTGACGAGACACTAGTACAAGATGGTATCTACTCTTGCTGTGTATACTAAACCTTACTACGTGTAATCGTTTTAATTTAGTAATGTATGCTCTAAGATTTAATTCCTAAGTACGTTATATTTTTGGTCCTTTGGTCATTTATTACAGGCTTGAAAGTTGGTGAAAAGAATTTGACATTTAAAAGTATGTATGAACGAATGTGAAAATTCTGAATGATGCCATACATTTAAAATTTATAGTTTGTAATAGGATGTAAAAATTGTTGTCCAACAACTGTTCCCTATCTATTTCTGCACCATTCTAATGATATTTTATTTTAATTGCTATTTAATGATGTTTTCCCTTTTGATATTCAAATATTTGGATTAAGGCATCGTAGTAGAAGATAATTTGACTTTAATATCATCCTTCCTATATATAAAAAAAGTCTTCCTGCTAAACAAACAAAACAAAAAAATCCACAACCAGTGGCATCGACCAAATTATTGTAAATATGCACCAAAGGTACCAGACTTGTAATTAGGTATGCTAGACAATCGTTCAACAACACAGAACTCATCGTTGGAGCTCGAATATTTAGTTTGTGAAGTTGTAAATGTTCATAATTTTGGCCAATCATCTCCTTTTATAATGTGTCGAAGTTAATACCATAGCGTAGCAAAAGGGACAACGCTATTCCATATTACTTTCATCGTGTATGTACAGTTTTAAAAATATCAAAGTTACTGTAGTAGATGCTTTAACAAACGTTTAAGGGCCTGGTTTGGCCTATAAAATGAGGTAACACATATATCTACAAATTTTATAAATTGATACATGACAAATTATTCACTATATTTTCTTTAATATACATTGTGTACATCTGTTCTGATTGTGACAACAAAGATAGAAAGACAGGATACATCTCGTATAATTGTTGTGGTAGATATACTTTAAATATAAATAATATTCTTAACATAGGTTTTGAAGTTTTTCAAAAATTACTTTTAATTATACCGCCAACGGAAACAATTCCACTGCAATGGCTACTTAAAAATGGAGTTTTGTAGTAATTTTATAAATATATCAAAAATATCTATCAGATATCAGCAATGAAACTTAAAATATTTTTTTTTTATTCAACAACAATATTGCACATGCTGTTAACAGATTTCTTCACTGGTACAGTTATTTCAGTGGAGATCCCTGTATATTAGTACCTTAAGACCAGGGTATCTTCAGGTATATATTTATAATTTTGTTAGTATGTATATTATATGTCTTTAATACATTGTTTATCATTAATACATTATTTCTCTATTATTTTACTATTATATCTCTGAATATGAACTTTATATATATAGTAAAAAAAAACAGTTTTCTTTAATATACAATCAATTGTTACTATCTGATAGATGTTGAGAATAAAACAGAATAACGGGTTATCTTAGCGTGTTCGGAATTTGGTTTGTGGTTTAATATATTTCTCTGTTGTCCGGTATAACGGTTTTTCAGTTGTTGTATTTTTGTGTGGATTAATTGCTTTCACCACGTGTCTCCCAAATATAATTGTATTAGGCACGGAAGGTATGTACACAAAAAAAATTTTGGTCTCATATAGTAAGCATAATTTGTATATCTTCCGTATAATCTAAAATTACAGTATATAAATTTGTGGAAGAAATAAGAGGTACTTTCACTTTCAAAACTCATTGAAATTGTAAAATGAAATAATCATCTATCAAACCGTTATGTAAAATACATATATAATAACAATATTGCCTATAATATAACAATGTTGTCAAATATAAGAATATATCTTTTCTAGTATCCCTTTTCCTTCAATATTAATATATTTTTTTTGTAATAATAATCCTTTTTTAAATTCTGACCTAAAAACATTATATAGATTGATATTGTTTGTCCTATATTCTGACAAATAGTGTATTTTGTGTTTAGTGAACACAATAACTGTAAGTAAAAAGTTTATTTCATAATAATGTTCATCATTAATTTTATATCCCCAGATTAATTTTTTTTCAGTGAAAATGTGTCTACCAATCTTAGCTATTTCAAATAACTTATATATTTCCTCCTAAAACTCATCTAAAAGTGGCACGTTACAAAAAAATGATCATAGTCTTCTGTAAGGTTACAAAAATTACAGGTAGAGTTATGTCTTATTTTCCATTGTTTTAACAAAACTTTGTTTGGAAGAATAAAGTGTAATAGTTTCCATCAGCACATTTTCAGTTTATTATCTTTTAAATAGTTATGAATAAATTTTTGCATATATTGAGCTTCACTTTGTATATTTTCACATTTTAATATTCTGTTCCACTTATGATACCCTATTGGAATTTCTTTATCATATTCTATTAAAATTGTATAAATTTTCTTCGAATCTAATTTTTCTAGTTTATGTTTGCAAATATTTTTTTCACTTATATATAGTGAGTTATTTGTTAAAACACTAGTTTTTATTGAACTTTCTTCATTCAATATTTTTAACCATTCTTTTGGGATTGCTGTTCTTAATTTTGAGAATTCAGTTATCCAATTCGATTTATTCTTTAATTTTAAACTTATAATTTTTTCTGAAAAGACTCCATTTTCATCAATAATATCATTTATATGAATGATATTGCCATCTATCCAGTTTTGGAAAAGTAGTGGTTTCTTTTGAAATTTGATCAATTGATTTCCCCAAATGACTTCTTGGCGGATAAGTCTGTAATTATTTGGATGTTTAGTTTTATTATTTTTATTTTTTAACCATACTTTAATCATATCAAGATAAAATTCTGGTAGCTCTTTCGTACCTGGTAGCGAGTATATATTATAAGTATTCATTCTTAAGATAAGTAGATTGCTACCAAATTTATTTAGATAAAATTTTGGTATAACCATCCAATTAAGAAATTTATCAGCAGTTAATCTTTTTATCTAACCTATCTGAATAGATTCTATATATTTATCTATATTTACCATTTTTAATTCGCCATGTAGTTGGTTGTAGCTTAATACAGTGCGTTTAACTTTTCTGTCTTATTGTTCCATAGAAATTCATATATAATTTTTTTAAATTTATCTAAATACTCTTTGCCCAAGGTTGAGACTGTAGCTAAATAAGTAATTATAGGAATAACTAAAGATTTAATAACTGTTATTCTTCCTATCATGGTTAGGTTTCTTTTTTTCCAATGAGATATTATTTTTACAAACTTTTTTAGCTGTTTTTCAAAACTTAGTTTATGACACTCTTCTTTGTTATGCCCAAAATATATCCCCAGACTTTTAACTGGTTTATCTGTAAAGTTAATATTTTCATATTTTTTTACAATGTTTTTGTTTCCCTAGCCAAATACCCTCCGTTTTAGATCTGTTAAGTTTTAATCCTGACAGTGAACCAAATGTTTCAATCATGTTAAGAGCTTTTGAAATATCTTGTTTTGATTTGAGAAAAAGAGTGGTGTCATCTGCTAGCTGACTTATTTTTAAAGTATGGGTTTTTCCATCTATCTTGATTTCAAATCCTTTAAGGTTATGGTCTTGCCTAATTTTACAAGCTAGAATCTCCACAGCAATAACAAAAATTAAAGCACTACATGGACAGCCTTGACGTATTCCACGATATATACTCATGGGTTTTGAAATCCACCCATTATTTAAAACTGAACTTTTTATGTCAGAATATAAAAGTTTTATCCATCTCATCATAGAATTTTTAAATCCAAATTTTTGTAAAGCAAAGAACATAAAATCCCACTCTAATGAATCGAATGCCTTTGAAAAATCTAAGAATAATAAAGCGCCCTCTATATCAAATTTGTCTGCATAATCTATGACATCTTGAATTTGTCTAATATTATATCCTATATATCTGTTTTTAACATTCCCATTTTGATCTCCATGAATAATTTGGGGTAATATTTTGATGATTCTTTGAGCAAGTGAATAAGCAACTAATTTTGCGTCAACATTCAATAATGTTATTGGTCTATAATTGTCTAAACTGAGAGGATCATTTTTGTGATGTAAAAGGGAAATAACTCCTCATTTTTGTGAATTTGTTAACTCCCCTTTATCAAATGAGAAATTAAAAGTTTTGACTGCAAACTCTTTAAGATGTTCCCAAAAAGTTCTATAAAATTCTACACTTAAGCCATCAATTCCTGGGGCTTTATTTAGTTTCATTTTAAATACTTAAAATATTATGCTTCAATTTGTAACATGTATGTATAATGACGACGATATGTGCACATATTTGCAACAACCATGTATATGAAAATCGAGACAAAATGTATTGATTGATTGATTGTTTGTGTTTTTACGCCACTTTCAGCATTTTTAACAAATTTTGAAAGGATTTCATAATTTTACTATTTTTGGCAATCCCAGTGAGTTAAAGGTTAGCTCCATTTAGTTACAGAAAGTATGTTCTACAAATTTTCTAATCACGAACTGGTGGTTATAGCTACTGAGGGTTTGATTCTGCACGCACTGGTTTTCCTGATTCAGATACATCTTTATTTTCCAAGCCTTTTTGAATAGGTGTTACATCAAGTCCTGGGAAAAAGTAAAGCTGTGCTCCCTCACAATATTCCAAAAGGACAATTTGTGCAACAGTTTTCCTCTCTATTGTCACTTTTTTATTCCCCTCTGTTGTCTGCTTTGGTACTACAGCATGGGCCAGACACATGTTTGCCTGTAAAGGTCAATTGTAAAGTTAATACCTTCGAATGAAAAAAGGAACATCTAAACTCATAAATTCATACATCTGTCTCAGCTTCAGCCCTAAGAGTATCAAGTGCATCTTTGATCTTAGATTTTTCATCAGCAAATGTTTTATGTACAGGAAATCATGCTTGATAAATCTGATATCTATATACATTAAACAAACTTTATTTCGCGTTTAGCCCTTTCTATACCACTTCACGGCGATTTAATTTCGCGATTTTCAAATTTACTTGATGTATTTAGATAAGGGACGATCCTAGTTTTACATATTCGCCACGATTTAAATTCGCGTTATTATATACCCGCGAAAATAAAGCGATCGCAAAAAATTTGGTTTACAGTCAATCATCCGTATGAAAATTAGTATATTAGACTTATTCAGTTATCTGATGTACCGAGAGAAATATATGTGTTATCTTATCCTAAATGTAATTTAACTTACACTTACTTTTACCATATTGAATTTCGTGAATCAATTAATTAACTTGAGTTCCTAAGGGTGACCGTTGAGTAGAAATATAGCCACTTTGGTCATCTTCCGACCGGCAATAAAACCCTTGCTAAAGTGGGGCAAATGTTTGGCTGTGTATGATGAAAAGTACGCAGCCATGCCCAGTCAAAATGCGGACGTTCAATTCGATGCATCCTGTAGAGACAGTGCCACGCTCTCTGCACTTTTAAAATTCTTGCAACAACTCTTGAGGGAGATGAGGTGGAGTTCGGATGTGACCTGTTACAGGCCTACATTTCTGTCCCTATCCAATTTACCTCAATTTCCAGTTGGCAATCCAAATTTCCTCGACCTTCAACCCTGACAGCTCTATGACAGGACCTATTCACTAGTATTGTTTGTATTGTTTATTTGTTCTCGTCCTGAATATGCATGAAATATTGGCCACTTGACGGTAAGCAAACATCAATCAATCATTAACTTTAATTTTGTCCAACACTTTTGTTGAAGATTTGTCTTGTATCTTTATTTTAAAATGTATGTATAAATTGATATCTGTAAATATTTCCTGTTATAGATACTATAACAAAACTGATATTACTTATTTGAGACACATTGTTGTTAAACACTTAAGTATTTATCTCAATTAGGATTACACAAAATATATCTAACAGCTGTGACTGGTGATGAGTAACATTTCAAGGACTGAGTATAATGAGAAAAAAATATACTATTCAAAAGCAGAAACAAGATACTTGTTTATGTAGTTAACAATAACATTGGCATTACATATTTATCATTATTCATTAGGAGTAACTTGAACTCTACCTCAACAAGTGGTTTTGATACGTAATAATGCAGATCATCTCTTATATGTATTAAATAGTTCTTAGAATGAGAGTTTGGTATAATGTCCCACATTAAGGGAAAAAGACACAGTTTGACCTTGTTCTTGTTACCATCAAAGAGAGGTAGGTGTTATTTCAAATGAAGACAACCTACCATCATTACAAAATGATATCGCTTATTTTAAAACTTTTGTCTTTTTTGTGTGTCTTTTACATCTTTTTTTTAACAATTCAAGCATGCTTGCTCCAACAATACAGGTAATTGATATGAAACACTTCGCAGGCAACTCCATGAAACCCTCATACTGGCATGGCAAAACAATTATTAAAGCTAATATAATCACAAACCTAATATGTCTTAATTCTTTTTACATATTCGTAGCATGTATTTATTTAATACTTTACCTCTTTTAATAATTCCATAAATGACTTTTCACATGCAAAGTTCTTGAAGACATGGATAAGTGCCTGAATGAAGTATGATCCACTCATGTTTTCGCCAAGTATCCATGGACCTTGTTCTGAAAACATTATCTTTTTTTTTTAATTTTTTTTGCAAAGTAATATGTCATATTATGAAACCGTTGTTATTGATCGTAAAAGGTAAACACGTTTAATCGGTTAGGTTTGAGGCATTCGCATTAGTTAAAGAAAATTACTCAAACAGAATTAGGAAAACTTAAGGTTTTATTTTCATGAGGCTTAAATCTTTGCAAATCTGATGTGTCATACCATAAACAAAACTTATGTCTTATTTTTGGATCCGTACAGTAAACGAAGTTAACTATCCCCTACATGATAAACCATCAGGTAAGAGTACGAGATTAAACTTTGATTCAATATTTCTCGTTTTGAAGTCGGCGATGCCACCAGATTTGAGAGATATTAAAATATCAAATTTGTGACATACATTGTAGTGAACACCTAACTGTGGTCATTGATAAATCAAGTAAACAATTTTTTCTCAGAATCCCTTATGATGAAGGAATGACACTTTTTCTAGTGTCGTAGTGCCGGGATGAGATATTAAGATGATGGGTTTATTTTCTTTCACATAACGCTAAATGCATACTAGTATTTTTTTAATTTGTATTGTGTATGTTCCGGACCATATGAGTATGTACTCGTTTGGTTATTAAATGGCCGGACCATATGAGTATTTGGACTATATAAATATTTTTCAAATATTCATTAGAAACGTTTCGATAATACAATAAACTTTACTTTAAAAAAGCAAAACAATGATGGTAACATGAACATGTATTATTTTATCATCCAAGGGCTACATAAACGTTAAATATTAATGCCACAGTTAGTTTCCATCACTAATTTTATGTTTGCATGCATGCTTAGGGTGACATTCACTTCCACACGGTACCATAGCTTTTCTGCATTTGCACATCCTAATCTGGGTGTATCTGTTTTCTGTCCTTCTCTAGTGTCAATTAATAGACTCTTTATCCTGTAGACTGTTTCATCAGTTAGTAAAATAGTTGACTTCTTGTTTAACAGTTCATAAAGATATTTTTGAAAGTTATCTTCCCAAGTCGACATATTGCCATTCATTCGTAATGACAAATCGGTAATGACCATAGGTATGAAATGTGTTTACTATAGTTTTGACTAGTGAGTAAAATTAACTGGGTTAAACTGATTCTTTTTATTTAATTAATCTTGTAATAATTATAATAATTACACGTAAAATAAAATGGCCTTTGATAGCTTCTTTTTAATGACGTGACAACTAGAAGGGTCAAGTATTAAAAGTAAACGTGTTAATTACCCCGACCATAAGACCAAATACTCATATGGTCCGGAACATGTGTATAAAAATAAACAGATGTGGTATGATTGCCAATGAGACAACTATCCACGAGTGTTCCAAAAATGTGGACATAAGCAAACATAGGCAACCGTAAAATGAGAAATACTCATACAGTAAAGTAAGAGTACTCGCAGTTACTGAAAGCTAGTTTAAAGACAATAACAACTAAGAAATAAATCATGTTCTCCCAGACTAAATCATTCAGTACACATCCAACGGATTTAGTATAAAGACGTCATTGACCTAGTGCAATTCCAAATTATGAGCAAACAATATCGACATGATGTAGGATAATGAGTTCTCAACTTTGTACATACATGTATATAGCAATATATATATAGTTATGTTTTAATTAAAAAAAAAAAAAAAAATCAAAATTAGTACAAATGAAAACAATATCTAAAAATTTTACTACTGTGTTAAATTTATAACTTTTATGAATGAGTTTGTTCAGTTAACATGGATCGTATCCAAATTTACGGGCTTTATAACAACATCGCCGTAAAAAATAGGATGTGACATCCCATTTTTTATTAGAACTCAGACTTAGTATTAAGCAATTATATTAGATGAATTCAGCACCCAAAATAATCGACTATTTGTATAGTTTATTTTAAAAGGGCATACCATAATCGCAAAGAGTACTATAAATCAATGCACTATGAAAATTAGGTATACAAAAAACAAAACAGGCTTATACAAGAGAGGTGAAAGATACGAAAGGGACATTCAAAATCATAAGTCGAAAATAAACTGACAACACCAAGGCTCAAAAAGAAAAAAAGACCAAAAAACTTATAACGTCAGACGCACATTTCGTCTTATCAGGGGCGCTCAAATCATTAGAAAGGCCCAAACATATATGAATTTGAAGAGCATGTTGTACCAATTATTCCGAAAAGTTGTGACAATAACGGGTAAGACCATCCATGTCTGGGTGTAGAAAACGTGAGGATTGTCGATAACTGAAAATTATCAACAGAGAATTTACAGAACATGACCTAATCATTGATATTTCATGTCAACACAGAGATTCTGACTACTATATTGGTGATACCCTCGGAGCCGAAACTTCCATCAACATTGGCATCAAATTGAGTGATACTAAAAACTCATCCAAAATCCAGACGTGCTTTTCGTCTAAGTAAAGCTTATCAGTGTCTCGAATCAAAACGGTTGGAAGGCCATAATCAATACAAAGTTGTAAACCAAAAATTCAGAAAAGTTTTGCCAAATACGGAATAGGCCATACATGCCTGGAGGTAGAAAAACCCTTAGTATTTTCGATAATTAAAAATTTATCAACAGAAAATTTACAGAAAATGACTAGAATACAAGATATGGAATATCAAAGAAAGGTGGACGATAAGAAGGGATAGAAAAAGTCACAAGTCGAAAACGAACTGACAATGCCATGGAAAAACAAAACAAAACAGTCAACAAAAACACAAGATAAAAATAAAGACTGAACAACACAAACCCCATCAAACACCGGGAATGATCTCAGGTGCTCCACAAGGGTAAACAGATCCTACTCCACATATGTCACCCGTAGTGTTGCTCATACAAGTACAAACCTGATGATAAGTGTAATTTGGTAGGTCACATTCGAGGAAAAAACGACGGGATTGTGGTTACGACAATTGAAACATCCGTACTAATTATTACAAAATATCGAATAACAAATATGTACTAAAAAAAGCCGGATTTTTTTTATCACTATGTGATATTGGGGTTTGCATATATTTATTTGAAACTCACTCGAATAATATTATATGTTTGCGCAGTTGTGATCTAACGGTGAATCAAAACATAAACCAGTTAAAATAGACATCTGATTTCTTCATTTGACTTAATTTCTACATGTTCTAATCAGTGATGAAATGATTGCTATAACGTTCTGTCCAAAAAGAATAATCTATAACGTTTTGTCCTAAATGGAATGCAAGCAAAAAAAAAAATAAAAAACAGAATTACCTATTCTTGGATAATTTGACACGACAAATACATCATCTGTGTTAGATTTACCATTCTTTATTATGTCATATTTAGAATCCGACGAATCAAAACCTTTGCTTTTCTCTGAAATCAAATATAATCGCTTATGAATACATGCATACGATATACAGACTTTTAAATCAGGATACCATATAAACCCTTTCTATTTCAATTTAATATATAACTAAAACATTCATGTATAGTGTATATAATTTGTCATGTTTATTTCAAGAAAAATATTTTTGAGTATATTTCAATGAGACAGCTTTTAAACAACAAAACAATAAATTCCATGGTTGTCGTGTTAACCACTAATTTGAAATATCTGAAAGACGATGGGCGATAGTGTACGGTAGTTTGAAAAGCCCTTACATATTACAAGATACATATTACTTTTAACAACCCACTAAACAAAATTTCAGGCCTTTTGCATAAAATTGAAACGATGCAATAATATATTTGTATGGAATGGAAACTGTGTAGGTCGAACTCTCTCCTTTCAATCAAGTAATAGTTTTTTTATGGAATTATTTATTTTTGATTGGTTGAAGCGCCACTATTGGAAAAAAGAGTCTTTTTGGTCAATTAGTCCTATAAGGAGTAAATTCATGGCTTCAGTCATAATCTAACTCTTGGTATATTATGTAGTGCAATTACTTAAAATTGCAGAATGCAGAAAAAAATAAGTTTTGGCAAATAATTCCTATGCGGTCGATTGAGGGTTTGAGTCATTCAAAGACTCATATTAAGAGTCAATTGCTGGCTTCAGTAATATAATATTTCTATATTTTGTATTGTTGACCAGTTTTTTATTTCTTTTTTCCTTTATAGTTTGCACGCTAAAATAATAGAAATGATAAATTAGTCAAACATTGTCATTCAAGGGTATAACCATTATAAGGATTTGTGTGATAGTTTCGGTCAGGGAAAACACTTGTAACTATAGTAGCTATACCATAACAAAAACATACTTTACACTTCAACACATAGTTATATGAAGATGTGGTATGAGTGCCAATGAGACAACTCTCCATCCAAGTCAAAATTTATAAAAGTAAACCAATATAGGTCAAACATGTCTATTCCTTTCAAAACTCCTTTAGTCACTGAATAGGGTTAGGGATTCCATAGATACAGCTTAAGCTCTGACAACTTTGAGTTTAAACAGTGAACTAAGCTTTGTTGGCAAGATTGTTGGTGTATTTAATACATCAAATAATGTTCATATTTTGAACTTTTCATTTAGAGAAATCCTTGTTGCCTTGGTTTTTTTCATCTACAAAAACAATTGGATTGACTGCTTATCATTTAAAATTGAAGTTGTTTTCATTTATCAATTAATTCAGTTAATTGTCAGTTTGGATGTCTATCACATACATTTAAACAGTTTCGAGACATAAACCATTTACCGGTATAATAACATTTTTACTCCTCAAAATATCAAATGGTTATCGAAAAGAAAAATTGAACATTAGCTATTTCCAATATTCTTTAGTTTGTTTCTAAGTCGTTATTCATTCCTTAAGTTGTCAAGTACAACAATTTCAAAAAATAAATACCTTGAAAATTGTAGGTTTGGACAAAAACTATTTTCGGTTTCCCTTCAAAATGATGACAGCCTCTAATGATTTCTAAAATTGCATTTCTTTGAACAGCTTTCCCATTGCAATCATAAATTACTCCAGCTTCACAGTCAAATTTCCCAGATAAAACCATTATACATAGACTGTCATACTTGGAAGACTGATTTTTGTCTATCTCATCTAATTTTCCTTTCAAGAACTCTTTAATCTTCTGCAACAAAAATATCTTAAAAATTGTTATTATTATTGATTTGTTTTATTTGAATGAAATGTTTCCTTACAAACATATATGTAAACCTAAAATGCTACATTGTTGCACACATGGTATTGTTCAAATAGCACACTACAGCATTCATAATAAATATGTTCTCTACGATCAAAATAGCAATAGATAATATTTACGAAAAACAACATGAATAGTGGAGAACATACGAGTATGAATTCATTTTTTCCTCTTCAGGGTAACCAAATATCCAATATAAAGGGGAAACAAGTAATTTTTGTGGATACTTGATGAACAAAGTTAAACCCTTCTATATTGAGATTAACATGAAATGTGTTTTCGTGGAACGTTCATATTTGCTGTTTATTTATACCCAGAAGATTTATTAATACAAGTACTCCAAAAATAATAATGAATTCTAATTTTAAATTTCATTTAGTGATTGTTATTTTATAGTGTGCAACTAATAACCAATGATTTGTTTCCAAAATGAATAAACAGTAGTAGATTGATTTCATATGAAATATGTGAGCATAACTAAAGGCGATATTTAAATCATACCCACAGCTGCACATTCAGTTAGGTTCGTCATTTTGCAAGATGTCAGTTTATGTTTGTCGCGGCTATAAACTGAATTTCCATAAGCAATATTAAAACTTTAAGTGTACATCTACTAAATATCGATTTGCCTGATGAGTGCCATAATATTAATGGATTGATTACATGTGATATGTGTAAACATTACTGAAATAAACGCAAAGGCGATATTTGCAATATAAGTAAAATCCTCGAAAGTTTCAGACATTTCAACATTGACACGATCAGAAAAACGTTAAGGCCAATTTCTCTAGTCATAGGATTCATTTTCCAATAGCCAGTCAATTCAGAAATCTGATAACACATCATATATGATACATCACGGCTTACACCTGCGTTTTGCATGCATTTATGCTAGTTTCTCTATTGTGGATAACAGTGGAATCTACAAGTGTAATATGATGACTGATATCATCAACAAAACTTTAAAAAGTTACTCGCATAATGTTTTATTTTAGCAGTGCCAAACATTTGGATAACATAGTTCTTCATAAAATGTTCTGCATGATTTTATTACTTTGTATTGTCAGCAACCAAAATGTTATATATGTGTCATTCTTATATATTTCATTATTTATATTCAAATAAACTCATCATAGATACCAGGATTGAAATTTTGTACGCCAGACGCGCGGTTTGGTCTACAAAAGACTCACCAGGGGACGCTCGAACAAAAACGTTAAAAAGGCCAAATAAAGTACGAAGTTGAAGAGCATATTACATTTACTGAAAACAAACAATATTTAAATATGTATATATATTCATTCTTCAAAAACGACAATAATAAATACACGCTAAAAAATCGAAATGTACAGTACATTATCTACGGCAATCATGACACTGACATTCATGCTGGATGTAAAATCATAATCCGTCAATCTCTATATACTGGAACATAGATCAACAACACATCCATGATATGAAATGTCGTCTTTACAGAATATAGAGGATAATGGGTTATTCTATTTTATATCCGAAAACATTCTAATCAAGAGTGGACATGTTGAAGTGTCTTCCCTGCTTTACTATTGTGTTGAAAGTATGTTGAACATGTACACCTTACGCTTATTATATGCAAGAAATACATTCTATGGCTTATAAAATATTTCAAAATTGTATGATCTATTTGTTGTGGTATCCTAGAAACGTACCTTACCATGAAACTTTATCTCGACAAATTGAGCATTTAAAGGTCAAATCTTATAGGTCAAAATGGGAAATAAACCGCTCACAGCATGTTTTAACAAAAAACAGTTAAACTACTTTTCACAACGATTAAGGAAATAAATTATCACAAAATAATTACAATTATCAAATGAACCATGAAATTCAAAGTGAAATTAGTTAAGATAAACTTCGTCAGGCAAAATTGTACTACTTACATTCGATAAACCAAATTTGATGATCCTATTTCTTATTATACTGACTTTAACATGAAACTTTTAGCTAATCAATAAAACAATTAACTGTAACATTGAGGTCAACATAAGATAAACCCAATCAGACAAATACGTTCCATTTTCAACCATTATTTCAGCCTATATACTTCTACTTCTACTTCTACCATATAGTGACCGCCTTCAACAAATTGAAGATCATGTCACAGGAGGAAACTTACAACAAGACATAGATTGATATATATACAATCTTTAATAAATACGAAAAAATAAAAAAAATGCTTTGTATAATTAAGTATAATGTAATAGTTGAGTTAATATTGATGCTTTGAAATTGATGATTTGAAAGAATCTACTGAAGTGCAATTTACAATGTTGTCCGGTAGTTTGTTCCAGTCGGTAATAGTTCTTGGAAAATAGGATTCTTTTCTGTACTGTGTTTTGCAGGATGGAATTTGGAAGCTGTTCGAATTTGAATGTCTTGTAATAGCTAGGTTAAATTCCATCTCTGAGAAACTGACATGAATAATATAATAAAAATAAAAAAAATAATCACTGAATAACCTTATCATATGAACATGAACACTTCATATTCCTTGTATACACGGAATATAGATGACATATTAATTAGGGGATCATCAAAACTGATTTAATAAAACAAAAAAATAATATCGATCAAAACACATCAAAGTAAGATAAACACTATCAGGCGAACCTCTTACAATCAATTTGTACACAAACTATACTTCACTCATAAATTTGGTGTCTGACTAAACTGTTCTATTAAAAAAAAATGAACTTGACCAAAAAATCATGCTAATGAGTTCAAGTTCAGACGAACACTGACAATCATTCTACACACAGAAAATAGTTGATCTATGTCTATTATTATTAAAAAAAAACTTGCTATTTTGATATATTCAATATACACGATATATATATTTTACCTATAGGTAAAAGTAGTGGAATACGAAAAATGTTGTTTGCAGTCCATGAAAAATAGATTATTGACATTTGACATATGCCGGACAGAAACGTCAGACAATATGTCTTCTGTACCGATGCAAAATACATTGTGGTTAGATAATGAAAAAGGATTACATATTTTGATATGTTTTTTTAGGAGATGAGGATAGATTATAGTACAAAAATGGTACCCAATGATACAGCAATCATGGTAAATCCACGACTTGCCACGGGAAACCCTTAGACAATTCGTTTTGAAAAAGAAGATGCACAATGTCAAAATAGTGTGAAGTTTCAGAGGAAGTTCTATTACGTTCTGATTAAGGGCGTTTGACTTTCTGCAATGCGCGTATATGATCTTTTCCTAAGTGATTTACAAAAAACATCAATCAAATAAGAAGATCTCATACACATCATGTGAGTTTTTTTGTTGTCAAAACTGGTAAGCAACTGTGTAGCAGATTCAGGTTTATACAAGGGAAAGAAAGACTAACGGACAGTCACATCTATCACTTAATACTAGTAGGGTGCCCAGTCAACGAATTTGATCGATATTTGGGTTAACGGAATAACACACGGCTGTATTTGATATCATTAAAAAGAGGAGAACAAGCCTCATCGAAATAATGATGTCGTCGTTGTCTACAGTGGTCAGGATTTTCCTAAATTTGGGTCAAAGGTCAAAACTAAAATTTCAGGGAAAACGCAGAGTCAAGTTTAGACAGCTGGCTGCCCCTACATATATGCGTTTATAGAAAAATAAATTAGAATAATTCAAAGGATTATAACTATAGTTTCTATATTTAGGACTAATTTGATATTTATGTTGCCAAATATGGTTCGAGATTGATATTTGTACTTATAGGGTGCACATTTACAATTCTCATTCAGCTGTTAAATAACAGTGACCTTGACCTATTAAAATTTCCAAATTCGAAATTTTTACATAAGATTCGATACAAGTGATCTCTAGAGATGTTTTTTTTAGATATTAACATTTTAAAGTTGCCCTCCCAAAATGTTATTTTTCCGTCTGTTGATAGGAGGTGTTCGTAATGATTTTCTCGGTAAATATCCAATTTTATTTTGGTGATTTTGGAAGCACATAAAATTGTACTTAGTTCCAAAACTGGTGTAGTATTAACGCAGAATGGATTGAATTAGCAGGTCTGAGTATATCTTTGCTTTATAGAAATAAAAAAAAACTGCAAACGGTGAAAAAGGGGGAGGGTTTCTGTTAAAGTATATATGAAAACAAAATGACAATTAGAAACAGGTAAATCACTACATCTTACACACTTATATGCCTTATTGAGCATAAATTGGCATATAATTGACATGGAGTTAAAGATTATCTACAAAAAGAGGGTTGTAAACAACATCAATCTAATTAAAATATAGATCTCTGATTTCGATATCCTCATATGAGCTTATATATACGAGCACACGAGATAACATAGATCAGAATTTTAATCAGAAGGAAACGACATAGAAAAATTGCCGAAGCTAGCAGTAGCTATTACGTTTCATTATCTACTGTTTAGTTGAAAGCCCACCGACCAGGTTTAGGTAAGAGAGCTAATTTCAGTTGTTCCTTTTTAAATCGCATTCGAAGCAAGTCGCAGAATGCGAGGCATACAGCATACAATCTGATGGTGGCGGCGGCAACACCGTAAACTATTTGTACATCTTTATATTTCAGAGGGTAGATGAATCGGATGATTCATACTTTGTATATAGATCCATTGTGTTACAAAGTTCCCGTCTGTCATATAATCATTGTCCTTGACCTCATTTTCATGGTTAAGTGACTGCTAAAAAACTGTATAGCCTTTTTTCGTCATGTGAATGTCTCACTTGTGAGTTTGAATGTCCCTTTCGTATCCGTCGCATCTAGGATAACTATATTTGGTTACTAATATATGGTATCCTTGTAAGGTCTACATGTCGGTCATACATGGTTCATCTGACCTCGACCTCATTTCATGGATCAGTGAACAAGGTTAAGTTTCAGTGGTTAAGTCCTTATCTCAGATACTATAAGTAGTGGGTCAAATATATTTGGTGTTTGGAATAGTAGCAAAGTGTACAAAGACCGTACTGTGACCTATAATGGTTTACTTTTATAAATTTTGACTTGGATGGAGAGTTGTCTCATTGGCACTCATACCATATCTTCTTATATCTATGTCTTTGTGGCAGAGTTCATCTGACCTCATTTACATGGTACATTGATAAATAAATGTTAAATTGATGTAATACTTGTATAATATAAAAATAAGGAGATGTGGAAGTAAGCAGTTATAGGCAACCGTACGGCCTTCAACAATGAGAAAAAACACATACCGTATGGTCGGCTATAAAAGGCCCGGGTATAAAAAATTGAAACAATTCATTTGAGAAAACCAACGGCCTAATTTATAACGAAACAATTTACCCAAAGAAATCAGACATGAACCAACGAAAACCACTCAAATACCGGCTCGATCGTGACATGGGACAGGCATATGGTGTTTGGAATAGTAGCAAAGTGTACAAAGACCGTACTGTGACCTATAATGGTTTACTTTTATAAATTTTGACTTGGATGGAGAGTTGTCTCATTGGCACTCATACCATATCTTCTTATATCTATGTCTTTGTGGCAGAGTTCATCTGACCTCATTTACATGGTACATTGATAAATAAATGTTAAATTGATGTAATACTTGTATAATATAAAAATAAGGAGATGTGGAAGTAAGCAGTTATAGGCAACCGTACGGCCTTCAACAATGAGAAAAAACACATACCGTATGGTCGGCTATAAAAGGCCCGGGTATAAAAAATTGAAACAATTCATTTGAGAAAACCAACGGCCTAATTAATAACGAAACAATTTACCCAAAGAAATCAGACATGAACCAACGAAAACCACTCAAATACCGGCTCGATCGTGACATGGGACAGGCATATAAAGAATGTATAATCCTTTTCTCTAAGAATTTCGACATAATTCAGTCAGTTAGTAAAACATGCTGTACCAGTAGAATCCTAGTTTTTACGGTAATTATGTTTATGATCATACTCTTCTCAGACTATTAATTGATGACGTCCTTTCATTAGCTTTCAGTAAGGGGACAACCATTTGATTTCGAAAGGAGGGAAGGGAGGAGGATTTTGAAAATCAATAATTTGGCCTGGTATGAACTGAAAATAAATAACTTTGCACAAGACCGGATGAAAATGAATACTCTGCAACATGAAATACAGGAAAGTTGAGGATATAAATGTGTACAAAAGTGAAAATAAATTTTCGCGCAGCAAAGCCGCGGAAAAAAATAAGCATGCGTAGCAACAAATGAAAAAAAAAGGTCAAACCGGAAAAAAAATTTCCTGCTGTCAGCTTCGCACATATAGGTCATTGGCTTCAGCATGCTCAGTGGTTTGCTGGGACAAACCTATTGCCAATTCAGCTTTGAAATTATTTCAGTTGTGTTTGCTGGTGTATAATTTAAAGCACGAACGGTGATACATTTTTGTTGTCGTTCACACTGAGGGGGATTTAGGTTGAAAACATCATGCAAGACCATAAATAGGCTTGATGTGCCATATTCCGGGTGTGAAACGAAACTGACCGATTTGATGCTTATACTACAATTATAACAAAAATATCTATTCAATAAAAAGTTTAAAGTATTGAAAAACAGACACAAAACATATTCCTCAGAAGAAAATAACAATTTACAAAGTTAGCTGGCTATTCAAAACAACACACAACAAGCAAAATGAGAAATGTATTGAGTGACCACTGTCCTTGTTAATGACCTAATAGTGTAAGCAACAAAATGATGAATGTCACGGGATAATCCATGTTCAATCAATGTCAAAATGTTGACTTAATTTGTGTTTTTAATTGCTAATTTCTTCAAAACTACTTTCATTTCACACATGAAATTTGGCACACACATGCACCGTGTCTTATTGCTTTAATCAGAGTAAAAAATATCGTGATGATACACGTTATAATTTTGCTTTCGATGAAAATGTGGTAAATTTCGGGTAAAATGTTAGTCTTACTAAAATGCTGAAATAATTATACTAAAATCACTTAAATACTTTCCGCTTTTGGTTATATGATATATTTAAGATATAAACTATATTATAAGTACTATTTAAACCGCCAACAAGGAGCGTAATAATTTTATTTTTCATGTTAAAGATTCCACGTACAATACTGTATCTGGGGTTACCCTGTAAAAACACGAAAATTAGAAAATTGTGACCATGGGAACTTACGACGACAATCATAATTGTAAAATATACTGATTTTCCTATAATTTGCAAAAAAAAATTAGCCGTATGTTATCCGTTAACTTAAACTCGTTAACTAGAGGACTTTTTGGACATTGGGCACCCTACTATACGGCACCCTCAAAAAGCAGGGGTATTATAACTATATTTTGATTGTTAACAATACTTTAAAAAAATTAATCGTATCAAAGATTTAGTTTTTAGGTCGACGAAAATACATGTAATTGATACAATACCTCATTTGTGAAATTCTTAATCTGGTCGAAATCATAACCAATGAATTTCAATAGCTGACCTATGTTGGTTAAATCAAAGTCCAATTTACTCGAACACTCCGAATGCCTTTGTGTTTTCTTCCCGTCGTCTTTGTTCTGGCAATGAACATTCGATATCAAAATACACTTCCCTCTTTTGTAGCCGTTTGTCAATGGGTAAATCTTAAAAGAAAATTAAAAATATAAAGATATTTTTAATATACTTTTTTCTACAAATCGTGGCTGAAATGACTCCTCAATTTGGCAAGAAGCAGTTTATCAGAACTAAAGCAACATATAATATTAAGTACCTTCTACAAAACATTCCTGTATTATTTGATTTCATGACTTCTTTATGCTTAGAGTAAAAACAGTTATATCTGCTGAAAGCTTATTTGTTACAATTTTGTTATTGTATTTAAAACCAGTCCAATGATGAGTATGATGTGGTCATTGGTTTTCTTTATTTGATTAATGTTTTTGTAAAGATTATTATTGCTTATTTTGGTTTCAGTTTAATTTGTTCTTCCAAGTGAGATCCAATATGATTTCCTAATACGATAAAAATTAACCCCCATCTAGCATCAGTAGTCATTCCAAAAACGTTTAATTGAACATTTCTGACAATTTTGAATCTAGTTGTTTCTCCAGTTGAAGTTTAAATTTCCAAATAATCAGAAGCTGTTACATGCCAAGACAGCAATGCAGCAACCCTCGAAAAACACCCGGCAAGACGCATTTGTATCAAGTTTGATTTCATTCAGTAAAGAAGGGCTTAAGTAGAGAACAAAATGTAAATGCTACTTAAAGAAAGGACAATAATGACCAACAAACACCATTCGATGGCATAGGCCATGTGAGTTTAAAATCTTGACAATGTCTGTCCTTAACAGTTGACCATTTATTAGTACAGAAGGTTCATAAAATAAATCAACATTTAAAATAAAATAATTCCTCGTACGATCTTTTCAAACAATTAGTGGTATTGGTTGATATGAAGAAGCACTGGATTCAAAAGAAAAAAAAAACGATATAGGCATACTATGTTCACTTTTGTTCCGTTGTTCATGATAAACAGAAATTTACAAATAATGGACAGATAACACTGATGGAAATTCCTTGTATTGATTAGTTGAGTATAGTAAGCTTATAACTAAATATTCTGGTAATAAATACCTTTCTTTCTTTTGATATTTTGTTATAGAAATCCAATGAGCTCAGTTTGATATCTTGCTTCCGCACTGTATTTCTAACGGTTACCAAGTCTGGCCAAGGAGGAACTTTAAGAATAGTAGGCATAACAGTAGGCAATATTGAGATCATGTTTAAACATTGTTTCAATCGATTCTGTTATTTTATTGATCAAATATGTTTACCTTAAGTATTTATCATGTTAATTGACTTGGTATACAAATATGAAATGAAATTAGATACAAAACCAAGATGATAAAAAAATGCATAATCGGTCTTTATTTACAGAGTGATATTTTATTCTTATAAAACTTATTGATTTAAAGTCATACGAAACGAGTTTCAAACAATTGTAATGTTCAGGAAATTATTGAACCAATGCATGCATATATACTAAACTAAGTCCTATATTCATTTTCTACGAATGTATAACGTATAATCGACACATAACATTCATTCGGTGATTATTGATCGCAAGCTCATTAACTTTCGAGTTGGTTTCCAAAGTCTACCGGATCGTGACATTGATAAACAATAAACACAGAAGCACGTGGAGCATGTAAAAATAAGTGAATTGAAAGAGCGATGTTAATTTTTTTTTAATTTTTCTATGCGTTCCCATGTGTTTAATAAACTTTTCAATAACTGTTGTTAAATGATTTTGTGTATTCAACTTGTTTTTTAAGAATCAATTATTACTATTTACCGTCAAGTGTACGTCTGTTTACATTCTGTCATCACGGTTTTTCCTCGCACTTGCGCTGTGCGGTGGCCGAAGTTCTTAAGAGAGGTCTTGTAGTTAAGGTCACTGCATACGGAAAAATATCAGCGAATTAGTGTTTGGGAGGACAATGATTCAATAGCAGTACATTTCTGAAGATTTTGATAAGATAATGGATTTTCTTTTACTAGAAAGTCTATGTACACTTGTTTTATAATGCAACTTAGCCATTCAAGTATATAAAACATATTCAGCTTTTCGAATTTGAAGTTTCATATGACTTTAAGGCAAAAATGCAATACATTTAGTTTATTGATTCATGATTATCATTTTTTCCCTCAAAATAAAATAAAAAACGAAAGTAATTAAACATAAACATGTCTGAGTAAAATATTCTAGTATATATTTGCATTCTAAACTGTCTATTTCGAATTGAGCGCCTATATGTGTTTATTTTTTATGTGTATCTTTCTTAATTTGGTCTTATTTCTTGATCAAACAGAAGCTTCTGTCGTAACATTTAATGGAGATTAAACACAAGATTTATGTAAATGTTAACTGGAATAAACCTATGCTGTCTATTAGTTAAATATTAAAAAATTTAAAACAAATCTAAATGTTGCTTCCTTGCATGCATTCTATGATTGTTTTGTAAAGATATTGATGTCTTACAAAAATCATCAAAGATACTAGACATATTTTTTGTTACGTTAGACGAGTAAAAGATGTTAAAACCCAATCTGTATCTAAAATTCACTACAAAGTCCATTCATAAAAAAATACGGAAACAATTATACTAATATTACAGAAATTTTGCTCTGGAAACCGTCTTTTTATAATGAAGAACCAACTGTCCAAGCTTGATTAAACTTCATGAAGGTTTGCAAAAGTAATTGATGAATGAACAAAATAATCAGACAGTTTCTAATTGTAAACTGCTGAAGAAATAAGACCATTTATCAGTACAATACGGAAAAATGAAAAAGAAATTATCAATATTTTGTTTCTGCATACTGTTTTGTTTTTATCATATAAAAGCTTCTTTCAAAGTTTGTTAAATAATTGACCAATTTATTGATATCTAACAATTTTTAAACCAAAAGCCGAACCAAATCAACGTCGACCACGAAAATATAGGATGACAGTATCTCGCCTCCGTGCCAAAATATAGGCTTATATAACAATGTGTTTTACCTTAAAATCACTGTTACTTTTATTACCTATCATATCATCTGTTAATCCCGGAAAAAAGAACAAATCTTTCTCTTTACTATGTTCAAAAATCATAACTTCTGCAACAGCTTGCTTTCCCCCAACAGGCATCATAGCACTGGAAAGACATTTATTTACCTGAAAAAAATTCTCTTCAACTAAAAATTCGCGAAACACAGACTTTGAATAATAATATATCTTGCAATATTATACCATTATTGTCTTTTGATGAGGTATATGTGTGGTTTATTGACCTTTAAAAACTGATATTCACTAAGGACAGCGGCCAAAGTGAATATTAGTTTTTCAAAAGACAATTACTTACCAAAACCAATTGTACATCAAAAGTATTTACCATAAATATACACGCAAAAGCACGCGACGTTTCGTGCGGTGAAGATATTTTTTCCGCAGGTGAAAGTTCTATCAATATGGATAAAATAATTTACCGGAAAGAGAACTACAATTCCGGTGTAATGTTTAACAAAATTAAATATTTTACTTTTTGTTATTGGTAAATACAGATAGAGCATGAACCCCACAGATTTCAAAGAATATAGTACGTGTCGCCTAAATTTATTGTAATGTATAATTGGAAGACATAAAATGGTATCGTTTTAACCTGCTTCGTCTTTCCTCTATTGTTTTACACTGAAGATCACACAATAGAGTCATATTGGATGGTATTTACAATCAGAAATCCAAAAGTACTCACAAGATGAGTTAATAGGATTTCGTAAAAATGTAATACATCATAATTTATGAAAAGTTAAAAAACATAAAAAAGAAGTAACAAAATAACCATTGGTACATCAATCGAGTTGCAATCAATTCATATAATGTTGTATTAAAGCGCACAATTAACAAGGATTCATGTAATTTGTTGTTGTTGGATTCTTGTAACAATATATTGAAATAGTGTCTGTCACACTAACTTATTTTTGCATTTCAATTTACTGATATTGTTACCTCAGGAAATGTTGATCTGAAAGCATTGTATAACTTATTATATTAACCAAAACATGCATCGGGGTTCAATAGCTAAGTAGTTTGCTTTTGCATTTCGGTTTACTGATATTGTTACCTCAGGAAAAGTTGATCTGAAAGCATTGTAAAATGAATGGTAATCTTTTCTTTTATCTTCGATTGGGATAACTTTAATATTTTTAGAAGAGTGCTTTAAGTGGACGGGTTGTTAGTTATTGCACTATCTAATCCCGCTGTTGACTGCTTTTCATAAGAAAGGCAAAGAAGGAGAAGTGTTTAGAACATTAACGTCTAATGAACTGTCTGACTGCGCCTGATGAAAACCAGAAATTATTGAAAGAATAACACCATAAATAAAATCAATTAACGAATTCCCGTGACGATATTAGCTTATTAAGTCTCCAGAAGACTTATTGTTTTTGCTCAGTTCTTATTATTATGGCACCCTCAACGGAGTTGGGGTGACATATTGTTATTCTACATTTCTTTTTTTCTTATTATTTTTATTTTTCTTCCACTTTTTTTGTGCAGCTTATATCTCAGAATTGTATGAACCAATGTTAATTGAACTATACAATAATGTTAACCAGCATGTGCAGATTTGCAATCGGGGTATGGAATTTTCAAAATGACCGCCGTTACCATGGAAACAGCAAAAATGTCCAAAATTTCAAAGTGCTCCAAACTTAATGAAACTTTACAGAAATGTTGATTGGCATGTGTAGATGTTCTCTTTGACTTTGGAATTTTCAAAATGGCTGCCGTTACCCTGGCAATGGGGGAAGGGTGCCATCCGTTATTACTAGCAATTACAAATCTAGTTTTTATTCTTCTTCTTCTTCTTCTTCTTCTTCTTCTTCTTCTTCTTCCGCCGATCTTGTACGCACCCGTTCTCCAAAAATACTGGTCAGATTAACTTAAGGTTTCACAATATGTTAGACTAACATGTCTAGTGGTGCAATCAGGGTTTTGTTTGTGCATTGGGGTTTATAAAGGGGTACTTTGAGGGGCATAAAGGAAGGAGGGGTTTACTATAGAACACTATGGAATTTTATCTTTTTTTTTATTTTCAAATGATTATAAGTTGAAAACAGTTAGTGATAGACACTATTTATAATTGAAAATGTTCTAAATGATAAAGCACATGAAATGAAATAAAAGCTTAGTCCCCAGGGGTTACCCCCACCTCCTGCCATTTGAAAAAGTTTTAATATCTTGGAAGTAGTCAAGACCCCCATCCCTAAACCATATATATTTTGGTTTGTCATGATAAAGCACATCAAATGAAATACAGGGTTAGTCCCCAGGGGTCATCCCAACCCCCTGCCATTTGAGAAAGTTCTAATATCTTGGAAGTGGTCAAGATCCCCACCCCTAAACCATATATATTCTGGTTTGTCATGCCGAGATGATTTGAATGATAAACAGGGTTAGTCCCCAGGGGTCATCCCCACCCCCTGCCATTTGAGAAAGTTCTAATATCTTGGAAGTGGTCAAGATCCCCACCCCTAAACCACATATATTCTGGTGTGTCATGTCGAGATGATTTGAATGATAGACAGGGTTAGTCCCCAGGGGTCGTCCCAACCCCCTGACATTTGAGAAAGTTCTAATATCTTGTAAGTGGTCAAGATCCCCACCCCTAAACCATATATATTCTGGTTTGTCATGCCGAGAAGATTTGAATGATAAACAGGGTTAGTCCCCAGGGGTCTACCCGACCCCCTGCCATTAGAGAAAGTTTTAATATCTTGGAAGTGGTCAAGATCCCCACCCCTAAACCATATATATTTTGGTTTGTCATAATAAGCACATCAAATGAAATACAGGGTTAATCCCCAGGGGTTATCCCCAACCCCTGCATTTGAGAAAATTCTCATATTTTGTAAGTGGTCAAGATCCCCACCCCTAAACCATATATATTCTGGTTTGTCAGGCCGAGAAGATTTGAATGATAAACAGGGTTAGTCCCCAGGGGTCGTCCCGACCCCCTGCCATTTAAAAAAGTTCTAATATCTTGTAAGTGGTCAGGATCCCTACCCCTAAACTTTATATATGCTGGTTTGTCATGCCAAGATGATTTAAATGATAAACATGGTAAGACCCAAGGGGTCATCCCCACCCCCAGTCTGTGAATATGTTCAAATATCTTGTTAATGGTCGAGATCCCCACCCCTAAACCATATATATACTTGTTTGTCATGTCATGAAGATTTGAATGATATATAGGAAAGGTCCCCAAGGGTTTCCCCCCACCCAGAATGTTATAATATCTTGGACAATGGTTGAGATCCCCACCCCTAAACCATATATATTTCTGTATGTCATGTTCCGAAGATTTGAATAATATATAGGGTCAGTCCCCAGGGGTTCTCCCAACCCCAAATGTTCTAATATCTTGTAAATGGTCGAGATCCCCACCCGTAAACCATATATATTCCTGATCGTCATGTCACAAAGATTTGAATGATATATAGGGTCAGTCCCCAGGGGTCACTCCAATCCAAATGTTCTTATATCTTGTAAATGGTCGAGATGCCCACCCCTAAACTATATATATTCCTGTTCGTCATTTCACATAGATTTGAATGACATGCAGGGTCAGTTCCTAGGCGTCACTAATGCATATCACTTTACTGGCCCAAACCAATATGTACTGGACTTTACCCAATGTCAGGCGACCATAGGAATGACGAATTATGGGAGCTTCGTTTGGGAGGCTTCGTAACAGCATCCTGTTACAATCATTTCTTGTTATAATTTCTTTTTATTTATATGAATAAAAAAGAATGAGGTATATGCTTATGTGAAAGCAACCTAACAACACACAAACTAGTCATTAAGAGATCAAAATAAGGTATTTAATATAGACAAGTTTCTATGCAACATGTCACACACAAAATGTCTAATGTTTAATTAGTAAAATTTAAATTTACCTGCGACTTTAAAATATCACAAAGCTCCTTTAAGACAACTTTTGTCGCCAATCATGGTTAGAAGGATTAATAGCTTTGTTTGTAACCTTAGTGGCAAATATTTCGTTTATCATGTTTATATCGTGTTGATATAGGGTAGGAATGTTTTGCACGCACTAGTCCAAAACCATAACCTGCATGATCAACCTGCTAACTCCCAATGAAGCAAATAGCTCAGGAAAATATGCCCCTTTATCCGGACACATTATTTTAACCATTTTTTGCTATTCCTTCTTAATTCTGCATATATAGTCGAAACGCAGGATATATTAATTTACAATTTTTGGTTTGATCCAATTTCGGGTAGAATCACCAAGCGTATTGACCTGCAAACTGTTATAAAAATGCGCTAGATGTTGAACTCATATGTGAAATATTTTAGGCACTTCAAAGTTTTCCTACAGAAAAAGATACACTGTCAGGTTTGAGTACACAACTATGAAAAAGTATAACAAAAATACCGAACTCCAATGTAAATTCCGAAAGGGGAGGTGCAATCTTTTAAGTATATCAAAACACTGTTTGCATCATTACCTGTATCATCATGTCCATGAATGATTGTTCATGTGCCATATTCTTGAAGACATGAATAAAAGCTTGTATAAAGTAAGATCCATTCATGTGGTCTCCTATGATCCATGGTCCTTTTTCTGAAATGAAAAATAATAAAGTCCAAATGTATCAGTATTTTATATTTGATAGACATTGATGTTGTTATTCTAAATTGATACTAGATTACAGCATTTTAAATTCACTTTAATTTTAAATAATAGAAATAGTATTTGGACTTTATAGATAAACTATTCATGCTGATTCAAACAGTCGTGCTGAGTATACTCCAATCGTAATTCATAATACGGAAAGAAATGGAATAGGTGTCTGAGAGATCTGAAAAGTTTTCACACATTACAACTAATCACTGGCAAGCAGCTGCACACATGTGAAGTCGTTATGCTCAGTAGTACTTTACATCCTACGCTTACTCACTAGCGTATGTCAAAGGATTTTAATACAAAAAAGGTGGGTATCAGGTTATCTTACATAGGTAAACATAATGCCTCTAGCTTAACTGTTTTATTATACGTAGCTACATTCAAGTTTTTACGATGGGCAATCATGGTCAATTATGTATCAGGTGCATTAATCTGTAACAAAATAAATTAAGTTCTTTGACAGATAAACAGGTCGCTTACTCTTCTTTGCTTGCTTCCATATCATGACGTGTGAAATGGTAATAATTATAAAGATAATAGATATAAGAAGATGTGGTATGAGTGCCAATGAGACAACTCTCCAATGAAGTCACAATTTATAAAAGTAAACCATTATAGGTCAAAGTACGGTCTTCAACACGGAGCCTTGGCTCACATCGCACAGCAAGCTATAAAGGGCCCCAAAAATTACTAGTGTAAAACCATTCAAACGGGGAAACCAACGGTTTAATCTATATAAAAAATGAAAAACGAGAAACACTTATACACCACATCAACAAACGACAACTACTGAACATCAGATTCCTGACTTAGGACAGGTGCAAACAATAGCAGCGGGTTTAAACGTTTTAGTGGTACCAAACCTTCACCCTTATTTGAAACAAAAGTGTAACATCACAACATAGAAAGACACACTATAAAATATCAATTGAAATGGCTTAACTCAATCAAAAGATATATTAATACAAGTGAACATACACTGAACGAATAAATTTGATCTATGATACAATGTAAATACAAAATCAATAAAATAAGGGATTAATAATTAAAGTAACAGTATTATACCGCTGTGAAATGTTAAACAATTTCAGAAAAACAACAATTATCTTGAACAAAAATCCGCCATTCACAATATTATACACAGGTAAATGAAAATAATTTTGTTGTTAGGTATACAGTTTAAAAGGAGAAAAGAAATATTTTTACAATAATAAATATGCATATTAAAATTAATGCGCTAATAAAATGGAATTTTGTAGAAGGCATTAAAATCAAAAGTAAGAAAAACAGTCCTGCATAAAAGAAATCACGAGGTTATACTTAAACGTACAAAAATTGCCTTTAACTTGATGATAATGTTTATTTCTCTGAAATAAAAATAACTAAATTATTTCCAAAACAACAAAAGTATCAAAAATCTTAATTATTTTTAAAATTCAAAGGACGCTTACTTTAAGCAATTTTAACAATAATGGTATGTTTAAAGGACATTGACCCAAGCATACTTGCTGCAGTGAGTGCTTAACATGTGAAACAAATGCCTGATATAATAGGCTTTAGTACAATATCAAGGAATAATATGGATAAGTTGCTTCCGCTAATCCTAAACAAAAGTGTACATTTTCAGGAAAATTGATTTCAGCATAATCGAGTTAGTGGACGACATGTGGAAAATTGACGTCAATCTGACCATTAAATTTGTATAGCTCAGCAATGACAGCTAGAACATTTTGAAAAATCAAATTCATGCCTTCATTCACCATTCCAAAAATATATAAAGTTTCAAGTCAAAAGATCGAAGATCGAAGATATATTATACTAAGAAAATATAAAAGTCCGTTATCTCGCGAATAAAGCAAATGGAAATAAATTATAAAAATAGAAGAGGAGAATTTCTCACCCAATTAAAATATTCTAACAAATTTTATCAAATTTTATCAAATTTGCTTGTAAGAATTTTTGTTGTACTATCTGTAGATGGATGTACAAAGGGAATATTGCAGCCCATAAATCAGGATAATTCATCCTGTCTATTACAGTCATATAATAACAAAAATAATCCGTACTTGTCCTTGGTTGAGATGACACCACAAATAGATCATCCTTATTTGGTTCTGTTTTGTAGAAAGGAAGATCAGCCTTTTCAGCGTCTAGGACATCAGATGTTTCTGTTTCTTCTACAAAAATGAAAAAAACACACAGTTTATCTAAAATAATAAATATTGTCCTTTAATTCCATCCCTTTTTAAATATTATATTATGTAGAACTGACCTACAATGGAATGATATGAAATAATTTACAACAATCTTGTACGTATATAATTCACATGATATACAATTGTTCAAAAATGTATCAGGACTTCCTGTTTTTTCAACGGCTGAAATGATTCAACGTTTTCTAGCTTAAAAATATATTTCTTCAAACACTTAGTGGTTCGAAAATCTAAACAGATAAACTATTTCTAAAAATGCGTAATATCGAATCCAGAATTTATTTTAAGAATTATTAAGTGTTCAATTATCACAAATATGTCAAGTTTAAAATGATAAATGATAGCATAATATTATTAGTCTAATTTCAAGAAAACTGACGCCTTTGATATCAGCCAATTAACGCAGTGAAAAACTGACATGGATATGATTTCCAGATAATTTCAGAAACAAAATCTTTGAGCATTTAACTAAAATAAATAAAATAACATAATAATAACATTTACAAACCATATAATTAAATGCTTAGTTTATATACCTTCAAAACTGTATGTCCTAATGATGACGATTTTTGGTTTGTTTTTAAAAGCTTTTGATTTTCGAAAGATTTCAAGTATTTCTTCCATTTGGATTTTTTTGCCATCTTTATCATATATTTCACCTGGTTTATATGCAACGCCTCCAGAGAGGATTACCACAACTAAGCTATCAAAAGTTGAATTTTCTGTGTTGTTTAAATGTTCGTCAAGGAACTTCTTCATATCCTGTTAAAAATATGTGAAAAATCACCTTTGAAGTACAACAACTGACGCTATGTTTATTACTTTTGCAAAGAACAGTCATTGTATTTCCATTATTGATATTTATTACATTGGTAGCAATGCATTACATTGATTTCCCAGTCAAATAAAAACCGATAATTTCACATGTGAAATAAACGTGGTTATTTCACTCTCTGACGTCACACAACAATAGGCGTTGTCAAGACGTCGATAACGTCGGATCAAAACAAATTGTGAATGCGTAGAAAAAAGATATAGTTCCTTACATTTTCTACATTAATTTTATTAAAAAAAGCCATTTGCCAATGTAATAAAAAGAATAACTAATCAAAGAATTCAAATATCGAAAAATATTCAACTCGTCACCGAACAACACTGATAATTAACTCATGCGCTACGCGCATTCGGGAATTAATGCGTTGTTCGGTCACTCGTTGAATATTTTTCTCTATTTGAATTCTTCGATTAGTTATTCTATAATTAAGATAATAACCAAAACCGTTAAAAGTTCATTTTAAATTTTCATTAAAAGGCAATAACTAAAATAAGCAAATATCTGACACTGTTGATGGATTTACAATATACATTTAATGAATTTTTCTACATATTTGGTTTGTCCAAAACTACGATTGTTTTATAAAACTATATACATGAACCCCTTTGTTTAATATGGTTAAGTGACATATTGGTTGAGTTGCTGAATGTAAAGTTGCATCAACACATAGTCTAACATTTGGAAAATTATTTAGGTATATTTTTTTCGAAGTTTTTTTTGTAGATAAGAATGTAGCAAAATGTATTTTCACTACGATATTAATGTACAATAGAAGCCATCTCGTTTAATAATATTGGGAGAAAAAAGACCATATAAGAACGTTTTACAATTGACCACTAAATGTCTTCATAGATTCAGTTTCGTGATTATGAAAAACATACATCTAAACAAGTTATGAAAAGAAAGAATATCTAGAAACAATAGCTTTAGTTTACACGGTAAATAGCTAAATTTCACATTCCTTGCATTTTTGTTAATAAGATTTTCTCTCCTTTTTCTGTTGTTTTTTTAAATATTGGACAATTAATTGCATTTTTTCTTTCGGTTGTTCGTACGAAGGTGACAACAAAAACACAACGTTAATACGTGATCACACAAGGATAACTCAAACCGAGTTCTACGAAAGATTGGTCATAACAAATAAACTGTTTACACAGAGATGTGTCTTGCCTTTACTAACTAATAAAACACGTTAACAATTGTTGACGCCATAGAAGGAGGAAGCAGCATGTTTAATATATATATATAAGAAGATGTGGTATGAGTTCTAATGAGACAACTCTCCATCCAAGTCACAATTTGTAAAAGTAAACCATTATAGGAAAAGTACGGCCTTCAACACGGAGCCTTGGCTCACACCGAACAGCAAGCTATAAAGGGCCCCAAAAATGACTAGTGTAAAACCATTCAAACAGGAAAACCAACGGTCTAATCCATATAAAAAACGAGAAACGAGAAACATTTATGAACCACATCAACAAACGACAACTACTGAACATCAGATTCCTGACTTAGGACAGGTGCAAACAAATGCAGCGGGTTTAAACGTTTTAATAGGCGCCAACATTCAACCTACCTGAAACAATAGTGTAACATCACAACATAGAAAGACACACTATTAAATATCAATTGAAATGGCTTAACTCAATCAAAAGACATATTAACAAAAACAAGTGAACATACACTGAACGAATAAATTTGATCTATGACACAATGTAAATACAGAATTAATAAAACAAGGGGATTGGATGTTAAAATAACGTACACAGGTAAATAAAAATATTTTTTTTGTAAGGTAAACATGGAGTACGGAAATAATTTTTACAAAATAAATAATTTTGTTGTACCTAGTACGAGAACAAAAGTGAAAATTTATCGTCATACTAAACACTTATCAAAGGTGGTATATATTAAAAATAGTGAGACTAGATATAACACTGAATAAGTAAACATTGAATAACAAAAATACATTATAAATTGTATCAACAGATCAAATTAACACGAAAGTACGATTTGAGAGTACTCGCAGTTAATGAAAGCTAGTTAAAACCCAAAAACAATTAATAATTAAAAAAATCATGCATCAGAGACTAAAATCAACTAAAACACATCCCAGGGATTTAGTGTTTTAACGTCATGGACAGTCTAAGAAGACGTGACTTGTGCAATGCCAAAATAAACGTATCGACAGGCAGTAGGATAGTTAGGAGCTAACCTGTTGATAAATATGTATAGTCTCCTTTGAGTGGTTTTGTTCTCGACAAGACAAACATTAAAAGCCACTGCAGGAGTATGGCTGATGATTATCGCTAATAGAACTTGACTTAACTAATGGCAACAGTAGTTTACCGATGTTTCAAAATTCAGTAATCAATAAGAAATATACAAATCAAAGTAAAACATGATGGAATCTAATGAAATCCGAAGGTGCGAACCGGGTTGTTGATAGGGTAAAATTCCACTGATACGTATGCATTACCTGCCAACCAAATCCAATGGCATACTCAGTCGAATTATCATAGTTGGTTATCTGACACAATTGGTGTATCTAAGCCTAAAATATCAATCAGTACACGTCCAACATCAAATGGATTCAGTATAAAGGCTTCATTAATAGTCAGAGAAACACAGTATTCACCAAAAGACAGGTGCTGACATTGTTTCACAGTAAACCAATTACATATTGTTTTATTGTTCTTCAAACACACACCTCACATTTCACTATTCATATGCAGATAGCACGTTGATCCCGAAATTGCGTTTTTACTTAATTCCTAGTTATTGTAGTGGTTACATGGCAAGTAGAAGTCCTTTATTAAAACAAGATGCACGAGACGAGATGTTTTGAATATTTGACTGATCGTGTCATGATTGAATTTATGTTTATAAATAAAGGTTTTACTACAAATAATCCATGAAAATAAGATCGAGGTAATATGAACTATGTAAAATAGATGTGCACCCCCTATAATAAATTCATTCACAAAATTAGTTCAACTTTGGTAACAGTATCATAAATCATTTTTTACATTGACCAATGAATCATGACAATGAGGTAAAGGTCAGATGAACATTGCCAAACAGACATATATATCTTTCAATCATTCCTTACACCAAATATACATGATGAATATGACCTACTGCTTAAAGGTTTTCATATACGGGCTTAACCACCGAAACATAACATTGATCATTTCTCCATGAAATGAGACCAAGGTCTGGTGAACCCTGTCCAACAGACATGTAGACCTTGTGTTGATCCCTGAAACCAACTATAGTTATCTTATTATTCGTTTATTATCTTGGGCTTGAAATTGTGCCAAATTCCATCGGAAACTTGCAGAAAGTTGGGACCACCTGTTTTGTGTTGAAGGCCGCACTGAGATAATTAGTCAAAGAAAGGCAATTTATGTGTTAATCCTTGGCTTTTTTTATTTTGTATGTAACTGAACTGATTTTTATGACACCCTTTAAGTTCTTTACGTTGTAAAAACTTTGATCCTATATATTTAACATTAACATACATCTCCTGAAACGTCTCTCCGTGCATCAGTACTTTGTGATTCATACTGTACATGCTTGAATAGTTGAAATATAGCAGTTTTATCAAAGTCTACACATGATGTGCATTTTTTGGACTTGGAATCATCTGGTGATTTTTCTTCTGTGCACTTTTTGAAATTGGAGTCATCTGGTGATTTTTCTTCTGTGCACTTTTTGGACTTGGAATCATCTGGTGATTTTTCTTCTGTGGTCTGTTGTGTACACTGAACATTCGAAATACTTAGAAATTTTCCTTTCTTTTTTGATGTCATATGGTATACCTAAAATTAAACACATAAAAGGCAAAAACTGATTTAGTATCCATTACTTACATTTCATATTTCCGAAAATTTCTGCAACAATACTGAAAGCGCTAACACTTAGTGTCTTAACGTTTTCGTATTATTATTCAAAAAGACATTAATATAATGAAGAAATTTTTGTTTTTGGATATAATTTTAATCATTTGATCTCTCGCAATTATGTATATATATATATACAAGCGTGGTTCGGTTTTTAATTTTTATTAAGTTCAAGATTGTTTTAAGAAAATCAGCAAATATTTGTTAGATCTTGTCCTGCCGATCATTTCTTTTATTTCCATTTTAGCTTTATATACTTATTATTTATAATTTCAACATCACCACTAAAGTGGGTAAAAATTGTCATTCGAAGGATAAAAAAAACTGCTATGAGGAGTCGACGTATCTGTAGTTCGTTTTTTATTTATTAAAATATTTATATACTTTTTTTCTTTATCTACTATAGTTTATGCCAAAAATCACAAAAATAGGAAAAAGAACGATAAGCAGTCATTACCTACATTTTAAACTAGATACTGCATTTTGACAAAGATTAATTTTAATTGTCGTAACTTGTGATACACAATAGCTGATATGGCTCCATCTCTCATTTATAATACTAAATATATACTTTGTTGAGAAATTCTGTTTAATCGCTGTATCACATATGCATTTTAAATTCTTAAAGCAACTATTATATTGATTGGTTTACAATTATTCCGAGATTGCTTCACACAGTAAAATCTTTCCAACAATGAGGAACAAGAGGCTGGTGAGAGCCTTATTACACCATCTGGCAAAAACATGCCACTCTAATATTTCTTTTGACCTTTATCGCAAAAGATTAAAGTGGCTCATATTTTTAGTTTTTCTCTCTGTTTATTATAGTTCTTTTAAGGTAAAAAAGAAAACAGAGTAAAAACTGTCATCCTAGGGTAACTACTACTTCAAGAGGTCAACTGTCCATTTCGGTCATGTTTATGTATTTGTAGAGTGTATATTGCTGATCAAAATTGTTGCTTACAATTTCCACTATCTATTAAAATTTGAAGATACTAGCCAAAATGAAAATGTGATTTTAAAGGGATCAATTAGGACACTTACTCTTATAAGGAGTAAACTGAAAATTTTTGGTCCGATTTTGAAAAAATTATACAATTATATTTTTGCAAATGAACTTTTCCCGACATCTGGAATAATGATTTTGCTGTTCCTAAAATGAAGATTTAACCGACCTTGATAACTATCGTCCCATCATTTTAGTAATTGCCTTATACGGACTGTTCATGTCCGTCCTGACAACTCGATTACTTGTGGTCCAAAATCGAAGATATATTTAGGGACAATCTATTTCGTTTCCGGCCTGGAAACACAACTGTTGGTGCTATTTTTGTTCTTATGGCATAATTGTGCATATTCGCCAACTAAAGATAAAACAAAACTGCACTTCACATTTGTTGACTGTCGAAAAGCGTTTAACAAGCTTAGCAGTAGAGTTTTGACACAAAACTTATTTCGGAATGGTATCAGCAGCATAACTGGAGCTATTATTAAATCTTTTTATGCTTTTGTGCGTCTTTGTGAAAAATGCAGTGGACTACTACCAGATGCCTTTGACAATTTGTTAAGTGTAAAACAAGGCGAAACATTATCTCCCATAGTGTTCCTGTATTTCATAAATGATATAATTGAAAATATAACTATTACGAACAGTGATGATACATCAAACTTGAATGGACTTTTGATTTTTTTAATACTTGTTGCAGGCGATACTGTCTTGTTTGCCAAGTATCATGAGCATCGTCAAAAGGTACTTGACTATTGATCCAAATACTTTAGGAAATTGAACACAAAAGTGAACATAGCGAACACAAAAGTTGTTGTGTTCAAAAATGGCAGCCAGTAAATAATCATTTTTCACACGGTGCCCAACAACTTTAAATTGTTGATTCTTACATTTACTTTGAATTTTTGTTTTATTTTTTAACGGGAAGTTCGTACACCCACAAACACGTCGTAACAAGGATTGGGAGCTCTCTGATCTTTACTAAACTGACTGAAAAACAATTTTTTTACTACAATTCAACATTCAATTTGTCTAATTAAGCCAATATAGTTGGATCGTTACTTGACTATTCCTCCGAAAAATGGGTTTTCACAGTGCCAACAGCATCCATATTATACATAACCGATTTAGTAGGTTTGTGCTAATGGTAAGTAAACGTGCTCATATAAAAAAAACATAACAAAACACGTGAAATATGTCATGCGTCCGAAGCGCTTATTTAGATGTACCTTCATCACGAACGCATAAACCTGAATATGTGAAAGTTAAGGATGCATAAGAACCGACACTGACGAGGAGCTACATGACCAACAAGGATGTAAAAGATAGCCTAGTCCATCAAAGGTCAACTTTGCCTGAGGAAGTTTTCTGTTTTATTTTTGTAGTCAACTTGGATATTTACTTATTTACTTATGTTTGCTTTTAGAACACAGATATTTTATTTAAAAACATTGGTCACGTATTGTTATGAGTAAGCCAACTTATGTAAATGATGTGTTTACAATTTGTGTGAGATTCAAATCAAGGTAAAAGGGATTCGGCATCTAATATACGTGAATTTGTTGTTTAGTCTTTAGATGAACATTATCTGGATTGGTCAGAATTGAATTAATAGATTGTTTAATGTTATTAATTATAAATATAAGTATGCATTATTGACGAGTATCATCGAAATTGACCTCTACAGAAAACATTATATGTTTGCAAGAAATTACGTATTTATAGAAATGCAACGTTCTAGTTTTGTCTTGTGAATTATGTAAGCTACTTGAATAATGTTAATCTATTTTCACATATACGATTGGTACATTACAAGTTAACGTTAAATGTGGTTATTTCTTTTATATAACACGAGAACACCGTTCATGCACGTGTTGTAATATGCGATGTGTTAAGAACGAATTCCATTTCGTTTAAGTATGTCTAGCTTCGAGAACGATCTCAAAAATGTTTTGCTCCAATATTGTAGCTGTAGGCCGAATTCGTTCGAATTACTATATTAGCTAAAGGATACGCTTATTCACATACAAAAAAGCTTTGTAATTATTTGAAAAATGCATGAAAACTAGATATTATATTTCATTAGTAATACTCTGATTGTGTTGTTTTATAATGTCAGTCTTCTGTGTCACATTGGACATATATTGTGTTTTGTCATTTCATGTAAAGTATGCTTTTGCAAATTTATATTCATTTATCTATTGAACCTAAGTAATTCTTAATTGCGAAGTTTGTTTCATTTCATTTGCCCAATTTAGTCACATGGTAGAGTCTGTGAATGTTGCCTTTTGCAGCATTCATTTACTAACATTATCTTTCTAGAGATTTACGAAAAAGGGCCTTGAACATACGGTAACATTTCAACCACAAACCACTGCGGTCTTCAGCAAGAAATTTAAACTTCATGACCTGACATAACTTCATAAAAAGGTCATAAGTATGCACCGTAAAATCATTAAATTTAAGAAAATATTTTCAGTATTAAGCTTAAATGGTGGAATAAAATGTTAATGCATTCACAGATAGTACATACTCTGTACTGTATGTGCCGTAACTGTAACTTAGGGGTAAAATGTTAATCCCACGATCAATTCTTGATCATAACAGTAAATACGCATATACAACAGAACATGCGACACGTTTACATATATATGGACAATGATAGGACAAGGTACTCGAGAGAGAAGATTTACAATCTAAAATCCCATGCAAAACCTCATGGTTTGATCATGTGCATTAAACATCCAGGAACCAATGATTGTTAAATTCACTTTGAAATTGTCAATGAGCATTAATAACTTTGCTACGTTACAAAGATTACTAGTATCCAAAATCTATAACAATTCTTTTTGTTAGAAATATCACTATCTCAAAATTACCTTTCTGCTATCACAAATCATTGTAAATGATTCTTTAGTGCACTTTATAATATCTTTTTGCTGGACAGTTTGCAATGGTTTGCTTAAATCTGGCCAATCTACAAGAAAAAAATAACAACAAATTTATTATTCCTAACCCCAAAAAAACATTGTCTCTATACTGATACTTTTGATGACAGCTTGAATGAGGTGTAGTTTAATGTATTCAATTGTTTATGCAGTCTATTGTTTCCAAATGAATTGCATAAAAATATCTTCTCTAAAAAAAAAGATGTAAACTTGTAAATTCATCTAAAATTGAGAATGGATACAGAAATGCGGTAAAGAGACAACAACCCGACCAAAGAGCATACTTTCTGGAATATCAGTGTTCGTGGTTTAGGAAAAACAGATATTTTGTTGAAATTTTGATTGGATTTATGATGAAAAAAAACAAAACAAACGTAGAACAAGGGACTAGCAGTTTCAAGTTAAAGTAGAAGTACGTTAGTTATTCAATGGCCATTACAATGGTGAGCATTCTATTCCATAGTTTTGCAATACAATTTTATTCATATTAGTAATCCCCGACAAGTAGTTACTAAATTTTACCATCGGTACAAGGACAGCATTCGTAAATGTAATTCAACATGCAGACATCTTATATGTTCAGGTATTTCACATCCAATCTTTTATGGTAATATTCTTTACAAAGCACAAATCACCTCAAAAGCTAACCAAACCTTTAAACAGACTTATTCAGAATGGATATAGTTACGATACTGTTGTCAGATCATCAAAGATAGCATATTTTGGTATTAATATTGATTCACTCATAGAGTCTTTGCATCGGAAATAAACACATTTATTCTAAAACCAGTTGTTGGCATGATATGGGTTATGTTCTTCTCATATATTTTATGATGGTATGATACTAAACCCCTAACGGGAAGGATTGTGCTTGATTTTCATATGATGAAGACACAATATTTCAATCAGTTTAATTGAGGTCTGGAGCTGGCATGTCAGTAACTGCTAGTAGTCCTTTGTTTATTTATGTATCATTGTCATTTTGCTTAGTTTCTTTCGTTACATATTCTGACATCGGACTCGGACTTCTTTTAAACTGAGTTTTACTGTGCGTATTGCTGTGTAGGTATAGGGAGAGGGTTGAGATCTCACTAAACATGTTTAATCCCGCCGGATTTTTGCGCCTGTCCCAAGTCAGGAGCCTCTGGCCTTTGTTAGTCTTGTATAATTTTTAATTTCAGTTCATTTATATGTTTTGGAGTTCAAAATGACGTCCATTTTCACTGAACTAGTACACATATTTGTTTAGAGGCCAGCTGAAGCCCACCTCCGGGTGCAGGATTTTCTCGCTGTGTTGAAGACCCATTGGTGGCCTTCGGCTGTTTTCTGCTCTTTGGTCGGGTTGTTGTCTCTTTGACACATTCCCCATTTCCATTCTCAATTTAAACTGATGCAAATCAATTAGACAAACATTAACAGGTCGACACGACTAATTCATGAAGATATAATACATCTGCATCACAATTTCTAAAATACAATTGTAAACATCTTACCAATGAATTTACCACGCAATACAATGCACCACAATACATTGTTGGCTCCTGTCAGATTGTGTTTACTTAAAAAAACGTGGAATTTGATTAACAAGTGACATTTTTCATTGCGTCTTTGAATCTCATTTTTAATATAATTGTTCAGTTGATAATACATATAGGATGCTCAGATATAAAGAATATTCGTCACGGGCTACACAAATCGACGTTTGTTCGTCTTGTTAGAGAGGTTGAACTTTCATTTAAATGAGTAGGTCTTATTGATTTGATTCATACTTGTAATTATATCGTCAAAACTTTTATTTTAGTCTATGTTAATATAAGCAGTTTAGGTTAGCGATATTCCGTTGTCAAGTACTATAAAAAAAATCCAGAACAGTCTTAAGTAAATGCCAACATAGTAAACATTATAAAGGCTGATATACGGTTAAAAAAAAACCATTCTTCACCATATTTGAAGTTAAATATTAAATAGGAACAATGCATGCAATCTTATTTCATCTCTTTACTTGGCATACCTTGTGTGTGTTTATTTTTAGATTCCAACTTTTTTGTTTCTTCCGGTTTTTCGGAATATTGATGTGTTGTTTCCTGAATAACACTATTGTCACTTTTTTTAGGATTTGATGAACCATCATCTGGTATTTCAGAAATTTTATCATTACGTTTTGAACCATCCTTCTCTCTCAAGTAATCAGCAAATTCTTTGTTATCTGTGTCATCGAGTGCTTTAATAAAACTGGCATAAGCTTTATTTCCTCTTCTTGGTAAGATTGATAAAAGTTCCCTAGTCTGTCCAGTAGGCTTTGGCTTTTTATGCTGTAATGTAACATTTAGAATAGAATTCATTTATCTTTTTTCAAATCTTTTTCTATGGAATTTCTATATTATAAAAAAGTAAATGACGCAATAGTGCAGAAGATGGTATATACTTTTATCAAGTCGGATTTAGAACAATGATAGATTAAAAAGAACACGTAATTAGGCAAACAATTAAGATGGAGAACAGCAAATCATTTTAATAGTTGTAAATAAACCCATGACTGTTTTGGGGTGACTAAATGGATTTTAAGATAACGGAAGAGGCTATGTATCAAATACTATTTATCCAGGGTTATCAGTAAGGCACTTTATTGCACAGTTGAACAATGTAGTCCGAAAAAACAGATCAGAAAAGAAACTTACAACTGCATGGAATTGAGGGATATATATTGAATCAAAGTTGTAATATGCGTTTTAATGCGATAATTTGAACAAACTATATAGGTCTAGGACTCTGACCAAGATACTTTGAATTGCTGATTATATATGTAATACTAAGTGAAAGAGAGGCGAAAGATACCAAAGTGATATTCAAACTCATTATCAAAAACGAACTGACAATGCCATGACAAAAAAGTTATCTTTCTGTCTGAGCAATAAAAAATTTTGAACTATGACATTGGAAATTTACTAGCTAATTTGTCCTGAAATTGTTTTTAAAAGTTTGTTCTATTAGTTTTCTAAAATATGTCAACCTTTGTTGCATATCGAAAAAAAAATCATATACATGAAAAAAAAAAGAACAAAAGCTCTTTCTATAAATCAGTTTTGTAAAAAGTCCTTTGCAAGGTGCAATTTCACAAAATCTAATCCTCACATTCAATGGTTACATGAAATTAACGTTGGTTGAAATTTGCCTTTTGACGTGTACTCAAAAGTGTTCTTCACTTTTGCTTCTTATAAATAGGATTTTTTATTTTTATTTCTTGAACTTCCCATGAATGGATGCTAATTTGTACAAACTATTGCATGTGACATTGACGAATATGTCTTGTGGACCAATAAATTAAGGTTGGTTGTATCTTTCTACATTACCATGATTAGGTATTCGTTTTTATAGCAATATTTCAAACCACATTTGCACAAATTCATGTATCCCCATCTGTTGTTTAAGGGTGAATTGATAACATAAGTAAATACACCGTCCAAGTAGTAATTAGGTAGTGATCATTTTTGTTTTCTGTGTATCTTATTGTCATAAATTAGGTCGTTGTTGTTTTCGTTTGCATTGTTTATCGTTTTATTGTGTAAGGACCTTATAGATCTGACAATACGGTAAGAGTTATGAATATTGTTGAAAGCCGTATAGTGATCTATAGTTGCCTAAATCAACATCATTTGGACTTTTTTGGATATTTGTCTCCATGGAAATCATAACACATCTATAATTTTATAATATGTTCGTATTTTTTAATTTATTCATTTTTTACATTATTACTTTTTACCAGACTCTTTCTGGGGAGTATTTAAACAGTTGCGTCCATGCGGAGAACTTACAAAACATTGATGAGTTCATTTCAGTAATTGTAGGAGAGGGAAATCTTTTGCCACAATAATGTGATTGCTTAAAAAGCTATTTACACAAAGAGCAATTAAGTAAGACTGTGTTCAACTTGTTTCCCACGTAACACATTCTTCGAACTTGAAGCATACAACTTTATCTGACCTGTTTAAGTTTGTGTGAACTCTTGACCGAAATTTTATGATGTCTGCATGCTCTCCAGTACTGAATATGCAGAGACGGGTAAGAAAATAATCAACACTATTAAATGGGAATCGAACCATTCATCTGCTAACTGTTATAGAATGTTATAATCTACCATATATTGATTTAATTCCGTGCATAATTATTACAATTTTTCGGTATTATAAGATATGCAGTTTTGTTAAACATTTTGAAATAATTAGATTATTATTCCTTTTCACCGACAGCATTTGTCTTAAGTGTGTCCAAGTCTCGTTTATATTTAAATGGAGTGTATTTTCTCTCTGACATACCTTAATTGAATCATTCATCCCTGCTGTAAGTACATTATCTTGAAGCAATTCATCACAAATCGCATCCACATTATGCAAATTTTTTATAAGATAGTTGAAACTAGTCTGAAGAACAGTTTTGTGTTTCTGTTCCATTATTCTTATGTATTTCTATAAAATAAAACCGACATGATTAAGTGTATACGCAACAATATAAAACAAGAAGAAGTGGTTTGATTGCCAATGAAAGAATCACACAACAGAAAAATATAGTAACATTGTTTTGTTTGGAAATGTATATATTTATATCGTTTGATGAGCCTGGTAATGAAGTATAGATTCTAGGTACTGACTTTGTTTATCCTCTTAGTAACGTGTTATATTTGTATATTTTTAATCTTTACTGTTTAGTCCAATTTTGTTAGTGTACTTTTGGCGTGGCTCGGTATTTATACATCCCGCCATTGTGTTATTGTGATATGGTCATTTTTGTATTCCTGTCTTTCATTTTTGCTCATGTACTTTGTCCATTGGGTGTCTTTATGCCATTTTTGTTTTCTTAATTAGATATTTTTGTAGTAATCAAGATTATAACGCAATGTTGACTGTTGTACGCCAATTTGTGACATTTTTTATCTCTATTATATCTGTTTGTTTTCCTCAAACATTGTTGTCAATATAATGGATTTCTATGCGACTGTCATACAAGTGAGAGGTTTAGCTAGCTATACAACTGGTTTTAATCCACAATTTTTAAATTTAGGAAATGCCAATACCAAGTCAGGAATATGGGAGTTGTTTTCCATCCGTTTGATGTGTTTGAGCTTTTAGATTTTGACATTTCATAAAGGACTTTCCGTTTTGAATTTTCCTTGGAGTTCGTTAATTTTGTTATTTTACTTTTCCCCAGTCGGACAACTTCAACCTACAATCATTATAGCTTCAAATATTAGTGTCATACAACTTATGGTAACAAAAAATAAAAAAACAGACTTTGTTACGGAAAACCTAAAATTTGTCAAAGATTAGACAAAATATAGTTGTAGTATTACTTAAAGTATCGAAACAATGAATATAATCACGGAAAATTAACGTTGCATAATTGAGTTGACCAATAAATTATGAAAAAGAAGGCAAGGTAAGATGCAACTTGCTTACCTTTGCAATGAATGCATTTACAAAACATATTGTCATATCATTCTTAAATTTAGTGAAATCAGGTGGTAACAATTTGGTTTCTAACTGGCCGTTGAACCATGAAAATATCTATTAAATCCAATTAACATATGTCAAATGTTAGCTAGATCTTCTACCTTCTTTGGAATGTTAATATGAATATCTATAAAAAGAGCTAACACGGCAGCAGGTGGATACACATCCTTATTTGTCTCACATACAGCAACATTAGTCCCAGGCTACACAACGAAGCGGGAAAATAAAAACGAGAATGTTTCAGATGAGCAATAACCTGATAAATGTAAAACCAACAGTAATATTGCTGTAAAAATCACAAATAGGCAATTTAGTGTGTGTTGATTAACAGACGAGGAGACAAAACTATAAAAGTCAATATTTGGCACTGTCAGTAATATACGCTATACTTTTGAGAAATAAAAAGGCTCTCTATAAATTTGTTGCGTCCGAAGCGCTTGATAACACAAGATAAACTGTCAATCAATAATAAGTTCCGTAGCTTGCAATTCCCATCATGAATGCCTTTTAATAAGGTATATGCTTACAAATGAAGTTATTGAACTAAAAGTCCGTAGTGGTGAAGTTCAAGTAGTACCTTAGGAAGTTTCACATATGCCGTCATGATTTGGTTGACCTTTAGGGAATATCTGCGTAACAATTTACCACGGATATGTTCAACTTGATGTAGTCAAATATTCTATCAGTAAGGTAATCACCTAATTTGCCAAGACATGAGCAACACTTGTACGATGGGTGCCATGTGCGGAGCAGGATCTGTTTACCCGTACGGAACATTTGAGTCCAACACAAGTATTCGGTTTGGTTCGTGTTACTGGTTTTCTATTTATTGATTTTATAGACCGCTGTCTTTTTGTGGGTTTCCGTTTTTGCCTTGCTTTTGTCAGCTTCTCCCGATTTTCTAACTTTGATTGTCACCTTGGTATCTTCAGCATACAAACATATGCAACATAAACATACATGTATTTGGTTTTACTATCAGTACAAAAATACAAAAATAATGTTATGTTATATGATGCCAAAGATACAACTATCCGCCAGAGACGAAATCTATACCTGAAGGCAAAAGTATACGAAAAAACAAAGAAAACCCTATTAAATTCACCAGAGTATGATGGAAAGGCTGGGACTAATCATGCTTGTAAATATACTATTGAAACAACATACAAAGTAAAATGAATGGAATGATGTGTCTATAACATACATACCTGATTTTAAGATTGAATAAGGTTTACACAAATACAAATTAATTGGATAACTATTTTGAAATAGATCTCGGTAATGAAATGCTCATACTCTTTAGTAAATTAAAGCAACAGTATATTACCAATGTTCAAATCTCATAATTCGACTGAGAAATGTTATAGTATGGAACAGAGGGTGTGTTACTGCAGATAAATGTAAGATTATAACGTTGAAATCAGCACGTTTACCATATATACTAGTATGAAGACGTCAATTTGTGTCAATATCGATGAAAAGATTAAGATATGAAGCAGACCCTCTAATTTCAGTAGTATCCATAATCTCCCGTCCACTTGGGTATATGATATGCAAACACCCACTAAATTGTTGTTTTTATGAGTAACAGGTCATGACCAATATATCTGACAGCGATATAAAAGAACTTTGAAAAGATTTTTTTCTCTTTTTGTCTCTGAGAAGGTTTTGCATGAATTCTGCTTCACATGAGTCAGACTGTAGGGTACACCATTAGTACCTATTGAAATACCGACTGTCTGATGAAATATCACTCCATTCAAACACAACAAATATATTATCGCTTTCTTTGAAGCCTTTTTTTGTAGAAAAAGCTCTCAGACGATGTATTCGATGTTTTCATTAAGCATGGGGAATAATACAGTTATCCGTAGAAAAATTATTTTTTTCTGGAAATTAAAAGGTTGTGATTTAAGATTAGGCAGTAGATCGTTCGAATTTTTAAGAATCCAGATATTATTGACATCGTTAGTTGAATAAACATCATAACAATATTTCCGCCGGACTTCTTTAGTTGTAGAAAGTATAATGATATTTAGAAGTATGTTTAGTCGAACTTCTTGATGTCACCACTTTATATCATTCTATTTAAGGAAATTTGTGAAGTTTAGGTATCCACTATACAGACGCAAAAAATTTCATCGTGTGATCTCCCTAAATCTCCTCTCTCGAGAATGATAAACATGATAAAGGGGTACATGTGGTTTTCCTAGTTTTTCTAATTTAGTTAGACATTCCAAATACTGATTTTTGCACATAAAAACAATATTGATGGAGCCTTTCGATGACAATCATGTTACTGTCCTTCCCATAATAGTCGCAGTTGTTTTTCGATGTTTGCGTTCGAAAATTCTTTTTTTGAACACAGAAAAGAGATGCGAACGATACCGAAGGGACATTTAAAACATAAGTCGAAAACAAAAGACAACGCCATGCATGGCAAAAAACGAAAAACGACGAAAAGACAAACAACTGTACACAAAACACAGCATAGAAAACTAAAGACTGAGCATCACGAACCCAACCAAAAACGGGGTTGATTTGAGGTACTCCGGAAAGGTACGCAATTCCTGCTTCACATGTGGCACCTGTTGTGTTGCTCATGTAAGGACACACCCGTTGATAAGTCTAATTCGATTGTTTACATTCACGGAAAATAAGACGGCATTGTGGATATAACAATTGGAACATATCCATCGCCACAAGTGTATCAAACCTAAATTTGAATCATCTGTTATATTGTTCCCCGACACTTCACGTTACATATTTTCTTTTGTGTTGTATTTTTTCCTTTCCTTGAAAAGATTCGAACAAGTTAAGGTATTGTTGGGTTTACCCCGAATTATATCTAAACAATTTCCTGGTAATCACGTTAAACCTATTAATACTATTTCGTATTTATACTATTTTACCTTACAAACAAAGGTCATAATATGCTCTAGAAAATAAATTTGTATTCGGGTTATTTTACAGTGAATTTGAACATCACCAGGTAAACATTTAGATTTACTTACCCCAGACTATAGTTGTATGAAAAATAGTCACAGGCAAGGAATTAGACAACACCATTACAAAAATTGATTTGATACAAGTTTTAGAATAATGATAATAATAGTAATGATTATGTATATAGTTATTTGCAGATACAGATAATCAATACCTTTATATCTTAATGGTGTCGGTTTAAAAATGTAAATTGGCTAAAAATACGAAAACAATATAGCATTAATTTGCCTTCGCAGACACTTCTTAGATTAGTTATAGATTAGAGGTTACATAGGATAATTGATATCCAGGGGTCATCATATTAGCTTTCAACAACCCAATTTTTGCTGGCAATAGTATAATACAAAATTATAAGAATCAGTTTTACTAGCCTTTATCCTAGTCGTCTAGAAACTGTTTTGTAACGATATATATGTCATTAGTTTGCTCTTATACTACAGAAAAATGCTTGTTACTATATAGTGTTCTAATTCAAAAGATTATCCGAATTTTACCAAACACACTAATTGTTAAGCGAACTTCATCAACAAACTTGGTCTTAGATGGCCAAGACATTGTTGACAAGTGTTGCATCTAAAGTCTTCTTATATCCATACTTGAAATATTTCATATCTTGAATCTAAACCGTAAAAAAATATTAAGATAATTTGAGAGTGAAAAAAACGTCAAACTAGAATATCCTTTTTTTTCTCGTTTCCATAGAAACAACGTTTTTACAATATATATTCAATACATAAGATTTTTGTCATCAAGATAGATATTCAGATCTTAAAGATTTCTCAAAAATACACGTTTGAAGTCTAACTCATTTGAAACATTCAAAATGCCAAAGAAAATATTATGTGAGAATTTGTTTGAATTTGCATATTTTTCGGTTCAAAATTATTATCTACGGAAATGCATGCAGAATTAGAATTGCTCTATTTTCAAAACCATACTTTATATCATCATAAAATTGTACATGGTGAGCAAATTAGTAGTATCAAAAATAACTGAAAATATGTATTGTCTCATCTGGTCACAGTCACATATATCGATAGCTACAATAACTTAACACAATGCCCGCTACACTTCCCACAGCACCAAATGAATTACAATTGAGCAGCCAAGTAGAGATTTACTTCATGCAGAAATTGCGTATTTAAAACAATAGGAATTACTGAATTAAAGTTTGAAATGATAAATTCGATGCAGTAATCTCTGTATGTTGGGAATGTCGAAATGGAACATCAGAGTTGAATAGGAAGCTGGCTGTTTGAGTGCATTCCTTTAATTAATTTGGATTAATTTCATGATTTAAATTTGAAGAAAGGAGTGTTTTTTTAAAAACAAATTGATGTGATAAGTGAGTATTCAAGATATTTACATTCAGACATCACTTAACTGTCTACATGGAGACAACCCACATTATTTTGCGGAACAATTCATTCCAGCAGCGCCTGCATACGGAGTATTTATCTTACAGTTGAGACGATATTCCAGGGCTTGTTTTTCCTATCATGATTTCCTTGATAGAGGATTGCTGCTCACAAGGAAGCTAGTAAACCAAGAGTTCAAAGTGGTAAAGTTGTAATAATCCCTTCGTAAATTTTACGGACGCCATCACGAGTTGGTTGACAGTTACGGAATATCCGTTTCACAAATGAGAACTGATATGTTCTAATTGTCGTAACTAAAATCCCATCCCTTTTTGCTCGACTGTGACCTACCAAATTAAACTTATCACCGGGTTGTACTAATATGAGCAACACGACGGATGCCACATGTGGAGCAGGATCTGCTTTCTCTTCCGGAGCACCTTTAAATCATTTCTTGTTTTGTTTTAAAGGGGTTCGTGGTGCTCTTGTTTTAATTATAAGTATTTTTCTTTGTGATTTTTTATTTTTCAATGTTTGTGTTGTTTATACCGGTAACAGTATCGTCTATCCTTTGTCATGAAAAACATGTTTCCATTTAAAAATTTCTTATTTGGTCAAGTTTTAGTGTTAAGCAATTTTCAATGACCAATGGTGTAGAATTTGGTAATGTCTAAGGGTTAGATAAGTCACTTGATACATAACGTATTTATAGGCGTAACACGACGGGTGTCACATGTGTTGCTCAGTCTTTGGTTTTCTGTGTTGTGTTTTGTGTGCTGCTGTGTGTCTGTGTGTCTGTGTGTCTGTTGATCTTTTTCTTTTTTGGCCATGTCGTTGTCAGTATGTTTTCGACTTATGAGTTTGAATGTCCCTTTGGTATCTTTCGCCCATTTTCCACTGTGTTCTTAGACAAAATTGCAACCTGGGAAAAGAAATTGGAAACAATGTTACCATATCTAGAACAAATCGGCTTAACAAGATTTGAAACTCTTACCTGGAATAGCTGTTCAGACGGTTTGCCTTAGATTTTTTTTTCTTATCTACCAACCTTTCAGACGAAATAAATTGAATCCTTACCCCTTTTCCTGGAAAAGATAGGATCACGTTGTGTTTCACTTGTATTCCATGACCTAAACTTAAACAGGTTCTCAGTAAAAAATTCTTTTGTGTTGTATTTTAAATACACACCTTTAATATAAATGTATATCAAGGTATAAAGATGTCGTTACGTGGTTTTAAACCGAATATTACTTATACTGGTTTTATCACGACGTAGCTTCATGCTTTACGATTTCAACTGATCTAAACGCTTGTATCTTCATTTTGCCATTTTTTAATGCAGGTGAAGGAACACTAAGAGTACATAACGTAACAAATTGATGTCGTACTATTCTTTAATGATGAAAGCAAAATTGATACAAAATTATTTTCGTATGAATATTTTTAAAAATCAAAACCGTTATGTGTTAATTTGATTAACCTGTTAGTTTGATACTTTGAGGAAATCAGATGTTTCCTTTGCAGAAATTATAAATTATCAGGAATGAAAGTAGATTTTGGTAAACTTGACTAGGCGGCAGCTGTCCAAAAAAATTAATGAACTAGAATCTAGAGGTCAACTTGACTCACACACCTCCCAAATAAAATGCACTAGGGATTAAAGCAATAATTCCAGCTGGTTAAGAGTTATGTATTTAATGCGTTAGTATAAGTCCGATTAATCATTGCTTTGCAAGCAATTTCTAACTTGTGTAATGAAATAAATTGAAAAATATACGATGTACAATTAAAAAGGTTTACAAAAACGTAGAAGTTATTTAAAATCAAGGTTTATCAGAATTAAACTTTGAGACAAAAAGAGATGACCTCAATTGTTCCATTGTGCAATTTAAATTTCTGCTGTCAGTCAAGCCATAACTGCATATGCAGTACAAAGTTAAAAGCTTATACGATATTCCAAGATCGCTTCCTATAATTCTTTCTTTGATACAGGGTTACTGCTTACACGGAAGCGTCTGAAACCAAGGGTTGCAACTTTTAAGCCGTTTTACAGACGTCATAATGGTTCCGTTAACCGTTTTGCAATATATGTGCCACAGATGACTGTATATAAATGTTACATGGTCGAAGCCACAATATCGTATCTTTTCCTGGATCTTTAAATCTCGGAATGCGACTCATCACATAATTTCTACCAATTTTGGCTAGCAACGAGTGACATAGGGACTGCTTTGACTTAATAGACTTAATACTCACCAAATATACCAGGCTTATAATTTCGTACGCTTTACGCCCATTTCGTCTTCATGACACTTATTAGTCATGTTAGTGGCCCTCGAGTCAAAACAGTTGGAAGGCCAAATCAAATGCGAAGTTGAAGACCATCGAAAACCCAGCATTATGAAAAGTTGTGCCAAATACGGCTATGGCGACTGATCCCTTGCGTAGAAAACATATAAGTGTTTCGAATAATTCAACATTTTATATTTAGTAAACTTACACAAAACTGCTGACTACTTGGCTTGTGATACATTCGAGGCGAAACGTCCTTTGGAGTTGTACAACAGGAACATCTTGTCCTTTAAATGCGTCAACTTTATTTTGTTTTGAAGGCTTTCGTATAGCCTTTGTTCTATTTGTTTTAAAATTTTTGCATTGTGCTCTCTCTATTTTTTTTAACATTGTTCGATGACTGTATTGCTTCTACCAGCAACATTCTTGTCTATCCTGTCTCTAGCTTGAATTAAAACTGTGTTCACATTCTGTCAAGATAAAGGGTTAGAGAATTTAAGACACCAATTGTTTATAAATTTGGTCATGTCTAACTGTTATACAAGAACAATCCTTTACGTACCCATTATCAGGTTGTCTGCATATTGAAATTTTACAATATGAATATGGAGACAACCGGATAATCGATTTATTGGGTTGTATTTGCGTATTTTGAATGATAGAAACAAGTGTTTTCTTTGTCTCACCAGCAAACCGGAAGATGACTCAATAAGTTAAGGTCAAACTTATCAACGTCGGTTCATTCATTATGACGTCTGTGATATGTCCGGGTCAAAGTTATTAAGGCCGGGTTAACGTATTTGACTTCACAAAACCGTGATATGCAATGTTATTTAGCGCTGAGCAGAGTGATACATATAGTAGGAAGACCGATAATGTCTGATATCAATCGACTAATATGGCTCATTATAGTTTTACAGGAAGTAACTCTACGGGTTTCATTAGTGGAGCATGATTTACTGACTTTTAATTTAATTTATACTGATATTTTCCAAAAAGAAATGTAGACAGGAAGTCCTTGATAATTTTATATCTGAGCTTATACTTCATTTTGTTCTTTCCTTACAGATATAGAATCGATATGTTTTGAATGTATAATTTATATAAGTTGATTGTTTAGTCCCATTGTAAAGTAACATAAATTTATTTTGATAACTTAATTGATTCATAATAAAACTACTGTTGACTTAATTTAACCAATTTACTCAGATCCACCAGTAAACCAATTTTGATCTGAAACGGTTATCTTTATCAGAACTGCTCTTAAAAAGACAGAAAAATAAATTAGTCAGTCATTTTCAGTCTTTCGGTTAATTTTCAGACTTATCCACTGCGGTAAATCCAGTACTCTTCAGACAATTCGCTTGCAGTCAATTAAGATCTATTCAGTCTATGTTCAGACTGTTCAGTAGTTGTTATTAACTTGTACACATCAACATCTTACTGAATTGGTTGAAAAGATAATTAACAGTACTTAATTGACTGCAGGCGAAATGTCTAACAGTTTTGAATTCTCCGCAATGGAGAAACCTGAAAATTGACCGAAAGACTGAACAGGACTAAATAATTTCATGAATTTATTGCTCAGACTTTTCAGAAGATGTTAAGATCAGAATGACCCTTTGAAACTAAAATTTGTTTAATAGTGAGCCTTTTATAGCTGACTTAGATTAGTTCTAGAAATAACAACATCCCTCCATTCTCTGTTAATATCCGTTTTACTCTCCACCAAATAAAAACTCACGTATGTAAAATAAATTATTACATCGCTGCCTCTCAAAATAGCTGGCTCTGAAAACCTTCAAAAACCTGGATAGTTTAGTTACCACATACAAACAGTTCTTAAATCTTTAAGATAACTATTAAGTTTACCATAAGTATGAACAATCTTTCGCAAAGTATCTGGAGTAATAGGATAATTTTAGTGATAAAATGACCTAATTATCTCTGTGCGACTTCATTATTAAACGCCACTCAACCAGAGTTACAAGAATTATTTAATCCAGCCAGTTTGTGTGCCCAGCTGATATCGTAATATACAATTTTATTTATCTTGCTTGTAGATTTTGCATTCTGTGAAATGTAGATCAAATATAACGAAACTGTGTATCTATTGATGGAAATGGAGTAATATAAGGTAATTTAGACCATTTAGAGAAAGCATTAATGGCATACTGATAATTTTTACCAGAGTGTTCAGAGAACGTGAGATCAAGCAATACTCTGGTACATTTTAATGTATCAAATTCATCCGAAGAATCAGTATTCTGTATCTATCTACCAACTCGAAAAATATCTGAAAAATGTGAAATCATGAAACAAACCATTTTCTAAAATGTCATAAAATAAAAACATATAAAAATGAACCATGCCACTGCAAAAAACAAAGAACAACACAGGATTATTTTCAATGTTCATTTCACCGTGCAAACTACAATGTAATATACATCATGGCCCTGTTGAATGCAACCATGTCTTCTACAATGCATATATACCCTAGGGCCATGTCAACAACGACAATGCCTGCTCCAATACAAATTCATGTACTAGGGCCTCGTCAACTATAACAATTCCAGCTATAATAAACAGTAGTGCACTATGGACTTGTCAACATGTGTTGCATTTATCTTACTGCCAATACTAGAGAAATAAAAGGCTCGGCGCCCAATAACACCAGGAATGTAATCTTTGTGTTTATATTTTTTTCAAAATAAACGACCAATATGTTGCAGATATCCATTTTGGCACACTTAAAGTACCATTAGCTTTACAAGCAGTTAAATGTTTCATAGTTCTCAAAACTATGTAAGTTTCCTTTGCTGCAATATGAAAATGTAGTAAATAAAATGTTGACAAATCGACCACATGTATGCGATAGCCACCCATAATGAATCTTATGGAATCAAGAGGTCAACATACAATTTAAGAAAAAAATAAACATTTCGATACACTAGACTCAAATACCTCCAAAATGATTTGTTCTACGAATTAGGCCGATAGAGCAATGTTGAGAGCCATAATTCTTCAATGTAGTAATGTGTATGTATAAGTTCGAGTTATCATTGCTTTATATTCCGTATCAACTTCACAAATAATACATGATGGTCTTGATATAGGGGCCTCGGTGGCCGAGTAGTCTAAGTAGTTACTACTGTTATCACTAGCCAGTCAACACTGAGGTTGTGAGTTCGAACCCCATTCGTGCGAGTGCACTCGACTCCAATCTTAATTGACTAGGATTGTCAGTTTTCCTATCGAAGGTCGGTAGTTTTTTCCGGGTACCCCGGCTTCCTCCACCAATAAAAACTGGCCGCCACGAAATAGCCCAAAAGCGGTGCTTAAAAGTGGCGTTAAAACACCAAAATTCAAAAATCAAATCTTGAAGTATAGATTCTAGGTACTGACATTGTTTATTATCTTAATTACTTGTTATAGTGTTCTTTTATTTTTCTTTGTAAATTATTACCTTTACTGTTTAGTCCATTTTTGGTAATATCCCTTTGGCGTGGCTCGGTACTTATACATCCCGTCATTGTGTTATTGTGCTATGGTCAATTTTTGTGTTCTTGTCTTTCATTTTTGTTTATGTGCTTTGTCTATATGCCATTTTGTTTTTCTTTGTTGACATATTTGTTTGTTATGGTAGTGATTAAGATAATAGCACAATGTTGACTGCTGTACCCCTATTTTTGACATTTGTACCTATTATGTCTGCTTGTTTTGTTCACACATTGTTGTCAATATAATGATTTTTTTTACGACTGTCATACAAGTGAGAGGTTCAGCTAGCTTTTAAACCAGGTTTAATCCACCATTTTCTACATAAGGAAATGCATGTACCAAATCAGGAATATGACAGTTGTTTTCAATTCGTTTGATGTGTTTGAGCTTTTGATTTTGCCATTTCATAAGGGACTTTCCGTTTTG